TTGCAGACTGTGCTTAAGCTCAGGTATAGATAATAGATTCTCTCATTAACTCAATTCGGTTCGTAAATCGGCTTAACGAGTAAAGATACACATTTGGGATTTTTAATATTGTTATGATTCAGGGCTAAGAAGGAACTTGAGCTGTAATTTTTAAACTCCGGAGATGGAAAGAGGCATATATGAAAGATGATATATTCTTTTTCAGTACATTGTAATGTTATATCTTTAAGAAGATTCTATGAAAAGAGAAACTCACTGTAAAGGTCACTGAACAAAATAGATGTATTCATTTGTGATCGATTTAATTAACTTAGCTGAAGTTCCTTGCTTTATGCTTCAAGGCACATAAATAGTTGAACTATTTATTAATGGTATATATGGAAAAATTAATTTTAGGCGGTTATTGGCGTTTGACAACAATCACCACAAACGCTTTATACCGCTTTAAACCGCTAAGATCCCTCAACAACCCTCAAAATCAAAAGCTCCTTCCCAGCAGCGTTTGCGGTTGCGGGTGGATAATTAAAAAAAAAAAAAAACTTATATAAAATCCGAAAATAAATAATAATATTTATTAAAAAATAAGATTTGGATAATAAAATCACAATATAAAAAAAAATTAGTACTTTTAGTCAATATTCATTAAAATCATATCATACTTATATATTTATAAGTTCTACAAATCAAAATTCTCTTGATAAATATTCTTTTCATACTAATACATATATATCTAATAAATAAAATTGTAATATAAATTTAATTTTCACATTAAATATATATTTTGAAAATAAAATCACATTTTTATTTAAATTATAGAAATTAAAAAATAGACGTAAGTATTATACACATATTATTCTTTATAAAAAAATTATTTTTAATTATGTTGAACCATAAATTTAAAATTTTCATTATAATATAGTTTTGATATTTTTATAATTATATAATGTGTTTATATTATTAATTTATTGTTTAACCGCTATTGCATCCGCAAGTGAACCAGTCATAAGTATCCCGCAAACGCATCCATTTTCAATTGTTATGCCAGTCGTACAAACCGCTTAATAACGCTACTAATCACAACCGCCCGCTTCCGCAAACTCCCGCACCCGCAACCGCAACCGCAGCGGTTAAACCAGTCAGGCTAGTGATATTTTTGGAAAAAAAAAACAGTTTTAGTATTAGTGGTATTTTTGGAAACATCAGTTTTTGTATTAGTTGGTTTTTTTGGAAAAAATCAATTTTTGGAAGGAACGTTTTAGTATTAGTGGTATTTTTGGAAAAATCAATTTTAGTGGTGTTTTTGGAAAAAGATAGTATGTGATATTTTTGGAAAAATCAAATTTAGTGGTATTATATAAAATAAAAATTAAAACCTTACACAGTCAATAATTTCAGTTTTATTTTTATTATTTTTTGGTTTTGGGATAAACATCACACTTTATTTCATCAAAATCAATTTTTATCCTTTTTTATGTCGGCATAAAACTTCTTGTATTATTGTGTCATATATAACAGTTAAATAAAATATTATATTATTATATTTTGACCTACGAGCTACGGCATGAGAAGTCTTGTCGTACACACGAATCTCTTTAGATGCAATGTCTTTAATTTAGAAGGCAAAGACGTGTTTGTGTGTTTGTGAAACCAAAATGGCAAAAATTAGATATTTGTGGTTGATGCCAAAACTAGATAATTGATTTATATGAAATAAAGTAATGCTATGGGACATCTCAAGCCTACTAGTCCATGTCTCGGTGATGTTAAAAGATCGTCTTTTTTTAATTCGCCATTAATTAATATGGAACGTCTTGTGTAGACGTTGACGACCATAATTTTGTTTTCTTGTATATGGATTCTACGTAAATATTTTCTAAAGGCGTATATTTGGAATTTCATAGGAATTGACGTTGTGAGGTCCTAATGGAACTAATGGAAAGCAGATTATCCGTATTTTACTGATTACTAGTGGTTACAATCGAAGTCAACCCGACGACCTACAAGTGACACGATTAATCCCAATCGCTCATTTTCATAAAAATCTTAGACCAAGAGAAACGAATGTGAAGCTTAGAAACCCTTCTACTCTAAGACAATCATTATCTAATTCTAAATAAATCGTTAGCACACTTCTGAACACAATGCCGACTTTGTGATTAGACTCAAAGCTTATTTTTAACAGTGCGATGCACAAACAATGTAGTCTATGATTAACCGACATATATGTATCATAAATTCATAATGTTGGAGTAGACTCGGAGATGTTAGAACATGAAATGTTGTAGGATAATTTGAAGTCCACGTTATCTATGATTATTTATATTCATCAAAATTTAGAAAATGATGCTCGTCCTCTCAGAGAGACTGAGGAAAATAGTGAGAAAGGATGAGTATGAAGAACAATGGATTCTTGATTGTAAGATGTGAAAGATAATGAAAATTTTGAATGAATATTTCAAGGGTAATTAAGGAGACATAAATTTGGATCACTATGAATATGTATGCTAGATAAGCAGAAAACATTGTGAGAAAAACGAATTGTTGACTTTCAGTCTTTTAGGCAAGTAAAAGGTTACGCCGTGGAATACAAATTCGTGTGTTAGTAAATAAAGTGAAATCCTAAGATTTGTGGTAGATTAATGATTTAACTAAAGTGAAATTCTAAGATTTGTGGTTTTTGGATCTGAGTTCGAGACTTGTGGATTGATTGTTATCGAGCTTAGACAGATTCTGGTGTCGAATCATTCCTTTATATTTTTTTGTTAAAGTCGAATTATTCCAATTACACAAGATATTGCTGTAAAATTGTCTAAATGATTACGCTAATGCATGTAAGAGGACTTCGTTAATTAACTTGCGTGCGTCCTTGTACTATATATCTTTTTATATATATATTCTTTTTGCAATGTAGCATATATAGAAGACAATGATTTCGTACATAACAAGCGAACGAATCTAAATTATTGACATAACACAAAACTGAAATTACGATGTGAACGTACTCGTATGTTAGACAATTAGAGTAACACAAATCCTTGGTCTTCCCCGAAAAAAGCTGGTTTACTCTTCCATAAGTCAATAAAAACATTTGTCCTCAAAGATATATCATGTTTTTCAACGATGCTAGGACCACAAAATAGTTAAAATCAATAGTAAAGAAATATTGTTTCGTATTTCTTCAAAAGAAACAAAGAGCAAGAAAAAATTAACAAAGTGAAGTGGACACATAATAATATACATATGGAGGATAACTATTAAAGAGAAGATGAAATTTGATTGGGCAGCTATTTAATACTTTTTAGTGTTGAATATCTTACACGATTAAACATCAATTTCATTTTCCATTCTAGATATCTCAAATAGTTATCTTTCCACCAAGGTGGTGGTAAGTAAGGTCCTCAAAATAGTTTTAGATACTCCCTTTTGTCAAAAAAATAGAGAAAAGAAATAGTTTTAGATAGCACATTATGGGGATTTTATATATATAAATGAATGTGCAATTTGATACAGATTTAACTACTCCCTTTTGTTTGATTGTTTGATAAATTATACTCACACAGATATTAATTCTTTTAAAACAATCAAATTTGTTCACTTGTCTTTTGATGTATCAGTTTCTTTTATGAAATTGCGACTATATTTGTCAATATCCTTGCAAGACAACTGACTGGCTTCAAAATTCCCCCATTGTCCCCACATACGTCAACTTATTTCTGGCATTGAGCTCAATGCAACTCACATGCATGCACTCACATCATAAAAAGTTATGAATTGCTGAATATCAACTTGTTCGTTCAAGAATAGAGTAATAGGAATTACATCTTTATCAAAAAAAAAGTAATAGGAATTACACTTTTGCTTTATTTTTACTCTTTAACTTTGAGATGAATTAGTCCATGTTTCTTCCATATATGTTGTTTTTTTTGCGCTTTTGATTCATAATATATCAATCTTCTTCACTTACATGGTTTGCTTCAAATCTAAGCGACATAAAAAGACACATTCACAATCTTATCTCTAAAACTGAAAACTGGAGATCAAAGAACGGATAGGAGTTTGATATGATCTGGTTGAAGATGAAGATATACAAAACATTTTCAATGAATCAGTGTTTCATTCGTTGAAAACAAGTTCACCGACACCAGGAGTTCAAGTGTATAAAGGCTATGAGTAGTTTCTGACGATAGTAATTTTGTTGAAAAGTTCCTACGGCTTTCCTACTAATCATGTGACACTATTCCGACCGTTAATCATGTGACTCAGGACCACAGATATTCTCGGCCAAGATCTATCGGTCATAGGCCAATAAAAGCATATAAACATCACTTAAACGTTATCCACATAAACACTTAACCGCTACCTTTTTTTTTGAAAACAATCACTAACGCTTGCTAAACAACCGCATTTCCTACGGACAAACAAGAAGAAATCGACCACACATATATATCCGGCTTATCAGTAAATCGAGCTGTTCATTCTTAGCAGAACATAACTTTGATGTTCAATTTTGGAGGAAGGTCTAATGATCATATATAGTTTGATGTTTGAAATACGGTTAAAGGATGTATAGTAATAACAATTTAAGGGTTCTTTTTATTTTTGTAAACGGGTTATATAAGGAAAAACTCAATTTGTTCTCTAGATGTGTAATCATCATCAAACGCTCCCAAGATAAAATATTTTAATAGGACTAACAGAACCACCTATATGTTTACAGTCTAACATTAACTAAGTCAATCTGAAGGAACCCGGCCAAATGCAAGTATTTGAAAATAAGATGTTGGTTACAGAATGCTTTTCATTAAACGAGTTGATAATACAAATAGATTGCTACAAAACATACAAGTACCAAAGACGAAACAAGCTATAAGACACTTACAAATTATTATCCCACTCAAACAAAATAAAGATATAAACATAACACTCTAGCTTGCATGCATTTATTCAAACTGTAAATATTTTGAAGAGGAAACTGTGTTGGCGTTGTCTGCTTTTCTGATTTACTTGCATTCGAAACCAGATGGAAGGTTCTTGTTACATTTGTTGAGAAGAACGCTGAGAGATATAGGAATGTTAAGGTTGATCCCGAGAACGCTAGCCTTAAGAGCAGTGCAGAGACAAACTGCAGCCTCGACGTCAGCCAAACCTTCCACAAGCGAGCAACATTGTTGAGATGATGGCTGACCCAACTGTATGTTGAGTAGGCTGCTTAGGACATTTGCACATGCACCGAGCTTGAGGACATCTATGGGGCAGTTTTCAGATGGGTTGCTCGGAGGTGAGACCGGCATAGGGGGACTTGGGCTGGGCTTGGGCGGCGGACATGAGACCGGCTTGGGTGGCGGACTTGGGCTCGGTTTGGGCGGCGGACTTGGGCTCGGCTTGGGCTTAGGACTTGGGGGGCAGTTACAACCAGTTGCAGCGGCTAAGGTGAAAAACAGGATGTTGAGGGCAACGAAAAGAGCAAAAGAGGCTGAGTTCTTTGAGGCCATAATTTTTTCAAAAGATAGACTCAGTTTTATAAGGATTGTGTGAGTGTGTTTGAGAGATAGAGAGATGAGTATAAATGGAGAGAAGGTGTGAGTATTTATAGGGTTTTAGAAAGATATGAAGAGAGCCAACTTGTTTTAATATAATCAATTAACTATACATATATTCATTGTAGAAAAATATCTGATCCTTTATCTGCATTTACCTAGATATACAAATCTGACTCATTTTTTTATTTTATTTTTCTTTAGATACGTAGAACTGAACCTAAAAGTTATTTGGAATGTCGATTTTGTAAAACATTTTTATAATTTAAAATTTAGTTTTTTTTGGGTTAAATTTAAAATTTAGTTTGTTTGTGCATTCATATTAGTATTATTGTCAAGTTGCCACTGCTGTTATTATCACCATCATGAGTTCTTGACTCCATGACACGTATTCATAGTCTCTTTGTCTCTCGTAGTCATTTTACTTCACAGCTTCTATACAAAATGTTTTACGTGAATATTTTCATAATTTTGTATGCTCTTATATATGTATAAATTGGGACCTCAAAACCTTGCATCACTCGAATTGGTTTGTATATTGAATTCTCATATGTGACGGAGTGTTTTGTATGTTATATATGGATAAATCGTTTGTTGGGTAGAATATTAGGTATTCTTAACTGGTTAAGTTCTTTTCTTAATCAATTATAAACCCTTACCCCTTAATTATTAGTACCTTAATGAAATTTACACTTCATAAAAAAAAAAACTATGAGTCTAGGAAAAATATCTCAACTTATTTTGGGGTGTCAATTGGACAATCCTGACGTAGCTTGTACGTGTGACGTGTCGCGCGGGTCCAAAACTTGTCTGTATTGTCTCATTCTAATTTTCGTTTCTTCTTATTGATTGATATATAAAACTATCAAGCGTATACTAAAAATTTTAAAATCATGAAACATACCAATATACAAGGTGGTTGGCCCGCGCCTGCGCGGACAAGAGATGTTTTAGAACTTCAAATCCTTTCAATTAATATTAGATGAACGCATTTTCTTTTTAATTACTTTTCATATTTTTGTAATGTGTTTATTTTTCAAAGAAGTAATAGCTTAACATTTTGTTAATTTGATACGAACTTATAAACTGTGAAAGATCTAGAAAAAAAATAGTTAACTTTTATAATGGTTGTTTTCTTCTCCGTCTTATTATTTTTCACTGATCCCATCTTTTTTTTTCTTCCATTTATTTATTCGTTGTCATCATCCTTTTTTCCCCCACTTCTTCTTTTTCAAATTTTCGTTCTTCAATCATTTCTTGTATCTTCATATCCTCCAACTTACTATTCTTCTTTTTCTTTCTAATTTTCTTTATATTCTTTTTACGTTTTTTCTTATTCCTCATTCCCCTCACTCTCTATCTTTATCATCTTCGTCTTTTCATACATCATCTTATTATAGTTTTTATTTATTTCTTATTTGTCTTTTTTTATCTTCACATTTCATTTTTTCTTCTTTGTTTTCTTTTTTCTCTTCGAGTTTTCTTCTTCTTTTCAAAGTTTCTCATCTTCTTTTCCACCGTCTTCTTTTGTTCTACTCGTGTTTATATTTCTTCTTGTCTACGTCTTATATTTCACTTATCAATTCATTTAGTAGTTTAGATTTTCAAGGATTCGTGAAATAGTTTTTATCTTTATATAGTCGAGATCTTTTTAAAATCTAATTAATTTGTGTTGTTCTCTTTTGATTATGGTTATGTTTTCATTATTTTAGTTTTTTCTATTTGTAAATGTATTTTAGAATGGTAGATATAAATTTATAATAATTGATTTTTAATTTTGATATACCTTTATAATAATTCAAATTTTTTAAAATGCACCAAAAATTAAACCCTACACTCATCAATATAAACCCTAAACCCAAACTCCACATTATAAACCCCTCCTTTCCCTAATTAAAGAACCACATTGTAACACCACCTCCCCCCCTCCCAAACGACCCTACACCCTAAATCCAAACCCCACGTTATAACTCTCCCTCTCCCCCCAAAACGACCTTACACCCTAGACTGAAAGCCCACGTTATAACTCTCCCTTAAACTGCATACATGAACCCCACATTTTACAAACTGGTTCTGGATTTGCTTTTATTTCTTTTTTTTTCCTTAATTTTTTTTTTAATCGGTAATGTAGTGTATTCAAATTTTTTAAAATGCAACAAAAATTAAACTTTGCGCCAATCAGTATAAACCGTACATCGTGTACCCCAACCCTATTTAAATTTTTTTTTTTTACTTCTTTCATATTGTTTTTCTTCATTTTCTACCGTTTTTCCTTATTCTTATCAAAAATTATAATCTCTTTTTCTTTTCCTCTCTCTTCATCGATATCTTTTTATTTCCTGCTATTGGTTTTGCTATCTTTCATTCTGAATTTGCTTTAATTAATTTAGTTTTTTTCTATTTGTTAATGTAATTTTGAAAGGTATATATAAATTTATAATCAGTGATTTTTAATTTTGATATTCTTCCATAATAATTCAAAGTTTTAAAATGCACTAAAAACTAAACCTTACACTCATCAATAAAAACCCTACACCCTAAATCCAAACCCCAAAATGTAACACCCCCCACCACCCTAAATTAACCTACACCCTAAACCCAAACCCCACAGTGTAACACCACCCCTAAACTATCCTACACCCTAACCCAAACTCCACATTATAATCCCCTCTAAACCGCACCCCGAACCCTGTAGTATAACCCCTCCCCTCCCAAACCGTACCCCCAAACCCCAAATTTTACAAATTGGTTTGGATTTGATTTGATTTTTATTTTTTTCTTAAAAGAAGTTTTTATTTTTTTTAATCGGTATGTAGTGTATTCAAGTTTTTTAAATTGCACCAAAAACTAAACCTTACGTCCATCAATATAAACCGTACATCATAAACCCCAACCCCATTTTATCTTCTTCCTCTTTTACTTTATCTTTTACTTCTTTCATAATTTTTTCCTTCATTTTGTTCCATTGTTTTTCTTATTCTTATCAAACTTTTTGTTCTCATTTTCTTTTCCTTTCTCTTCATCGTCATATTTTTTATTTCCTGGTTTTTATTCGTCTTCTTCCGCTTATTTGCAATTTGTTTTTCAATTGGCTTTGTATTCTTATTCTTCATTTATCTATCTTCTGATTTTTCCAACTTCTTTATTATTCACATATTCTTCAATTCTTTTCTTCTTTTATTTTGTTTCTTTCATTTTTTCCATCTTCATCTTCCAACTTTTGAATTTTCCTTTTATTTGTAATACTGAAATATATTATGCCCCATATCTACAGCGAATATATACATACACAACCCATAATTAGAGAGTTCGTTTATGAAGCAAAACTATGATGCATCCAAAAACAAATGTGCCTTTCACTTAGGTGCAATAATCAACCAACAAACAAATACCTTCGTACAGTCTAATACAGCCTTCTTATACTCTCCAACTTGCCCTTGTTGAAATAACCTTGGCTGATCCAGCTTGATCACCAACTTTATCCATAAGAATCACAGTCCAAGAGTGCCACTTTCTGGATCAACATAAAATTCTTATTGTAATATGCAATTAGGGTATTTAGGGATTATAGAGAAAAAGAGTCTTGCGTCTAATGAGATTTAGGATTGTGTAAAAACAAAACATAGCAAAGAGGTTCAAATAAGGTGAATTCTGGGATTGTCTAAACAACCAATTTATTATGATACTACAACATAACTTCTATAAAGTAATATTAATAAAGTAATAATCACTCTAAGAATAAATATCTCTTTTGGTATGATTATTCTTCTTACTATTCATCTTTTTCATCTCCTTTTAACTTCTTCTTTTCATTTTACAGTTTTTAATAGTGTTATACTCAAGAATTACTACAGTTTGAGGAATCCGTTTTCATTAAAATATAGGAGAAGTTGTTCCAATAGCTTTTCGCTCATTTGTTTCTTGTGATCTCTTCAGTCTTGCATTCTTATGGTTATTCACTTATTCATCTCTTTATCTAAATGAAAAACATAATTTGACAGTTCTCTTTGCTATTCTCGTTTCTTATAATAATAATGGTCTTAATTTAATGGTTTTATTATAACAGTGATGATAATTAAAGATTATTGAGCATGGACCATACAACAGAATGTCAGTAGTAGATTTGCTTTACAAAACAGAGTTATGATAGAGGTGATTCACACCGATAATTTCTCTTAAAGAGCAAGATTTAAGAGAGGTTACTTAACTTACTTATTTAAAAGAAGACTCAAAACTATCAAGCTAAAGCATATATCACAGGGCGATCGATGCAAAACCTATGTGTCTGTTTTTAAAGGTTTCCCTATAACTATAAGAAAGCTATATCCTTTGCTTCTTTAATACTTGATGGATGTTCCAAGAAATTCAACATCAATATTGCACACACTCCATCAAAGATCAAAGATCTCTTCCATGACATTACCACTTAATTTATTTCTACTCCTCATAGTCCATCTCCTCACAGCTTTCTCTTTTTTCTTAGTCCCTTACAAACTCAACCCTAGTATTAAACGTAATCAGCTCTCTTGCCACGTAGGCTTCCCCCTGGAAGCCTCCTCATATCTCTTACCTTCTTTGCCAAAACATGTAAAATACGAACAACCCATTATCTCTCATGTTGAGTCAATGCTGCTATGGACTTGAAGTGCACTATTCGTGGAACCACTTCTTCTTCACAATGGATCTTTTTCCACTACGTTTGGTTGAGGAAACCATTTGCCTCGTCAAAATATAAATTTCCAAGCATACCTCTAACGTGTATTCTAGACTTAAAGGATTCAAGTTAAATCCTTGTGAGCATGTTGAGCTTTGTATCTGTTTGAAAGAATAAAATTTGAAAGAGAGGAAAATCTATAAGAAGAAGGACGAAGGTAAGCTACCAATAAAGCGTAAAGCCACCAAAAATCTCGACATTGTTGAAAAGTAGAGATAGTCACACAGGAAAATAACTTACTTTGCATAGCCAAGAGGGCAAGAGGCCCAAGACCGTGCACCCACATCAACATTCTCTGCACCCAAGTCCTCTGTTCTTTAACTTTACTTCTTCTTTCATACCTACGTGTTGTAATCCACCATGTTTTATATCTCTAGACTCTAGCATAACAATGAAAATCTTTACCTATTCTTTTTTGGTCGGTAGATAAATAAAATGTCAGTCAAAATTGGAAAATAATCTACAAAATTCTAAAAGCTTGAACGAAGATAAATGTATGACGAAATATGCGCAAATTCCTGGCAGAGAAAGATAACATGGTTTGGTGTGACCTCCATTCACAAAATATCGTCTTTTGGTTACCCACACAAAATCCTCGCAGTTACAAAAAAAACACTTCCTTCTCCTCTGTTTTTTCCTTCTTTCACTACAACAACTCAACAACTAAAAAACAAAAAACAAAGACAAAGACAAAATCAATGCTTTTGTATTGTATACCTTTAAATTCCATAGAGAGTGAGAGAAACAAACATGTCATGAAAACGTTTTGTATGAAACTGAAAATACAGTTTGTTTTTCATGTGATGGAATATATTATAGTTCTCAGATCCTGAAGAAGACGAAGTCATGTTTCGGAAAAGTTTCCTATCAGTTCATCTTTTTCTGTAGAAGTTGACAACGATAATTAGTTATAGATGTTTAGAATATAGCGCAAAACACTAACGATTTAGTATAAAATATAAAACTCATATGATGGATTTCAGATATCCTTATTGGAATTAGGTTTTCATGAGCTTCAAGTTGTAACTAAAAAGGGAAGATGTACATACCTTTATTTTTGGCAAAGAATTTTTTATGGTTGGTACTATATCTGATCTTCGTGAATCCATTAGCAACCAAAGCATAAATTTTCTGTTCCAAAAGTGAGAGAAATAGAATTAGTTATGCATATGTTTCAAAAAATTTGCAGAAAATAATAATCAGTTAATCATTAGAACTAATAAAACTAAAGTCTACCAAAAAAAATTAACATACATGAAGAGAAGAAATAAGAACTCAAATAATTAAAATCACGTCTACAAAGAAGAAACATAAATTGTGATGATTTTACTTATTGTTATCTATTTATATAAGAGGAAGTCGGTTAAGAACCTACGATCTTGTTTCTGTTTTTTTTTTCTTTATTTTATTTGGGAAAATTGTGGCTGGATAATATGGTACATAGTTAAGATATTTTTATCTTTTAATAATTTAATGAAAAATCAAACTCATAAAAAAAAGGAAATTATGAAGATTTAATCAAGATTTTCATTAAGGGTAGTTATGTAATTCTGAGGCTGAGAGTTAACGTGGTGCCTCCATTCGAAATTCTGACTTCGCAAATAATAGTATGATATATATAGTATACTAACAAATAATAACTTGAAGGTTCATAATACTAACAAACATACCAATCCGAAAGAGGTTGGCTTGTTGAAAACAACTTTTTTGGTAGAAATATATGTTCCAATCCTGTTTACTTTTCGAGTCAGACATGATACCTCAAAACCGTTCCTAATTGACATATCTTTATCATATCAATTCTGAAATGACCGATTCAGGGAAGCAAGACACTTTTATACGTACATTGTCGTCCGCATAAACTTGAGCCGTATTTCCATAAGTAGAGATAAAACCACGTAATACCATTAGGAAACGTACTAGATAGGAAACGTTAACATCTTTAATAGGACAATTTACTCCGGTAATGAATTTGCTGGAAAGTTGTCTGCCCTTATATTTTAACTACTTATTTTTTCTAATTATATTTTTGAGATTGTATGTTCTTTCTAACCAAGAAATTCGGAGCTGGTTCCATAATCTTTTCATAGCAGATTACATTAGTCCCACTCCCCCATCGTTGGTATCAGAACTCAAGATTTTTCCTAATCTTTTTTCTTTTAGGTGGCTATTTGTTACTTATACCACTCGAGCTAGCTACCAACACTAGATAATTTCATCTGACTATTTTACTGAATAATAATTGAAAACACAACAAAAAATGTGAAAAAAAACTCACTTTGAATTTATGAAAAAGAAGCTAAAATAATGACGTGAATTTTACAAGGGATTGAGTAAGGGCCGACAATAAAATATCTAGCTGCACTTGAACAACGGACGTCATGCTTAACGTCCGAACCATAACGTCCGTTATCTCATAAACTTAACATCGGTTTTCATTTGACAAAAAAAAATTGAAATCTAAACATATACAGTGGAGTGGATAACCATTCTTGAGATAGTAAAATGTATTATTCGAACACTATTGATATATCCTATCAGATTTACATTATGATAATCAAAACTGATATATCCTTTCAGATTTAAAGCATACTGGTATGTTCATCTACATTATATTACTTTCAATTTTCTACGTACATGTTTTTTTTTTTGTAAGTTTAATTTTTTTTTTCTCAATGCTTACCAGTAAATGCATAACAACTTGAGCAATTGGTATTTTAAGAGAGCGACGATGAAAGCTTTCTGGAGGTCACATAATATGAACGTACTGTTGTTCGATTTATATTGTATAGTTGCTGTTTGATGGCATAAATTAAAGGCTTCCGGGAAAAGATCACCTAAAGCCTTTATCATCAGTTTTGTGAGTTTTTGTACTCTGTGATTGGTGAGTATCCTTATATATATGATAGGTAGATGAATAACTGCAGCTGCCAAGAGTACGCTCGAAAACGTCGTAGTGGCCAAGAGCGCATTCCGATGAAATAATTGGACGAAAAGCATCTGATTGTGTTGAATCATTTGGTTAAGCTTCTTTTGTCAACTTGGCGTAAAATTACGTGATATTTTCCGATCCAACGATAGGAATGAAAATGTTGAATAAATGACATAACATTAACTATGAAAAAACTTTCATTTATCTGTCTATAAGAAAAAGTTACAACATACAAACTTGGAAAAGCATTTACTATTAGATAACTTCACCTAAACAAGAAGATTTAAACAATAAACCCTTAACTTGCATGCATGCATGCATTTATTCAAACTAATACATTTTGAAAAGGAAAGTACGTGTGCACATCTTATGCATATATAGCTGATATCTTTCAACGGCACTGGAAACGAGATGGAAGGCTTTTGTTACAAACGTTGAGAAGAATGCTGAGAGATATAGGAACGTTGAGGTTGATGCCGAGAACGTTAGCCCTAAGAGCAGTGCAGAGACAGACCGCAGCCTCGAGGTCAGCCAACCCTTGGATGACCGAGCAGCATGATTGAGATGATGGCTGACCCAACTGCACGTTGAGTAGACCGCTTAGGACATTTGCACATACACCGAGCCTGAGGGCATCTATAGGACAAATTCCAGATGAGCCAGGGGTGCTTGGACTTGGGACTGAAGGGCTAGGGACGGAAGGACTTGGGACTGAAGGACTAGGGACGGAAGGACTTGGGACTGGTTTGGGGGGCACAATACCATGGACTGGCTTGGGCTTAGGACTTGGGGTGCAGCCACAATCAGTTGCAGCAGTTAAGGTGAAAAAGAGGATGTTGAGGACGAAGAAAAGAGCAAGAGAGGCTGAGTTCCTGGAAGCCATTATTTTTTTCCAAAAGATATATTCGGTGTTATAAGGATTATTGAATGTGTTTGAGAGAGGTATGAAGAGAATGAAGGAAGATGTGGGTATTTATAGGGTTTCATGGATATAGGACCAACTCGTTTTAGTATGATTAATTATATATATCTACAAAATATCTGATTTTCTACAAATACAAATTTTGACCCTTTTTTTTCCTCTGTGTAGATACGTAGAACCTCGAAATTATTAGGAACATCGTTATTGTAAATCATATTACTAAAAAAGTATTTGTGCATTCATATTATTACTAGTTTCAAATTGTCATGCTGTTATTATATATACATCATCATGACTTCATGGCCCCATTGTGAATACATTCAGAGTCTCTTTGGCTCGTAGTCATATCAGAAGGCCTTTACACATACCTTTAAGAAGGAAGATAAGATTCCAGCCAATACAAGATGTTCAGTCTGAATGCTTTTCGAAAACTTGGATCCTATTATCCATATATTGCGGCTCATGTGTCACAGAGTGTTTTGTATGTTACAGAAATGCAACTAAGTTTGAAATAATGTTTACATAGAGCAACCGAAGGACCCTAGATTTTTGGCATAACTCAAAGTCTCAAACATACTACGATGTCAACATACTCATGTTCATATATTTAGGGTAACGCAAAATCAGTTGATTTTTCGTTTGTTTTCTAAAGTCAATAATTATATTTTTTCCCAAAGAAAAATGCCATTTTTTCAGCAATGCTAAGACAAAAAAAAAAAAAAATAAAAAAAAAATAAAAAAAACCCATTTAAAGTCAATTAAAACATATATAACGTTTGCATGCAAACAAGAAAAATTCACGCGGTGATATGGACACATTAATTAATATATATGTGATAATAATCATACACAAAATATAAAGTTTGATGGGCAGCTAGTCTTGAAAGACAAAAAAAGATTGGGCAGCTATTTTATACCTTTTGAGTTTTGATCTGAAATTCAAAATCTCAACATATCTAAGTATAAACTTCTTACGGACAAAAAAAATAAAAAACTAATGCTTGTACGTGTTTGTGTTTTTGTTTAGTTGTTGCAAGTGCGTTTGTGTTTGCATTTTAAGCCGCATTAGTTTTACTGTTACGCCTTTATTTTCCTTACATTTTTATTTATTTTCTTTCTGTTTAATATTATACCGAATGAATAGAAAAGCTTTACATAGGGGAATAGGGGAATGTTTTTGTTGACAGTTGACACATGGTAATAGAGCATCAAAAACAGAATGATAGGGGATGTGAATATTGATCTTTTCGTTCCCCCTTTCTTAATTTTTTTCTCTCCAAAATATTTGTCTGCTACACAAAACTTCTAAAAACAATAGAAAGAAATATTTGTTTGGAATTAAAAAAAAAGTCCGGATGAAAGTTCGGGATTTTGAACCCGACGTGAATCGAACACGCAACCTTCTGATCTGGAGTCAGACGCGCTACCATTGCGCCACGGATCCGGATGCTATTTAATCAAACATATATTTATCTAACAATACTTTAATATAATTAAAATAGTTCCAGGGTCGTTTGCATCACAAGGCGAATGATGAAAGTGGTGTTCTAGCATCGAGCAGTAGAATGCAACCAGCAGAGAATATTTGCTAGATTTGATGGAGGAGATAAGGAGAGAATGACTACCATTGCCATATCTCTGAGATGTAAACACAGTCGCAAAACGATATATAGTGTGAACTGTGAAGACATTGTTTTGTTGCAACCCAACTGATAAAATCCTGTTTGAGAATTCTTCTCGAAAACAATATATGATAGATTACAATCGAAAAGATCGCAGTGGTCAAGAGCACATTCCAGTGAAACCACTAAACAAAAAGCATTAATTTTAACTGTGCAGAATAATGTTTTCACCTTTTTGTCAACTCATGTCAATTGGACTAATGTTACGTGAAATATTCCAATCTGAATATACCAATAATTGTTTTGGAATATAAGACGTTGACTATGAAAAGTCTTTCATTTAACTGTCTAAAAAACGTTACAACTTACAACAAACACATACATAAGCGGAAAAGCGTTTACCAACAATGATAAATAACTCTCACTTTAACAAAAAAACAAAAACTTGCATGCGTGCATGCATTTATTCAAACAATAATATTTTGAAAAGGAAATTGTGTGTGCGCGCATCTTATGCATAGCAGCATAGGTCATGTCGTTTAAGCGCACTGGAAACCGGACGGAAGGTTATTCTTGTTACAAGCGTTGAGAAGAACGCTAAGAGATACTGGAATGTTAAGGTTGATGCCGAGAACGTTAGCCCTAAGAGCAGTGCAGAGACAAACCGCAGCATCGAGGTCAGCCAAACCTTGGATGAGTGAGCAGCATGGTTGGACTGATGGTTGACCCAACCGCACATTGAGTAGACCGCTTAGGACGTTTCCACATACACCGAGCCTGAGGGTATCTATAGGACAGTTTCTTGATGAGTCAGGGGTGCTTGGGCTTGGGACCGATGGAGTTGGGATTGAAGGGCTTGGGACCGATGGAGTTGGGACTGAAGGACTTGGAACTGATGGAGTTGGGACTGAAGGACTTGGAACCGATGGAGTTGGGACTGAAGGACTTGGGACCGACGGCCTAGGATTAGGACTTGGGACCGAAGGACTAGGGACTAGCGGCCTAGGGTTAGGACTTGGGACTAGCGGCCTAGGGCTAGGTCTCGGGAACGAAGGAGTTGGGAGTGGCCTGGACTTTGGACTTGGGCTGCAGCGACAATCAGTTGCAGCGGTTAAGGTGAAAAAAAGGATGTTGAGTGCAAAGAAAAGAGCAAGAGCGGATGAGATCTTTGAAGCCATTTTTCTTTCAAAAGAGAGGTTCGGTGTTATAAAAATCGTTGGTGTGTTTGAGAGAGAGAGATGAAGTGAGATGAAGTAAGATGAAGAGAAGGTGTGGATATTTATAAGGTTTTAAAAGGATGTGGAGAGGGACAACTTGTTTTAATAAATAATTTAATATATAATTGTACAAAATGTCCTATACTTTTTCTGTAGTTATCTACATATACAAAATCTGACTTTTCTTTCTTTCTGTAGATACCTAGAACCTCAAAGTTCTTTGTAACGTCGTAATTGTAATGCATGTATAATTAAGAAGATATTTTGATTCGTGCTGTGAATTTGACAATGTGTATAGGATTGGGGTTTGGTTTTGAATTTTGTAGAAATGTATTTGTATTTTCTTGTCTGAACTTTAACCTTTTGTTTTATCTTATAGTTTCATTTGTTGTAGTATTATGCCTTAGGATTGCTTCGTGTGATATATATGAAAAATTATAAGGAAATGATATGTTTAAAAACTTTAACGGAGTTTCCGTATAGATAAAACAGAGTACCAGAAACTTTAACGGAGTTTCAATCAAACTAACCATAAATTATCTTCAAGAAAACAATACAAGACAAAGAAAAACTATTAAAACAAGTTTTAACAAATCTATACCAAACATGAACTAAAGTATAAGAAGTAAAATATTTACGCCCCCGTTAATCATGGTTGTCTTGATGTCTTCTTTTCAATAATTTATTTTTCCGAAATTCAGCACCAGGACAGTACAAGGTTCAAGTAGCCTCCTTGTAAAGACTTTGTTATTTGGATTCCCTGTTTTAAACCCAAAGAGAACTCCCGAATTAATCATAGAGCGTTTGTCAATACTATATGTTTTTTTTATAGACTAATGGTCTTATATCAGCGTTTGTCAATACTATAATACGTTAAAACTAGATAAACCAAAATACTATAATACGTCAATACAGTACGATTTTGTTTTGTTGGTGCAGTACACGACTTTTTGGGTAGAAATGCATATAATCTTGAATAGAGTGTTATTTAGAAAAACAATCGAAATGCGCATTCATATTGGTATGACTATAGATTTTCATTGCTGTTGTGATCATGGCCCCATTGCACATTTATTCAAATTCTCCCTGGCCCGTCATTTTACTTCAGAAACTTCGAAGTTGTTAGATATTTTTTATAAGTGAGATTTATTTTGTTCTACCCATTTTCTGTAGCTCTAAATGTAATAACTAGTCTCCTGAAAAGAATTCAAACAAGTTAGGGATGTCAACTATAAGTAGGGAAATATATCCATCTCCGGAAATATAACGAAATATTCGTTTTATATCCAAAAATATTTTCGGAGATGGATCGGGATTTTGAACCCGACGTGAATCGAACACGCAACCTTCTGATCTGGAGTCAGACGCGCTACCATTGCACCACGGATCCGGATGTTACATTATCAAACTTATTTTTATCAAACCATGATTTAATATAATAAAAAAGCTTCTCATAGTGTTGTAAAGGGTCGCTTGCATCATGTAGTGTATAGATCTAGGTTTACGTTCGATTCGCACCTCACACACTCTCGTTTGTTCACTCGTTTGTTTGTAAGAACGCACAAAATAAGAAGGAAACAGAACAAGAGACAAGACACGATTTTTAACCCAGTTCGGCCTATCAGTGTGATAGTAAAACCTACTCTGGGGACGGACTCGATCCTGGCGCTTTATAGATCAGAGATGAATCACTCTCAAAGGAGCTTACAAGAGAAACACTCAAAGACAAAGCTTTCTCTCTGTTTTTATAACGGCTTGTAATGAATGAGCTGAGACAGAGTATAAATAGGCATACTCAGGTAGATACTCTGTCGCGATCAGAGTCTCTCATCCTTCCCTTCAATCGCCAAAAACGCTGCACTTCAATTAGCCTCAAACCGGAATGCACACAGACGATAACCAGCTCTTCTTCTTTACGTGTGTGTGACACAACAAACCTTGTGTGTAACGCAGAAATAAGAATCAGAACCCAACTTCTGTAACAAATCTCCACCTTGATTCTAATTTCATCTCATCTCATCTCTATAAAACGCACTGCTTAGGACCTTACCTCCGGCTAAGTGATAACACACTTCATCCACGTTGAATCAGCCTCAGAGCATCTAAGGCAGACTCAAACGTTGACACACGAACACTCTTGGTCAGAATATCCGCAGGGTTGACTGAGGTGTGAACCTTTGAAACTTCAACCTCACCCTCCTCAATAACTTCTCTGATAAAATGGTATTTGTATGAAATATGCTTTGTCCTTTCATGGAATACATTGTTCTTGGATAAGCATATTGCAGACTGAGAATCACACCAAACCATAGCTCTTTCTTCACCAAAACCCATATTTTTGAGCAGACCCTTGATCCAAATCGCTTCCTTTACAGCCTCTGTCAATGCAATGTATTCTGCTTCAATAGTAGAGAGAGTCACAACTGGTTGTAAATTTGATCTCCAGCTAATAGTGTTCCCTCCAACAGTGAATACATAGCCACTTGTAGACTTCCTTTTGTCCCTATCACCAGCGAAATCTGAATCACAGTAACCTTGAATATTGAAGTTCTTGTTCTTGGTAAAGACTACCTCCAAATCTGACGATCCTTTGATGTACCTCAACAACCATTTCACAGCTTCCCAATGCATCATCCCTGGCTTACTCATAAACATGCTGACTAACCCAATAGCATAAGCTATATCCGGCCTTGTCCCAATCATAGCATACATAATGCTTCCAACAACACTTGAGTAAGGATACTTCTCTGTATCAATGCATTCTGAATCTTCTGTAACTGCAGACAACTTGAAATGTCCACCCATTGGTGTATTAACAGACTTTGCCTCTTTCATTTTGAACTTCTGAACCACTTTCTCCAAGTAACTCGCCTGAGACAAATATAACACACCCGCTTCTCTGTCTCTCCTGATATCAATACCCAAAATTCTGCTTGCTGGACCCATATCCTTCATCTCAAACTCAGAACTCAATGCACTCTTGAGCTTAACAATCTCTGCTATATCCTTTGCAGCCATCAATATATCATCAACGTAAAGTAGAAGATACATGTAACCACTTTCAACCTTCTTCACATAAACACAAGAGTCTTGATGGCTTCTGACAAACTTCTCACCTATAATGAACTGATTGAACTTCTTGTTCCACAATCTAGGTGATTGTTTCAGACCATACAAAGATTTCTTGAGCAAACAAACCTGATCTTTATCTTTATCAACCTCAAAACCTTCAGGCTGCTCCATGTATAGCTCTTGATCTAAATCTCCATGAAGGAATGCAGTTTTTACATCCATTTGTTCAAGCTCCAAATCTTGATTTACCACTGCAGACATCAGAATCCTTATAGAGACATGTTTTACAACAGGAGCAAAGACTTCATCGTAGTCAATCCCTTCTCTCTGTGTAAAACCTCTTGCCACCAAACGAGATTTCAATCTCTTTAACTCCACTCCCGGAATCCCAGTTTTCTTTCTGTACAGCCACCTGCAACCAATGACTTTCTTGTCTTTAGGTCGATCAACAATATCCAAATCCTGTTCTTTGCCAGTGAAGTCATCTCATCACCCATTGAATCATTCCACTCTTCCCATTCTGGTGAATTCATGGCTTCGTGATAACACTGTGGTTCCTCAATATCGAGATCTTCAGCAACAAGTAACGCAAATGCTACCATGTTGTAATCATTGAACCTGGCTGGAGGTGCAGTAGTTCTCATCTTTCTGTCTTTTGCTAGTTGATAACCAGCTAGATCAACCACGTCTTCATCATACTGCTCCTCCTCTTCTTCTTCAGTCTCGTTTGAACCGTTTTCAGTAGCTCCACCTGGAACAAGATTCTCTGTAACTTGTTGTCGACCTTGTTGTTCTTCTGAACTTGTCTCTGCCACAATCTCAATTTCCCTTGTCTCACTTGACTGACCAGTTTCCAGATTTCCCTCTGTAACCTTCTCTGTTTCATTACCCAGATCTTTAAACACTTGTTCTTCATGAAATATCACATTTCTGCTTATCACACACTTCTCTTCTTCCAACAACCAGACCTTGTACCCTTTTGTACCCTGTGGTTAACCCAAGAAAATGCCTTTCAATGCTCTTGGCTTCAGTTTCCCTTGATCGTGATGTACATAAGCAACTGAGCCAAATCTCCTCAAGTGTTTGTAACCAGGCTTTCTGTTAAGCCATAACTCTTCTGGAACATTGTGATCAATGGCTGAGCAAGGTGATCGATTGATCAAATATGCTGCTGTTGATGCTGCCTCAGCCCAGAACTCTTCACCAAATCCTGATTCACTCAACATACACCTGACTTTCTCCATAATGGTTCGATTCATCCTCTATGCAACACCATTTTGTTGAGGTGTGTAAGTGCATGTTCGATGTCTCTCAATGCCATGAGCTTTGCAATGATTATCGAACCTTGTGTTGCAGAACTCCAACCCATTATCTGTTCTTAAAACCTTCACCTTCTTGTTCACTTGATTCTGAACCAAAGTCATCCACTCACAAAACTTCATGAATGTTTCATCTTTTGTGTTTGAGAACATCTGCCACACCTTCCTTGTTTTGTCATCCACAATAGATAGAAAATATTGCTTCCCTGACAAAGATGGTGTGACATTTGGAGAACCCCACAAATCAGCATGTATGTAACCAAGAGCATCCACAGTAGTGTGCTTTCCCACATTGAAACTCAGCTTCTTTGCTTTACCCATGACACAATGCTCACAAAACTGAAGATCTTTCACTTCTTTTCTGTCAATCAAACCTTTTCCAGACAAGATTCTCAGACTGTTGATACCCATGTGTCCAAGTCTGCTATGCCACAAGGCTGTTTTATCAAACTTCTTCTCAACATTACAGCTTTCAGATAAAACAGTCTCTCCATCAAGAAAATACAGCCCATTAATCAAATTTCCTCTCAGAGCTGTTTTGTTATTCTTGAAATATCTCACTTTACCATCTCCACCTTCATGCTTAAAACCAAACTTATCCAACGTTCCTGTGGAGATGAGATTTCTTCTCAGTTGTGGCACATATCGAACATTGTGTAACACATTGATTGAGCCTCCATGTGTGTTGAGTCTTATCGACCCCTGTCCGTGAGACATAATCGAGTGATTGTCTCCCAACAAGATGGTCGTGCCTCCATTGTCTTTAAAGTCAATGAACCAATCTTTCCTTGCAGTCATATGAAACGTGCAACCAGAATCCAACACCCACACATCTTCAGGTCTCTGCTCATCAACATTCAATGCCTCGGAGTAAACAAGCTTCTCTGTGACAACACCAGCCTCTCCTGGTCCATCATCACCATACTTCTTCTTTCTTGCATAGCAATCCTTCTTTACATGACCTTCTTTCTTGCAAAACCAGCAAGTAACTCTTGATTTTGAGTTTGATCTACTCCTTCCCCTTCCATTTGAATCCTTGGAACCCTTAGAGTAAGATCTTCCTCTTTCTTTTGTGTAAAGACTCGTTGCAGGTCCTTTATTCTCCTTAGAGGTTTCTGCCAACTCTCTTTCCCTGGACCTCACAGCAGATACAACTTCCTTGAGAGTCAGAGTCTCTCTTCCATACTTGAGTGTATGAGCTAGTTGATCATAGCTTGGTGACAGAGATGTGAGAAACAAGATAGCCTGAACTTCATCCGTGACTTTAACATCAAGGCTATTCATCTCTGCAACAATCTTGAGGAAATCATCGACATTCTGATCAACACTTCTAGCATCATTCATCTTAAAAGTGTAAAACTTTAGCTGCAGATGTATACGGTTCGGCAAGGTGCTTTCCGTGTACAGCTCATCAAGCAAAGACCACATCTCAGTAGCAGTAACGCAATGCTCGATTTTCCTCAACACATGATCACCAACGCTGTTGATAATCATACCAAGTGCTTTCTCTAACTTCTCAAACTTTGCAGGATCAGGAACAAACTCTGTTAGTGGCTCAGTAGTTGGTTGAGCCTGTCCTGCAACCGGTACTCTAACGATTGGTACCTCCTTCTCCAACTTGAAGTCGGTTATGATATCCTTAAGACCAAGGATACGAAAATGAGCCATCATCCTTGTCTTCCACAGACCAAAGTCTCCTGTACCATCGAATCTATCAACATCAACCTTTGTGCTTGACATCAGATCCTTCGCCATCTCACACAAAGGCTGAAAGGTGACACCTTTAACCGAGAAACACCAAGAACTCCACCAAAGCTTGCACCTTTACGAGAAAGGAAGCTCCTTTATAGTGAAACTCTTCAAAGCTCGAAGCTTTCTTCATATCTACACCAAAGCTCGAACCTTTACCACCAACAGCGGCTAAAGGTTGAAGCTTTCACCGTTCCTTCGACAAAGCTTGGACCTTTATCACTAACGCCGACTAAAGGTCGAAACTTTCTTCAAGGAACCTGGCTCTGATACCACTTGAAGTGTATAGATCTAGGTTTACGTTCGATTCGCACCTCACAGACACTCGTTTGTTCGCTCACTCGTTTGTAAGAAACACAAAACAAAGAAAAACAGAACAAAGAGATGAGACACGATTGTTTACCCAGTTCGGCCTATCGGTGTGATAGTAAAACCTACTCTGGGGCCGGACTCGGTCCTAGCGCTTTATAGATCAGAGATGAATCACTCTCAAAGGAGCTTACAAGAGAAACACTCAAAGACAAAGCTTTCTCTCTGTTTTTACAACGGCTTGTAATGAATGAAGCTGAGACAGAGTATATATAGGCATACTCAGGTAGATACTCTGTCGCGATCAGAGTCTCTCATCCTTCCCTTCAATCGCCAAAACGCTGCACTTCAATTAGCCTCAAACCGGAATGCACACAGACGATAACCAGCTCTTCTTCTTTACGTGTGTGTGACACAACAAACCTTGTGTGTAACGCAGAAATAAGAATCAGAACCCAACTTTTGTAACACATCACAAGGCCAATGATGGAACCAGCAGAGAATATCTCTGAGATTGTGGAGATGCGGTAACATATAAGGAGAAAGACTGCCATTGCCATATCTCTGAGATGTAAACACAATCGAAAAATATATGTTTTGATGTTTTTAATTTGTCGGCTGAGTTACGTTACATGCATAAGAGACATAGCGGAGAAACGTTCATTCTCCAGCTACACGAATGATTTCTAGTATGAAGACATTGTCTTAACTCATAAAACGTGTTTGTGAAATGTTCGCGAAAATCATATATGATAGATGAAAGAGTGCATTAGGCAAGAGCACAATCTAAAAGACCGTACTAGTCAGAAGCTGCAGCTGCCAAGACAACGTTAATGCTCGAAAAAACCGCAGTGGCCAAGAGCACATTCCAATGAAACCACTGGACAAAAAGCATTAGTTTAGATTCTGTTGAATCATTTTTGTCACCTTCATTTGTCAACTCAATTGTACTAATGTTACGTAAAATATGTCAATCGAAGTATACAAAGGAATATAAGACGTTCACTATGAAAAGTCTTTTATTTAACTGTCTAAAAAAGTTACAACAAACACATACATGGGCGGAAAAGCGTTTACAAACAATGATAAGAAACTCTCACTTAAACAGAATATTTTAAACACTAAACATTAAACCCTTAAATTGCATGCGTGCATGCTTTTATTTAAACTATAACATTTTGCAAAGGAAACTGTGTGTGCGCATCTTATGCATAGGTGATATCGTTTAAGCGCATTGGAAACCGGACGGAAGGTTATTCTTGTTACAAGCGTTGAGAAGAACGCTAAGAGATATGGGAACGTTAAGGTTGATGCCGAGAACGTTAGCCCTAAGAGCTGTGCAGAGACAAACAGCAGCATCGAGGTCAGCCAAACCTTGGATGAGCGAGCAGCATGGTTGAACTGATGGCTGACCTAACCGCACGTTGAGTAGACCGCTTAGTACGTTTCCACATACACCGAGCCTGAGGGTATCTATAGGACAGTTTCCGGATGAGCCAGGGGTGCTTGGGCTTGGGACTGATGGAGTTGGGATTAAAGGGCTTGGGACTGATGGAGTTGGGATTAAAGGGCTTGGGACCGATGGAGTTGGGACTGAAGGACTTGGGACCAACGGCCTAGGGGGAACGGAACTTGGGATTGAAGGACTTGGGACCAACGGCCTAGGGGGGACCGAAGGACTTGGCACTGAAGGACTTGGGACCAACGGCCTAGGGGGAACCGAAGGACTTGGGACTAGCGGCCTAGGGCTAGGTCGGACTGGCCTGGACTTTGGACTTGGGCTGCAGCGACAATCAGTTGCAGCAGTTAAGGTGAAAAAGAGGATGTTGAGTGCAAAGAAAAGAGCAAGAGCGGATGAGTCCTTGGAAGCCATTTTTAGTTGTCAAAGAAAGATTGTTGAGTGCGTTCAAGAGAGAGAGATGAAGTAAGATGAAGAGAAGGTGTGGGTATTTATAAGGTTTTAGAAGGATGTGGAGAGAAACAACTTGTTTTTGTAATTAATTATATATATAATTCTACAAAATATCTTATACTTTTTCTCTGCGTTTACCTACACATACAAAATCTGACTTTTCTTTCTTTCAGTAGATACGTAGAACCGCAAAGTGCTTTGGAACGTCGTAATTGTAATGCATTATGCATGTATAATTAAGAAAATATTTTGATTCGTTCTGTAAATGTGAATGTTTTCCAATTGACATGTGATGCATAGTTTAGGAGGACATCATAGTTGTGCATGATTCGGGATTGGGTCATTAGTTGTAGTCTTTATGCGTTAGGATTGCTTTGTATAATGGAAATGATATGTTTTGGTGAAATTATGCAGACGTAACTCACCTTCTTAGAGGATCCATTAGGATTGAAAATCAAATACTTATAAAAAAAAATGACATGCTTAGAAACTTGAACCGAGTTTCCTCAGTGTAGATAAAACAGAGTAATAGAGCACAGTACAAGGTTCAAATAGCCTTGTAAAGACTTTGGTATTTGGTAATCATACATCTTTGGTAATTTAATTGATCTTTTACCAACGTTTGTCAATATTATAATAAGTAAATACATAAACCAAATCGGATTACAGTGCGACTTTTTGGGTAGAAATACATAGGATTTGAATAGAGTGTTATTTAGAAAATAATTAATTTGTGCATTCATATTAGTATTACGTTATATTTTCGTTGCTGTTGTGATCGATCATGGCCCCATTGCACATTTATTCAAATTATCCATGGCGTGTCATTTTACTTCAGAAACTTCGAAAATGTTGGTAAGAATTTTGTATCAGGATTTGTTTGTTTTATCCTTTTTTTTCCGTGGCTCTAAATAAAACTAAATTGCTGAAAAAATAAGTCAAACAAGTTAGGGATGTCAACTAAGGAAGCTGATAAACATATATCCGAATATATCCTGATTATTTTCGCTAATAAATCATGGTTTTGATAATCAGGATTTAACTTTATGGACAAATACAAAACTTAATCTAGACCTGATGGCTGATGCACATGTCTAGAATAATTGCGTCGAATTCCCATGTGTAATCTCATCATACTACTAATCGAAAGATAATTAATGAAGGTTCATTTGACAGAATGAAATGCGCCAAATATCATTATGCTTTTTATTTATTATTTCACGAAAGTTCATGATTAACTCAAAACGTACAAAGTCTCAGCTTCTGTAAGAAACCACACAAAATTAGAGTTATCATCGATCTACACCTCCTAGAGTTTCAAAATCGTAGATCAAGCTACATATAATTTGACTTCTTCACTGAACAGCACAAAACTAATTGCGCATCACAAAACTTGACTATGTAGTCTAAGATTAAAAAAAAAAATGAACGCTTCCAATTGCTTGATATATTTTATTATTATTGGGCTTTAAACGAACTAGTATATATTGTAAACTTTATAATTTTCACTTGGTAGCAGCTGACACAACTAACTGACTTATTTCAGATTCGGATCGACAAGTATTAGGGATCGTATTCTTTACCACCTCGATAGATGCTGGCTATGTTATTGTAAGCTTTGGAGTTTGGATCGAACCATTTAATTTCCTCGTTATACCGATATTCATATATCGTCTGGTTTAGGCAACTAATGTTCATAAGTCATATATACCATTCTGTTTATCTGTTATAACAGTATGGTTAGATATTAGATCGTCTAATTTGCTTATATAGGTTTACACTTGGTCCAGTTAATGTATTTTCATGGATATATTAGGTCAACATATACTTTGGTTCTTTTGATCGTTATGATAAAATAAGTGAATTATTCTTTGAGAATTACAACGGAAGCAAGAAGGTATAAGAAGTAAAAGCAACATTTATTGGATTTAACAATTGATAAATGGAAGAAATTGAACAAAGAATAACACTGAATGAAAAACATGGAAAGATGGATTAAGAATTATAACCAGAAGCATTTAACAATGGAGGCATTGATAAATAGATCAAGCGCATTTGTATCCAGAAGGCACTTTCCTTCCACAAACATTGAGAAGAAGGCTGAGAGAGATGGGAACATTAAGCTTAATGCCTAAAACATTAGCCTTCAGGGCGGTACAGAGGCAAGCCGCTGCTTCAAGATCAACCAAACCATTGAGGACCGAGCAACAAGGTTTGACTGGCGGTTTTCCCAGTTGGATTTTGAGTAGATCCTTCAGAACATTAGCGCAAACACCGAGTTTAAGAGTGTCTTTAGGGCACTTTCCTAGTGAGGAAGAAGGTTTTGGGGTGGGCTTAGGTTTAGGCTTGGGTTTGGGGATGGGGCTGCAGCCACCGCCACACGCAGTGGTTAGAGTGAAGAAGAGGATGTTGAATGTGAGGAAAAGTATAAGGGAGGCTGAGGCTTTTGAAGCCATCTTTCAAATATATATTTCTGTGTTGAGCAAGAAGTTTTAAGATTGAAGGGTGCTTTTAGAGAGTTGTGGGTGAAGAAAAGTGAAGAGAGGGTGTGTGTATATAAATGGGTTTAAGGGGTAGGACAGTTAAATAAAGCTGTCAGCAGCTTATATTTTTAAGGGGTTAATATAAGTTTTTAATATTTAGCAAGAGTGGACCGTTATTATGTTAAGTTGTTAAGTAACATTTTTGTCTATTTTTAATTAGTGAAGATACAAATATTTCTGTCATTGAACTGTATAATTGAACAATAATTCGAGGGAAATATATTTTGTCAAAGAATAATAATTACACAGTTTTGGAAAAAGAATTAAGGGAGGTTATTGAACTTGAGATTTCAGATGATTTAGGGTGTTTTCATTTTTAGATGAATTTGGGTGAATTTGAAAAGTTGTTATGATTTTTATGAAAGCACTCAAGAATCTCATATAAAACCATGGTATTTGGATTTTGAATACTTTCAACTAAGAAACTCTTTTAACTAAGGCATGCGGTAGAGCGGATTTACATATCCTAGTAGTATCTGGTTTTATGTACTTCTATCAAAAGATTTGAAGATTTTTATTATTCATTCACGAAGTAAATAAAGAAATCCTAAGCGAAGAGTACTTGTCTCAAGCTTTCCGATTTGTCTTATTTGCCTTTAGATCATCGTGTTTATTCATCCGATTCAGAACATTTTTTCGTCAAATGAGAAGGGATAAAAAGGGGTGCCCAAAATTTGATAACTACGATTTAACATTATACAAAAAAAAACTTAAACTAGCATTGATGCACATGTCTAGGATAATTTCGTCGATTTCCCATGTGTAGTCTCTATGTGTTTTAGCTGGGAAATGTGTTATAGCCTGACTCTTATTGTTTTTCAATTAGTATTTTGACAGAATGAAATGTGTCAAAAATCATTGGGATTTTTTATAATTATCCCATGAAATTTAATGGTTGAAGCCCAAACCGTAGAAAGTCTCCACTTCTGTAAGAAAATACACAAAATTAGGGTTATCGTTCTACACCTCTAAGAGATTCAAAATCGAAAATCAAGCCACATAGATTTTGACTTCTTCACGGAACAGAAGAAAACTAAAGTTTCTCACAACATAACCACAAAGAACTTGACGACATATAGGCTAAGATTCAAAAAAAAAGTTTGAACGATTGTTGTAAGCCATGGCTAGAAATATTCGAATTGCTTTATATATTTTATTATTATTGGGCTTTTATTGAAATGGTATGTAAACTTTATAATGTCACTCAGTAGCATCTGCCAATACTAAGTACTAACTTATTTCAGATTTGGATGGACAAGTATTATTGTACGCTTTAGATTTTGGATTTCGAACCGATATTCATATATCATCTGGTTCAGGCGAATATTAATCTTCAGAAGTCATACCATTCTTTCATAACTGTATATTATATAATACGTTGCCATGTTCTCATGATTTGCTTATAATGCTGGTTTTATGGGGGTTACTATTTATATTTTATTACTGTCTAGATGAATCCAAAAGAGAGTCTCTATACTGAGTATAATTCTAATTTTCTTATATTAGTTTAGTTTCATTTTGGAAATGTATGAAATTCTTATAAAAGAATTCACAGGTGTACACTTGGTCCAGTTTATATATTTTAACGGACATAATATTAGGTTAACATATACATTTCGTTCTTTTGGTCGTTCTAATAATATAAGTGGATTATTATTTGAAAAATAAATCTGAAACCGAAAATAACAGACTATAGGAAGCAAAAGCAACATTTATTGGATTTAACAAATGAAAAATGAAAGGAATTTGAGCATAGAATCATAAACAAAGAAAAACATGGACAAAGAGATTAAGCATTACAACCCAATCGAAGCATGGATAAATAGATCAAGTGCATTTATATCCAGAAGGGACTTTCCTTCCACAAACATTGAGAAGAAGGCTGAGTGAGACGGGAACATTAAGCTTAATGCCTAAAACATTAGCCTTTAGGGCGGTACAGAGGCAAGCCGCTGCTTCAAGATCAACCAAACCATTGAGGACCGAGCAGCAAGGTTTGACTGGCGGTTTTCCCAGTTGGATTTTGAGTAGATCCTTCAGAACATTAGCGCAAACGCCGAGTTTGAGAGTGTCTTTTGGGCACTTTCCTAGTGAGGAAGAAGGTTTTGGGGTGGGCTGAGGTTTAGGCTTGGGTTTGGGGATGGGGCTGCAGCCACCGCCACACGCAGTGGTTAGAGTGAAGAAGAGGATGTTGAATGTGAGGAAAAGGATAAGGGAGGCTGAGACTTTTGAAGCCATCTTTCCAATTATATATTTGAGTAAGAAGTTTTAAGATAGAATTGTTGTTTAGTGAGTGATGAAGAAAACTGAAGAGAGGGTGTGTGTATATATAATAGGGTTGGACAGTTAAATAAAGCTGTCATTACTATTTTATTTGATGAATTATATATTAGTTCTGTGATATTTTAGTAAGAGCGGATCATATTGGGTTATTAAGTTGTTTATAAAAATTACATAGTATTTTATTTCATTGAGAAAATGAATGTTCAATTATGGAATACGTTTAATAACTAGCAATAATTAAACACCATTGTGCTGTCATGGATTTTTTATTTTTTCAATTTTCTGAAAGATTATTTGAAATTATTTGGTTTGATGTTCCATTTATACATTATACTTTCGAATGATATTGTACAACAAGAAGTAAAAAGATAGACGATGTTTCTTTGTTGGCTAGTACTATTCTAGATGTGTTTAATATCCTTATTTATTACATAACTAATGCTTTTATTGATCAAGAATATATACTAGGGTTTTACGAAAAGTATGGATTTACAAATAAGGATATGTTCAATTTGAAGAAGAAAAAAAAATGACTGTGCAGTGATTCATAAATCATAATATCATGGATTTTACATTCTCATCGACATTTATTTATTTATTAAAGTTGTTGGTATACACTATAGTATTTGAAAACTGGTTGTTGAACCGTTGATTTTCTTTTAGAGATTGATTTTTTTTCTTTGCAGTTGATATTTGGACAAGATAGTAGAATTATTGAATGATGACTTTTTGAGCATTGCTTTATTTTGTGTGGGTCGACTTAGGGATACACACCGTTTTTGGATCCTCGTATAGTTCCAAATTTGATAAAAGTTTTAGGATATACATTTATGGGATTTGTACAATTTTTAATCACAATATAGCGTGATTAAACTAGCATCAATGCACATGGGTTTACAATAATTACTCATAATTTCCATGTGTAGTGGCGATTGTGTCTGAACTCTGAAGATCAGTAATTTGGAATTTTGTGACCACGAGGTCTGGCTTTCACATTTTTGTTGGCTTTCACTTACTTTAATGTCAACTAGGAAACGAGAAAGAGAGGCAAATACATTTTTCAAAGGATAAGCCGATAAATACTAGTGACACATTTACGATGAAAAACTCACTAAATTAGTAAGAAAGTATCATAGTTTATTGCTAATTTAGTTGAACAGTGATAGGAAAGGTTATTGGAACTTGGAAGAGCACAGTTCAAGGGATTTCTTAGATGAGCTTTATTGCACCAACATGGAGCAACACTTTCGCCGTTTGCAAGACTAGTAAGCACTGTTGATAAATCAGTGCGACTGTGCGAGATACACTCATCTTCATTTGTAAGCAAAACGACCATCGCTATGATGATCTCCTCACCATTAATACCTCTGGTTTTACGTCTATATCTTTCTGCCTCTTTAAATTATATGTCCCTACTTACATTTTATTTCAAAAAAAAAAAACAAAATTGTAGTAAGGTTTTACATGGCAAGGAAAAAGGGAAGGGTTCTTGGTAGCCTGATTAGTAAAGACAAAACAATTATGCTACTGCTTGTACAACAATTCAATATTTTTACGTATATTTATTACATCATCACACATGTCTTAGTCTTATTCAGTAATTACTTAACACGAATATAGGGCTGAATATGGATGTTAGACAAAACCAATTCGACAACATGCATAGAAAATATGAATATATTGTAGCTATGTTGGGCATTGAAATCCATCGGGAAGGGTTCCTCCACAGGCGTTGAGAGCCAAGTTAAGGTGAATAGGAGTGTCGATACTGATGCCGAGTATGCTGAGCTTTAACGCGCTGCAATGGCAAACTGCAACATCAAGATCAATTAGACCAAAGAGAATAGAGCAACAAGGTCTCATTTCTGGTGCGCCAAGATTCAGGTTGATAAGGTTGAGAACATTCGCGCATGACGAAAGTTTGAGAGCGTCTCTTGGGCAAGTCATCCCATCTGCGAGGGTCATGAGGTTGAGGAAGAGAAGATTGATGACTAGGAATAGAGCAAGTGTGGTTGAGGTCTTTGTAGCCATAGTTGATCACGATCTTGTGTTTTTTTATCAAGTTTGCTAATCGTAGTTATGGAGAATACATAGACGTTGAAGGGAGATTAACAATGGTATTTATACTATTTGAAATGTTCAGTTGTTTGATTAGGATAAAGTGTTAGAGATTGCCAACATATTGTCTAACTAGGGCTAATTAATTTATTGTTGAAATAGGGAAATGCAATTAGGTCTTTTAGATGAAGTACGTAAAGTTAATACAAAAATAGCTCTTCTGATTAATTCCTTAATATAAAATTAGGATTCTTCATAGGATGGTCCCTAGTCTAGATAGTAAAATAATTACCTATATAGTCATCTGGGTATAAATGTAAGATCATATAAAATTTGGTCGAAAATTCCCTATAATGTAGGGACATATAATATGAACAATCAAATCTAATTAGGTTGAGACTTTTTATTTTTGGGTGCAAATTAGGTTGAGACTTAGAGTGGATCTGACTATCTGAGTATAGATGTATGTTCATAGGGTTTACTTGTTTAGCTAGGGACAATTGTCCACTTAAAAATCTTATTGTTTGTTTTCTTTGTTTTTTAGACCTACTGGCTACTATTAAGTACTATTAACAAATGTGATAGTGGATATAGATCACAGAGTTATCACCTTCGAAACATTTTCAAGAATAATAATAGGTGGAGAAAGCTTCTTGTGGTTTTAATAAATGTTGTTATAAGTTCATATTTTGATTTTGACCCAACATTAGGCCCACTTTTCTTTTACGTGAATAGGAATAGACAATGAAAAATGTTAGTTATGATTATATATGTGGTGGTTTTCAAGTAAAGAACCACAACTCCCACACTCACAAATTTTTGTTTAGAGTCAGATTATAACATTGCGGTGATACTAGTACAAACCACATTTCTGAAGAGAAGTGATGAAAATCATATTAAAGATTCATTATAAGTCATAATTTCATCTGGTGGTGGTCACAAGCAGTATCTGTAACAAAAAGATAGAACCTTACAAATTGACAAAATTACAAACAAAGGAAGAAAGAAGTTAGTCTTTTAGTACTTTGATCATTTAATTTAACTCATGGCTTTCCTCATTTCCACACGCTTCCTCCAACATTTCCATGAATGCTTTCTTCCTGTTTCCTCTCCTCGTTGTCTTCTTCATCGAGCTACACCAATTGTCGTGAATCGATGCTTCTTCAAATCTCGTCCATAACTCTTTCTTCAGAGTACTCTCCCCCGCTCTTGTTCTGTTTTTCGACATCACGCTCTCTGCTTCTTTCAACAATGGAGTACTCTCAACCACCATTGACATGCTTCCATCTAAAAACAAAAAACAGTTGACAAAATGATCATACACATGACTCGATGAAAGAATCAAAAACATCAAAACTTTTGTTTATACCTTTAGTGTGTTTTGCTTCTGGTTTAATGTTTGGGAAAGCAAATGCTGGTTTCTTTTCATTTACACGCTCCAGCAAAACACATGTTCCAGGAGGAGAAAACGACCAGACCGGCGAGGATTCAAGATCGGTTCTTCGAGTTATTGGAGCATGTTGCATCCCCAAAAGCTCTGGATACTTTGAACAGAGATCGTCTGTTTCATCAGTACCAGAGGAGGATTCAGAGCTCTGTGAACCATGAAACGTGCTAGCTCCAAAATCAGAGCAGGTAGATTTACAAGCCCCTTGCTTTCCCGGTTGAGATGATTCAAGAACCGGTTTAAACAGTGTGCAAGACTTCAAAGGCGACATCTTTAAGCAAGGGGTCAATAGAAGCTCAGACTGAATCTTCCTCCTGAGAACTGGTGAAGACAATGGTGGTGGCTCACACTCTACTAAACCAAGCCCTGCGGTTTTCGATGATTCGCCTTCTAAAACATCATCATCACTTGTTTCTTTAGAAGCTTCAAGCGGTTCGTTTGCAGTAAAGTTCCTTTTAGATTTCAGCTTGGAGGCACTCTGATGTTTAAGGAACTCGGATTTGCCAAAGGGTAGTGGTGTCAAAAGAAAGAGTTGTCTACCCTTTTCCACATTGTGATCACCACGCCATGACACGAGAGGAGAAGGAGAGACTAAAGGCTCAAATTGATTAGCTTCAGGACTCTCAACATCATACAATTCCTCTTCTTCTTCTTCTTCTTCGCTTGGGCACATACTGCTTGTGCTGCTCACCAAAGACTCTTCTTTCTGGTCTTTCATAAGCAATTGAGTATCCGAAATCGCTTCTTGCAATCGAGGAAACCATGGCTGCATATTTAAGAACAGATTTTTACATTTCTTGAAGCGAGTGTTCAAACACTAGAAGGAAACAAAAGCAGAATAGGTGAAAGAAAATGAAACCTTTAGAGAGGAAAGCATATTGGACAAGACAGATCCGAAAGATTCAACTTCTCTTCTCCCTTGTTTGCTCATGTTTTTAAGCTTTGTGGCCTTCACAACAAGCTCATCAATCTAAAGAATTCCAAAAAATCATTAGCCATAACTAATAATACAGAGAGCATAGAGATTTAGAAACATTTGTTCCTTAAACAATAACAAAACAAGTTACTAATCATTGTGAATCAAACAAAGAGACAAAATTTCAAGAACAATCAAAAGGAAATATATCAAGCCAAGAGTAGGAAGCGCACCTGGTGAAGAACAGATGAGATATCAGAATGTACAAGGGAGAGCAAATCAAGTTCACTATCTCCATCATCTTCTTCTTCTTCTGCTTCTCTATGTTTCATTTCATTAGCTGCAAAATAATCAACCAGGGAACATGAAAATTTGTACCTTTCACAAAAGTTTCGCCAACGTAAATATGAAAGTCATGTTGCTGAAAAATGAAGATTTTAGATACCTATTACTCTAAGCATTTTATCTCTTCTTGTCATACAATATTCCATTTCCATAGACTATATGAAAGGAGCTTGGATTCGCAACAATTCTGGATCTGGAGAAAAAGCAAAAGCAAACGCAATTGGTATCTAGATATCACGGTATTCTTCGAACAATGAGATATAGAATTCTAAACCTCATTAAGATTGGAAATGAGGATTCGGAATTGGGAATTGATGACAGAGATTGCTAATCGAAGTAAGTAGAGGAAGGAGTATAGAGAACGGACCTGCTGAGACGGAGAATTAGGTCACGGAGAGGGACGATCTGAGCCGGCCAGTCTGGTTGGAATCCGTCGGCGGAGAGAATAGTCAACTAGTCCTGAAGCTAACCAACTAAGTCAAGGCACTTTCTTAGGGTTTGTAGAAGAAGACGAAGGCGGGATTTTGAATTTTTTTCGGTTTGATGTGTCGAAGAAGATGACAGCAATGTACAGTGAGAGAAATTCAAGTCCTTTTTCTTCTGCCGACCAAATGCGAGGATAAAAATGAAATATCAGTTAATTAGGCCGAACTTTTATTTGGGCTATCAATAGTATTGAGGCCCAATAAGATGGATCTTATAATCGGCCTGTTACCGTGGAGAAAACATAAAAATCTATCAAATATTTTTATGTTTTTTTCTATCAAAGTTGTCGAGATTTTTATTTTTATTTCCAAACATATACCACTCGAATTTTAAACTATGAAAATTTATGTTTTTAAGATACTAATTTTGTTTATATTAAAATTTGTATTTTCAGAAAAAGGAATGAAATCAATGATACTTTAAAAACATGTCTTAATTAAGTTCTAGTGCTAGAACTTATATGTTACTTCCGGTTTGGATTAGGGGAAATTTCAAAACTACACCTCAAGAGGTGCCAATTTTCAAAAATACACCTCTATGGTGTCTATTTTCAAAACTATACTTTTTTCATTTAGTAAAAGAGCTCTAAACTCTAAAATATAAATCCAAAACCCTAAAATCTAACATTAAACCCTTAAATCTAAACCCTAAACCCCAAAATCTAAACCCTAATCTAGGATTAGTGAATCCAAACATATATATTAAAATTAGGAAAAGGTGTATTTTTGAAAATTTCTATACCATAGGTGTAGTTTTGAAAATTTGCACCTCAAGAGGTGTATTTCATAAAATTTCTCTTTGGATTATGGATTGTTTTAATTAGTTTAAAACCGTTATAAGTAAATCTTTATACCTTTACACTTTGTTCCAAACTCTTACTGCAGATCGCCAGCTAAATATACCATAGGGACAAGGGCTAACCACATGGTCCGCACACGTAATTATTCTTGTAATTTTGGTTTTGCATGCATAGATCATTATTATAATTAACCCTAAGCTGTAATTAAATAACCAAACTAATTTAAATATTTACTCAAGCCACTCCGCTTACGCTATAAATACCAACTTACCTCACTCTCAGTTTCTTCACCAAACTCAAACATAAACAACACTCCAATCTTCTTTCAAAGGCTAAGCACAATGGCTCTTAGAAACTCTCTTGCCATTTTCCTTGCCTTGAACATCCTCTTCTTCTCCCTAACCGAAGCCGCCCGCTCCGGTTGTGCCCCACTGCCACACATTCCCAAGCCTACCCCAACTACCCCAACCACTCCTGTCATCGAGACATGCCCAAAGGATGCTCTCAAGGTTGGTGTTTGTGTTAATGCGCTTAACTTGTTGAATGTGACATTAGGTGCTCCTCCGGTTAAGCCATGTTGCAGTCTCATTGCTGGTTTGGTCGATCTTGAAGCTGCGGTTTGTCTTTGCACGGCGCTTAAAGCTAGCATTCTCGGCATCAACATTAACCTTCCTATCAACCTTAGCTTGCTCCTCAATGTTTGCAGCAGAAAGTCTCCACCTGGTTTCCAATGCCCTTAACTACTCCTTGACCGTTAATCCTTAAATCATGATCATGCATGAAATGTGTTCAAACTTTTAATTTGTGTTCCTTTTCCTTTATCTTTGTTTTTTTCTTCTTTGTTTTTTTTTTTTTTTTTTTTCCTTCTCTTGTTTGAATTGGTTCATGAGGATAAGGAAGATCCATCAATCCTCAGTTAAGGAGTTTGTGTTGTTGTAATTTATTTCATTTGTCTTGATAATAAAATAATTTGTTCTTTCAGTGTTAGGAGAAAATGTTTTTAATTCGTTATATCTGGTCCGTGAGTATTGGATTTGTTCATGCACACGTGCATGTTATGATAATTTACACCAAATGAACATAGTGAGAAGAGTTAGACCAAAAAAGAAAAGAAAAAGAAGAACAGTATACTATATAGTAAGAAGAATTAGCCATGAACACTACTATTTAATTATGCATAAAATGGCTTAAGTATTAACTGTATTATGCGTGGTCTACTGTACCTGTAGGTCCTATATATACTCTATACATAGCAACACGTACGTGCGGGAAATGGAGCTATACGAAAGATTATAAAGTAGTGAAAAAAATTATAAACTATGATAATACCTTAATGAGAACAAGCTAGCGTGAAAAATATTATAAACTATTATTATACCTTAATGAGAACAAGCTAGCTACGTATTTTAAGCTCTAATGAATCCGGGTTACTTAATCTTGATGTTTAAAGAATACAAACTGTTTCCGTTGGTGTCTTTGATTTAAAATTCAGCTAGCACTCACAATTAAAAAGTCCACATTAACAAGAGAAAATTGATAAAATCAAATTAGCTGTTTGGTGTTTGTTAACTCACGAGGGGTAGCATTGGTTTAACCTGCAAGTGGTGGTAGAAAAATTGAATAGAGAAAAGAGCCCGATTAGAAAAATAAAAATTCAAAATGCATATAAGTCGGGGGTATATACGTACTGTTTTTAAAAACATGTTATACTACAAATTAATAATATGTAGTGATTGTGTTTCTTGATAATTCGTTAACAAACTAACGTTTTTTATATGTTAATTATAGCTGTAGCGAGTTTCTCCTAACATGTTTGCTTCAGTACTGTCTGCCAAGTGCCATTTTTGTTTTATATGTTTGCTTCCCGAAACGATACGACTAATTTCCATTGAAAAAGGCTAACGCAAAAGATTTGAAAAACAACCAGTGGACTGTGGACTAGTCTCCATACTAAACAGTAAAAAAAATTCCAAATATACGGAAGTCATCGTGCAAGTAACATGTTATTAACCATGAATCAAGCATCCGAATGTTTCTTTTTTGTTTTTTTTGGACAAAGTCAAGCATCGGAAGTTGGGTTAGCGGAGACGAAGAAGTTGATGATGCCAACGATGCTAGACACAATGAGTTTTCATCTTGATGGAACGATTATTTAATGCGTTTACAGGGTTAAGATTTAGAAAACTATGTTTAAAGCTTGAATTTCATGATTTTCGAAATAGATATGAAAGTGAAAACATTGATAATTAAGATGAGAAAAAAAACAAAAAATACAGATAAGAAAAGAATGATTATTGGTTATTGGTCCATTATATAGTAAAGAATTATTTGCCATGTTGATTATCAAATTATTACAATTCTGTTGAAAGGATAATTAAATTATAGATTTCTCCTATGACTACGACCCGTGAACCATCTTAATTTGGCATGTTAGACCTTATGGTTATATTCGAATATTATAAATCAGATACCACTAATACACGATAACTATATTAATATTTATTCAGCATAAGGCTAAAAATAGAACGATTTTGTACATCCTTTTTTAATATGAATCACAGAAAGATGCAATTCGAAAGAGAAATGACATCGATCAGTTTGTCGTTAACCTTAGATATATTTGGATCTAACAGCTTTTCACACTTTTTTTAATATGAATAATCGTCTTGAACATGGCTATCTTTTCAGATGTGCAAATGTGCAATTGGCCTCACAAGTATTTGCTAAATGTTTTTTTTTTCTTTTTTTTGAAAGTAAGATGATTATACTTTTTTCCACATATCGAATTTATCTTTCATATAAAAAATATAAAAAATCATCTAATAGTTTAAGAAGAATCTGTAATTGAAATTACGATAGAGATATTTATATATATATATATATATATTAAATACAAAGTCATACTTTATAGGGGTCATCCTGTAAACCCTTGATATAGGGAATGATATTAAGTTATTAACTAATTCAGCCAAAGATATATTTTTGAATGTAGATTAACAAATGCTAAATGAAGTCATGACTTTGTCTTTGTGTGAGATTATATGTAGAGTTATAGGCTAAATCATCTCTAAAAAAGGGGAAATTTCAAAACTACACTTCTTGAGGTGCCAATTTTCAAAAATACACCTCTGTGGTGTCCATTTTCAAAACTACACTTTTTTCATTGAGTAAAAAAACTCTAAACCCTAAAATATAAATCCAAAACCCTAAAATCTAACATTGAACCCTTAAATCTAAATGCTAGACCCAAAATTAAACCCTAATCTAGGATTAGTGAACCCAAATATATATATATATATTAAAATTAGGAAAATGTGTATTTTTGAAAATTTCCACACTATAAGTGTAGTTTTGAAAATTTACACCTCAAAAGGTATATTTCATAAAATTTCTCCTAAAATAATGATGCTCTTAGTCTAGCCCGTGACAAAGGGATTATGTTCACATGGACAGCGTCAAGGACTAAAGAACAATCAATTCAATTGTAAAGATGCTTAATTATATAACTGTAACAGCATTACGAGTGTGCAAGATTTAATTTTATGGTCATCGTTTGTAATTACTCCAGAGTTTTCAAGAAATAAAAGTTTGGTAAGTTCAAAAATTTAAGCATATATTATAATTATAGATCATGTAGTTGTTAAAAGATAAAACGAAAATAACCACATCTACTTTTTAAAGCTTTAACTAGTGATTTACATAAGAGAAAAAATTAGCCAGCAATCTAACATATTTTTTCAAAGCTAACTTTTTTGTTCATCTAATTGATGTGAAACAACTTTAAGCAAGTGAGTTGAAAGTGACAAAATTCATTTGATTTCCGCGCGCCAGCTATAATGACCATTAAATATACTCAAATAATCAAATCATATGATATATACGAAAACTTAGTCAACTAATCTCTTTTAAAAAAAAAAAAATTAAAAACCTCTTAGTTTCTCCTCTCCTCTAATGAAAACCCTATAAATACCCACTACACACTTAACATTTATCTCCACCCATCTCAAAGAAAACTAAACACACTACTACTACTACTACTACTTCTTTGAGATTTTGTAGCTTTGCCACTTCACAAAGAAATGGCTCCAAGAACCTCTCTTGCACTCTTCCTTTCTCTCAACCTCCTCTGCTTCACTTACACCACTGCCACGTGCTCCAAGTGCACCCCCACACCAACGACCCCGACCCCGACCACGCCAACGAGCCCACCGCCCCCGACCACACCTAGCACAGGGACTTGTCCTAAAGATGCCCTACAGATCGCTGCTTGCGTTAATGTGCTCAATCTAGTGGACCTAACATTGGGAAGCCCACCCGTAGAGCCATGTTGTTCCCTTATCCAAGGATTGGCTGACCTTGAGGCTGCTGTCTGTCTCTGTACCTCGCTCAAGGCTAAGATTCTTGGCATCATCAACCTTAACCTTCCCATCAACCTCAGCGTCCTCCTCAATGTTTGTAGTAGAACAGCTCCAAAGAATTTCCAGTGCGCGTAAGCTGAAATACTTATGACATATCCAAAACGTTACCAATAAAAAAAAACATATGAATGATATCATATGGTTTACGAATACTTGAACTTGTTACCTTTTCTTCTTGTTTTGTTTTTGTTTGTGTTTTTCTTGGTTTGTTTAAAATGATGAACGTACGTTCTCATGCAATAATGAAATATGTGTAATCGCCGGCAAGTTTGTACTCCTTTGCTTAAATGTTCCTTCGTCTCTTCTTTGTAATTGTTCCTTTTGAATATTGGATATATAAAGTATCAACCGATGTTGTTGCCAATATCGGGGTTATGTATGCCAGTCCAAAAAACGAAGGTGAATTGATAATACTCGACCATTGGCTACTTCTAGTGTTACAGACATTGTTTGTTACTTGCGGTTTGTCTGCTTATTTCTATGATTGAAGAAACACTTTTTTTGTTTGCATCTCAGATTCGTAATCGAGTTTGTGAGAGACTGACTTTTGCATATCAGTCAGATTCAACCTTAACAAAGAAAACTCGATCCAATGGTTGGGATTAACTTCAATCTTTTGTCTTATTAGTTTTCCTTAAGATCGGACGGCTGGTATTACTCCTTAATTTGTCGGTTAGAACTGAATCAAACCAAAAGAAATTAAAAATTGAACCGAATGTAACTGAATTGAGCGGTATAGATATGTGTATAGTAGTACCAAACTGCAATTTGCACGTAAAATTCTACAGCTGAACCGAATTAAACCAAAAATCCAATTATTTTATCCAAAAGCCCTAATCAAATTGATCTACTGGGTAGAAGATTCTTCAAAACAACAAGAAGGAAACACTAACAAACCGAGCTACATTTAACCGGAGAACCAACTGTTCCGCTAAACCAAAACATAACGGTTCCGACCAGAAAATGGAATTTCCTTTTTTTTTTTTTTTCTTTAATTTGTTTGGGCTTTGTTTCCTCCACCGCTCTCCTGTGCCGCCGCCTTTTCTCTCTCAAAGTAAAGCTATTTATTCGATTCTCTTCTCAGACGACTGATTGATTATCCCAGCTGATTTCGTTCCGCCGTGATTCCAGAACCCTAATTTACCTGGGTCTTGTGCAGCAGCAGCAGCACAGTTTGGTCACACTCAAAGATGGGAATTTTCGAACCGTTAAGAGCAATAGGATGCATAACGAGCACAGTTCCCATCTCCGTTCAGCGATTGGGCATGGAGACCTTCGTCACCGTCAGCGTCGGCAAAGCTTTCCAGATATACGATGTAAAGCCATCGTCTTTTATCTATTTATTGTACTTCGTTTCCTGTTTATTAGTTTTTGGGTTAATTTTGATATTTGTTTCAATTTCTTGCAGTGTGCCAGGCTAACTCTAGTCAATATCAGTAAGTTCTTTCCCTTGATTTTTGCTAAAATATAGCAATGAATTTTGTTCTAGGTTGATTTGGCCGAGTTTTATCTAATTTGTGTTTATCTAAAGGTCCTCAACTCCCAAAGAAAATCAGAGCTTTAGCTTCTTTCCGTGACTACACATTTGCTGCTTTTGGAAATCAAATCGCAGTTTTTAGACGTGCTCATCAGGTACGTATGTATATATGCCTCCACAAATCTGTCTTACTTTGGCCTAATGGTTGATTTTTCAAGAAAAAAGTTGGGTTTTAGTGGTGCTTTTTGTAGAGTTAAAAGATTTGTTTGTTGCTATTTGTCAGGTAGCAACTTGGAGCAAGCATGTTGCTAAAGTCGACAAGCTTCTTTTGTTTGGAGAACACGTCCTGAGTCTTGACGTGGAGGGAAATATGTTCATGTGGGAGTTCAAAGAAGATGCAGCTCCTGTTGGACATGTTGAGCTTTTCTCTGGGAAGTTTACTCCTACTTGTATGGTTCACCCAGATTCTTATTTGAACAAGGTTTGTCCTTTCCTTCATATGTTTATTTTGGTGTCCTCTGTTTGCAAGCCTTGACAAATCTTTGCGAGTTTCTCTCTTAGATTCTTGTAGGGAGCCAAGAGGGTCCGTTGCAGCTATGGAACATAAGTACTAAGCAGATGATCCATGAGTTTAAGGGTTGGGGTTCGTCTGTCTGCAGTTGTGTTTCATCCCCTGTTCTGAATGTTGTTGCTATTGGTTGTGCTGATGGAAAGATCCATGTGCATGACATAGAATCGGATCAAGAGATCGTAACATTTGAACACGCCTCACGAGGTGCTGTTACCGCTTTGTCTTTCATTACAGGTAAAAGGTCTTGTAATGTAAATTTTATTGTATTAGTAGCTTATGTTACAGCTAATGAAAGTTTTGCTTGTCAATTCTGACATTGCAGATGGACGTCCCCTTCTTGCTTCTGGAGATTCTTCTGGTGTGATAAGCATCTGGAATCTTAGCAAGAAAAGGTCTCAGTCTGTCATTGGGGATGCACATGACGGTTCTGTTTTCTCATTGAACTTTTTAGCAAATGAGTCTGTGCTAATGAGTGCATCAGCAGATAACTCGGTCAAAGTAAGTTTGAGCTTTTTCTTACCTGCCAAACTTGTTTGATCTGCTATGCCATATATATTTATATTTATATGTTTTGGTGCATGATCGTATCTGTAGATGTGGATTTTTGACACAAATGATGGTGATCCCCGCCTTCTACGCTCCCGCTCTCCTTCTACTCTTAGGTTCTAAACAAGTTTCCTTTTCAAGACTGAACTAAGGAGGCAGACTTACAGCTATACTGATGCAGCGCATCTATCTACCATGGGCCGTGGGCTTGCTACCAAATATATTACGGGTGTTGTTCAAGCTTCTGTTTTTCCATATTCATTTATATAGGGATAATTATAAATCTTTGTGGATTAGGATGAAGAGATACGATTCTGATCTCTTTTGTATAGTATAAATAGATGTTCTATAGAGTTGTAAAGGATAACTTTTGATATTGAATAAACCTTCAGCTTTTGTAGCTAAACGAGCTTTTCATAGCACGGGGAAGAGTATTCCCAACCTCTAACGAGCTTTTATAGCACGGGGAAGAGTATTCCCATCTCTATCGATCTAAACGTAGACTTCTTACGTTTATATCAAACCGATTTCACACGGATCTCACTGATCTCACGTGTGTCTTCCTTATCTAGCTTCCGCCTCTCCATCATATACTAATATGAATTATGAATGAACTTCGATCCAGAGGTTATATGAGTTGCGATTGGATGGATTGATTATAAATAATTTATACTACAAATCGTTCCATGACATGATATTGGATTTTAAGAAATGATAATAATGTGATTTGATTTTATATTACAATGGAACATAAAACATAACAAATTGTGGAAGCCCCCTTAGCACAGTGGTTGGCTAAAGGTTTACTAATGACTTCTTGGTACATCAAGAGATCTGGGTTTCAATCCTAGAAGATTAGGTTTATGATGGATCTTGGTAGAATAGTTAATTATCCGTTAATAATTATCCTTGTAATTATCCTCTTAGACATTATTCATGGTAAGTTCATATAAGAATGGATCTTGGTAGAATAGTTAATTATCCGTTAATAATTATTCATGTAATTAATTGTCCTCTTAAACGTTATAAATAAATAAAAAACATAACAAACAACTTTGGTCCTTTGAATTAAACCTGAAAAGGCCCAAAGTTGTAGCCCATACCCGATTTAAATTGTTTTTGTTCAGAGTCCCAACGTCAGTATCAGCGTTGCATATATTTAAATTGGGAAATTCAAAGATTTTAAGGATGATAAAAGTCATAAAACGATGAAAACGTATTCCTTTACGTGTTTAAGATAAATGTATTATTATTTTTTAATAAAATAAAATATATTATCTTCGACATCTGAAGACCAATCCGACTTCTCTCCAACCACTGTGAAATCTCTCACACTTTTTTCTTTCTCCATCACCAAAGAGTTTCCCGTGAAATCTCAAATCGAGCTTCAAGCTTCCTTCTGAATCTCCATTTCCTACACTGAAAAATCATCGAAATGACGACGATTCCGATGGACATCGTCAACGACTTATTCCTCCGTTTACCGGCGAAGAGTCTGGTTCGTTTCCGCGCCCTCTCCAAGCCGTATTACCAACTAATCGACAGTCCCGATTTCATCGCCTCACATCTCAATCGCGTCCTCCGAACCGGCGACCACCTCATGATCCTCCTCAGAGGCGCGCTCCATCTCTACGCGGTGGATCTCGATTCGCTAGACACCGTCTCCGACGTCGAGCACCCGATGAAACGCGGCGGTCCGACCGAGGTTTTCGGATCCTGCAACGGCTTGATCGGACTATCAAACTCGCCAACCGATCTAGCGATTTTCAATCCGTCCACTCGGCAAATCCACCGATTGCCTCCTTCGCCGATCGATCTCCCCGAAGGCTCCACCACCCGCGGCTACGTCTTCTACGGATTGGGATACGATTCCGTCAACGACGATTACAAAATCGTCAGGATGGTTCAGTTCAAGAGAGACTCAAACGACGAGCTCGGTTGCAGCTTCCCTTACGAGGTGAAAGTTTTCAGCTTAAAGAAGAATTCATGGAAGAGAATCGATTCGAATTTCTCCACGATTCAGCTCTTGTTCTACTTCTACTACCATCTCTTATATCGCCGTGGATATGGTGTTCTCGCTGGTAACAGTCTTCACTGGGTTTTACCTCGAAGGCCTGGTTTGATTGCGTTCAACATCGTGATTAGGTTTGATCTTGCGTTAGAGGAATTCGAAATCGTTCGATTACCAGAAGCTGTGATGAACGGTGAGATTGATATTCAGATGGATATAGGTGTGTTAGATGGATGCCTTTGCTTGATGTGTAACTACGATCAGAAACATGTTGACGTTTGGGTGATGAGAGAGTACAATGTGAGAGATTCTTGGAGTAAGGCCTTCACGGTGATGAAACCGAAGAGCGTGAAGTCGTTTGCGTATATGAGACCTTTGGTTTATTCCAAGAGTAGGGATAAGGTTCTTCTGGAGATAAACAATACGAAGCTTGTGTGGTTTGATTTAGAGAGCAAGAAGCTTAGTACGCTTAGGATTAAGGACTGTCCTAGCTCGTATAGCGCGGAGATCGTTGTGAGCAGCCTTGTTTTGGGGTGTAAAGGAGATCTTGCTAACATTGAGCGAAGGAATGAACAGCGAGCTAGAGAGGCTAAAATTGTGCAGAACAGTAATAAGAGGTGCGGTTTTCTTGCTCTTTTTCAAGAATGTGATATGAGAGAAAGCAAATTTTGAGCTTATGTGGTGATAGTATCTTCTTTATTGTTCATTCTCAGGGATGATTTCTTGTCCAAGGGATTTAAGCTGGTCTTATAAGAGAGCCGAGAGCTAAAGAGAAAAAAGGTAAGTAAAAGTTGGCCTTTGTGTAAATTGTGTTTAGTTTCTGCTACTACTACAGCTTTATTTACTTTCTCTTGTTCTCTGTTGTTGCGGACGAGCGTTTTTGTGGATACATACAAGAGTGAAAGACACAGTTGGTCATAGGTATTTGGTTGATTAGAACATTCCCTAGAAAGTTTTATGAAGTCATTAATCATTAGGATAATTACTTTTTGCATATAGCTATATCCAAGTGTTTATTGAGGAAATTGTTGATCTGCAATCGCTCATCGGTTTGGTTTTTCAGGTGCGGAGATACAGGGAGGTCAAAACAGTTAGCTGATACAGGAGAATAGTAATAATCAGACTTTACTTGAGTATATGTACTTAGAGAAGAGAGCTTTTACTTCAAGGTTACCCAATACATGATAAGTGTTGTTGTTGTTTATGTAAATGAGGGAAATCTAGAATGTCTGTATTAACTCGTTTGAAGCTTGTTATTATAACTTGATACTCTAATTATAACTCGTCGTGCTTGCTTTTAGTCTCTGCCTAAACTTAATATGTCATGTCAATAATCTGTTCTTATAAGATCAAATCAGAAAATGCACTTTCGAGTTGGAAAAAAGAATCTATCGCATATGGAACCACAAATGTAAAGTTGTCATATCTAGCAAATGAATACCAAAACAGGTTCACAAATTTGTTGTTAGCTCAATTAGAAAGTATCAAAGGCAAAACGTACATGTTTTAAGTTCAGTAATGTTAGGGATGAGTCATGAGAGTATATAAAACATGTTTCGACTCAAACCTCCTAGTAATTCAGATTATAAGATAAAGTTATATTAAAAGCTTAGAAAGATTTTGAAACCGTTCAGAAAATTTGTTTGTATTAAATTTACTCCATAAAAAACAAACGTTAAGAAAAAGTTCACGTGGCATAAAATATGTCATCCGTTACACAATTTTAATGACTTTTACAAATTAAATAAATTAAATATTATTGTACTTAAAAAAAAATTTAACTCTTCGCACTTGCTATTCTACTCTGCTATTACAGTAGATTTTAGATTTGGTTAAACTAGATCTTTTGTGTTAAGATTTTACAGTATGAATCTAAAAGGGCATAAAACGATATTTCATTTAAAATAGAAAAAATAATATCTTTTACAATATTATAAAGGGACATTTCATTTGAATTGGAAAGACATTCAAATGAACAAAAAAATAAAATACTACAAATGAAGTTTTAATAAAAAATACAGCAAATAAGACATTTTTAATAGTTTCATTTTGCTAGATACTAAAAAAAAACAAAATTTTGTGATGCTAATCTCCGTTACACGTGTTATTTAGGATTGAAATCGCTTCTATATAATTATATATATATATTTTTTTTATCGTGTATAAGCGATTTCAATCCTAATTAACACGTGTAACGAAAATTAGTACCACGATTCTTTTTTTTGGTAGTATCTAGCAAAATGAAACTAATCAAATAAAATAAAATTCGACAAAGGTAAGCTATTCAAATTATAAAAAAAAGACCTTTTTTAGGGAGGCTTATAAAAGTCTTCATAAAATGTTTTTAAAAAACCTTTGAAGAACTTACTCCCAATAAATATCATTTTGACGATTTTTTCATAAATTAAAAAGATATATTAATCTTTTTGTTATTATATTCTTAAAAAAACAAATTGACATTTGAATTTTGGTATTTTACTCTATAGAAAATTAGATTTGATTTTTAAAATCAGTTATTAAGTATCCAAATTTACAATTAAAAAAAATATAACAATTTGCTTTTAACATAAGGCGACATTTCATCTACATGGAAAAAGTACTATATTTTACAAATCAGTAAAACGACAATTCATTGAAGAGAAATTTTAAACATTGTTTTCATCGGATTAAACGAGGAATCGGTACTTCTAATCCTAATATACACCCGTAATGAATCCGGAGATTATTTCCTAATTATCTTATAAAATACATTACGTTAATTTATAATATCGGAATAAAAATTCTCTCTCTGAGTGTGTCTGTTTGGCGATGGCGTAGAGAGAAAAACAAAGTGACGGCTGTGTTAAACCCAAACGAAACCTCCGATCGCCTTCCTTCTATCCTTTCCTCTTCCTCCTCCTCCGCGTAATCCTCGTTTCCCGTTTACAGTTATTTTTCCGGCGGTCGATTTCGTACCTAAAGCTCTCTTTTTTTCTTCCATCGGCGGCGATAATCAGACCCGAGAGAGAGGGGATTCTGGTCTCTAGATGACTCTCAGCCGTTTACCAGCCGCAGATTCTACAAACACTCACCGATCCTCTCTCTCCACCGTGGCTGGAACCGATCATCTCAAACGGAAATTCGACGATTACGCCTCGTCGTCACCTGGTAACGGCGTTGATCTCCTCCAGAGGATGAAGAGGCACGAGGTCGACGCCGATCACACCGCTTCGTCTCAGAAACCGTTTAATCGTCCGGGAATCGACCAGATTTTTCCGTTACCTTCCGCCGCGGAGTGTTCCTCTTCTTCTTCTCCCGAGTCGTCGGATCGTTCCGAGTCGACTCGGTTGCAGCTCTTCGTCAGGATGATGTGCGGGAAATCGCTGGTGATCCACGCCGATAGAAACGACACCGTCGAGAATCTCCATCAGAGAATCGAGTGTAAGACTAGGATTCCGGTGAAGGAGCAAAGAGTCATCTACAAAGGCAAGCAGCTACAGAACGAACAACTGCTCAGCCACTACTCGATCGAGCAAGACGCCTCGCTCCAGCTCGTCGGCCGGATGCAGAGCACGGAGCATCCGGTGGCTTGGCAGACGGTGGACGACATCATGCACACAGTCTCTCGGATGCACAGAGGCGAGAAGCTCTACGGAGGTAGCACAAACATCAACGCCAAGCTCGTTGCGTTCTTCTCAATGATTCCGAAAGATAACAGAGACGCGATTGTGACTTACGTGAGGATCTTCTCAAGCTCTTCGGTGCCAGCTGCTCTGGTGATGCTCTACGTTTCTACATTAGACATCAACAAATCTTGCGCCAAGAGCGCCATTAAGCTCTTCTTGAACAGCTGCATAGCGTTACCTAAGAATCAGCAGCTCTGTTGTTTGCAGCTTGTGTTGGAGTTCTGTAGATTACTTAGGAGATTCTCCCCTGAGAACAAGCTCTACGTGACTTGCCGGAGTACGCTGGGAACAATGCTGGAGCCGCTTGGTATCGGTGGGAATGTCATCCACCGTGAGTCTTTCTCTATTGGGGAGGAGATCTTCCCGTTTTTCAAGGAGTTGGCTGATCTTATGGTGAAGGAGCTTCGCCAGAACACAGGGCCTAGTTTGTGTGACGTTCATAAATTCTCTTCCTTTTGGAAAGCCTTGAGGAACTCCATCAAGTTGCTGGTTTCCAACAGACCAATTGCTCTGCCTCTGCGGAATATGGTGTTGGAGGTGGAGTTGGGAGAGCTACACCGGTTGTTCGAGACCTTGTTGAAGACAATGGACACTTGTATGTTGAGAATCGAAGCTTCGCTGGGAAGAAGAGGAATTGGCGGCAACAGCGCTGAAGAGATGTCTTCAACGTGGTCTCAGTATCTTGCTATTCTGAAGATTGTCAATTCAATGTCTGGACTCTATCTAGGTGCTAAGGAACAGGTGGCTCATCTTTTGAATTCCAGGAAGGTTTCGTTCAGCGCCATCGTTGTGAAATTTGCGAAGAGAGACGATGATCACAGTTGGATCTTTGACTACAAGGAAGCTACCACCTTTGAGTCTAGGAGGCATTTGGCTATGCTGTTGTTCCCTGACGTGAAGGAAGACTTTGAGGAGATGCACGAAATGCTCATTGATCGGTCCAATTTGCTAGCAGAGTCGTTTCAGTACATATCCGGGGCAGCCCCTCATTCACTTCATGGTGGACTGTTTATGGAATTCAAGAACGAGGAAGCTACAGGTCCTGGTGTGCTTAGAGAATGGTTCTATTTGGTATGCCGAGAGATATTCAATCCGCAAAATGCCCTCTTCCTTCGTTCTGCTGATGATTTGAGAAGATTCTCTCCAAACACAGGTAAGCTTTGTGCTTTAGAGTAGATACAAGTAAAATTTGAACCTTGCTTGAACATACCTATAGTTTCTTACTGCCTGATACCTCATGACACCACTATCCTAGAGTAGAGACAATTGAATTTGAACCTTGCTTGAACATTCCTATAGTTAATATTCTTTCTTTCAGTCTGCTGCTTTAGAATCTTGGGCACATATTTGGTATGTCAGTATCGCATAGTGTATAGTTCTCACTGTGCTTGTAATTCGTTTGGTGGTTATGTGAATTTAGCAATGTCTTGTTTGATGTTTATATGTTGACTCTTTGCTCTGATTACAAGTCTTTGTTTGATGCTTATATGTTGACTCAGTGAATATTATTGTTCTGTTTTATGTTTCAGCATCAAAGGTGGATCCATTGCATCCGGATTTCTTCAAGTTCGCAGGCCGTGTGATTGCGTTAGCTCTGATGCACAAAGTCCAAGTGGGTGTGCTATTCGATCGTGTGTTCTTCTTACAATTAGCCGGACAAAACATTTCCTTGGAAGATATCAAGAACACGGATCGAATCATGTACAACAGCTGCAAACAGATTCTAGAAATGGATCCAGTCTTCTTCGACTCAAACGCCGGTCTCGGTCTGACATTCGTGTTGGAAACCGAGGAGCTCGGGAAAAGAGAAACAATAGAGCTATGTAAAGACGGGAAGTCCCGTGCCGTCGACAGCAAGAACAGGGAAGAGTACGTTGACTCCTTAATCAAACATCGGTACGCCAAATCGATCTCCGAGCAAGTAATGCAATTCTCTAAAGGTTTCATGGATATTCTTTCGTCTGGACCGCCTGAATCCTTCTTCGGGAGACTAAACCTAGAGGATCTCGATGGGATGCTTCGAGGAGGAGAGCACATGTTAAGCATTGATGATTGGAAAGCGCACACTGAGTACAACGGATTCAAAGAGACCGATCACCAGATAGACTGGTTCTGGCAGGTAAAAACAAAGCTCAAGTTTTTAACTTTGATACAGAGTTTGTTTTCTTGAAACCGGATTTGTGAATATCTTGCCGGTTTTTCTGTAGATTCTGAAGAAGATGACGGAGGACGAGCGGAGGAGGATACTCTTCTTTTGGACGTCGACGAAGTTTATACCAGTGGAAGGGTTTAGAGGATTATCGTCAAAGCTTTATATTTACAGATTGTTTGAGGGTAATGATCGTCTTCCAGTGTCTCACACTTGCTTTCACCGTCTCTGTTTACCAAAGTACCCGACGATTGGTCTCATGGAACAACGACTTCGAATCATCGCTCAAGATCATGTCAGCTCCAGTTTCGGTAAATGGTGAAGAAATTATCTCGATAAGTAATCTATAATTATCTCTCTCTATGTGATGGTTAGGTTTGTAGATTGGTGCTTTTGGTTGTATAGATGATCTTTTAGTTTGTGGGTCAAAGCTCTGTTTATGACCGAGAGAGAAAGGTGAAACCTTCTTTCTTTTAATTTATGTTATTAACTCTTATGGATAATTTATTTTGGGAAACTTATGTGAAGAAGGAAAAGCTTAATCCGGTGTCGTTTCGTCATTTCGTCATTTCGTCATTTCGTTTTCAATACCTTTTGTTTTTTTGTTTGGTCTGATGACGACGGTCTAATCGTAAATAAAGACAATTTAGTGTAATAACACTTGTGTGTTACAGTAAGTTAGTTAAAAAAACAGGATTCAGACAAGATTCTATTACATTACAAGAATGGTAAAAATGTTTTTTACCCTTTATTCAAAAGAAAATTTTTGAGTACACAAACCAAATCTCTTCTCTAACCAACAACCTCAATGTTTTATTATTAATGCGAAACTCATCACCTTATATTTCGTAAAATATAGGATTTTTAACAAAACAAAACAAATGTTCCCATGGGTAAAAACCTTTATTACACTGTCTTGACTTCAACATCCTTCTCCTCTTCTGCTGGAGCTTCGGCCGCCGGTTTGACCTCTTTCTCCTCCACAGCTACCGGAATTTCAACTGGTTTCTCCTCTTTAACCGGAGCTGTCTCGGTGTTTTCAGTCTCTTTCTCTACTTTTGGTACTTCATCTTTGATTTCAACTTCAACTGCGGTGGCTGAATCATCCACATGAATAGTTTCTTTAGGTGTCTCTGTCGTGGTCTTCTCCTCTGTGTTTGGTACTATTTTCTCAACCTGTGGTAAGAAATCGGTCGAGCTTTGTGTCATGATTCATGAATAGCCTTTTGCAGAGGATTATTGATAAACTTCTAATGGTTATGTACTATTAACAAATTCTATACACAAGAAATTTGAGCTTTTTAGAAAAAGAAAGGAGAAAATATGCGGATTATCACTTGGAGATATAATCACACATAGTATATGTTTTGTCGTCTCAAAAAATACTGTTAGTTCAATTGGTTTGTACATTTTGTCACTTATGTTTTTCTTTTCTATAACTCTTTACTAAAAAAACTTGAATTTTACGATTCACCAGAAAACTGAAACTAATAATTACCTCAATACCAGCCATTTGGAGACTCTGAAGAAGCACAATAAGAACAATGGAATCGAGAAAAGTGTATATATTTTAGGAAAGAAGCGAGAGTTGTGAATGAGTTAAGCTTAAGAGGAGGAGGGTATTTATAGATTTGATCATCAAAAAGTATAAACATAATATAAAATTATAAAAGAAATATAAATTGGTGAAGCATGTTGAGTTGATGCATGATGTGTCAGATTTACATGTTAGAACATCACTAATTGAATGGTAGTGTGCAACTGTGATCTACCTTATGATGCTTAAAGTGTTTACGTTTGGCGCATAAAGAATAACTTACCGTAACACGTCTTTTTCATATAACATTTCATAATCAGTTTTCTGATAAGTTTGGCCTGTTGGGATTCGTTTATTTTATATCGGTGTTACTTGATTGAATCAACAGTTAGTTGTTTCTATAGAGATTATGAAAGGAAAAAAAAACCCATCCATGAGTTTCTGAATATATATATATATATATATATATATATATATATATATATATATATATATATATATTGTAACTTATACTATGAAAAACCGTACTTGATAAATCTTTTTTTGTGAATAATGATAATACATTTTTGGTGATAACTTGAAAATATATCTATGAATTTTTCTTCATTTTTTAACAACCAAAATGAAGGTTTGTTAGTGGGTTGGTTCACTATTTGGCGTGGAAGTTTGGAACACTTGGTATCATTTACCACATGACACTCAATCACCACCATCCGTCACTATTGTGCTTTCATTTTCACCTTTTCCTTTTTACCAGATTCTACTTCTCTACTTTAAAAGTTCAATTCTCTCACGTCACCTCTTTTATGATCTGTTTATTCCTTTTAGTTCTTCGAACCATTTGCTTCCAAGTTCCATTGTTTTGATTTTCAAACAAATCTTTACACTTCAACGAATCATTCGATTCTTTTCTTGCTTTAGTAATTTGTTACTAGTCTTCTTTTATTTTGGTTCTTTGTTTGAAGAGAACTAAGAGTGATTTTTAGCATCGAATCGATTCCTGGTTTTACCAATAAAGTATTTACTTTAATTATATTACATTCGATTGGCAATACTCGGAACAACAACGAATGATCAAAGGTAAAAAAAAAATCTGTAATCGATTTGATAAGCTATTAAGCTCCACATGTATCGGTTTATGGCGTTTTCAAAGTACAAATATAAACCGAAGCATTCTAATTGCGTAATACAAATCGTACCAAATCAAACCGGATATAAATAACGCTGGAGAAGATTTTATAGAGAACACTGTTATAACACAACGAAAATAAAAAAGAAGAAACAGTAGCAGAATCTACCAGCTGAAACAGAAGAATTAAAGTGTCTTTAAGATTTGGTTTTATGTCGAAGTTTCTACAGAGTTTGTCTGGTTTCAACATTCGGGTCCGAAAACACCATATCGTCATTGTCTCTACTTCACGAGTTTTCTTAATACGGATTCTGCGCGTAGCTCGAACCTAGGCAGAGCCCAATCGTGCTGATGAATGTCGAGACCATCCTTCTCTGCACTCAGGCTCTGATCAAAATTGAAATCCAATGATACTTAGTCAGGTATCAGCTCAAAGATCGAAAATCAAAACCAAACAACACTTTAAAGAAGCGACTTGAGAATGATCACAATGAAGAAGGTTATTGATTACCTTAGATGGATCAAATCCCATCCCACCCATTTGCATCATACGTTGCGTGTCATCAATGGCTGCATAAGAAGCAAAAGCCTTTACCATTATGACCAAATAGGAAGGTTTTTAAGAATGTTATGTGGAGCAAATTAGTATGCGGAAATCAACCATTTTCATCTCCGAGAATGAGACTGAACAAGCCTCGTAATCCAAACAAGTTCAAGAAGTACCTGAAACGTGAAAGAAACGCTCATAAAAACAAGAGAAAGAGGCAATAATATCCAGAAGCAACTATGATTAGCAAATCGAAAATCTGGAGAAGATCGAGATAGCACTTGAGTACTTACCACGAACGACTGCTCACATAGCTAACATCGACAGTGCTCAAGTCGATGCCATTCTGTAACATTGATCTGAACCTCTGAGTCAGTGGAAATGGTATTTTAGCTGCAAGATAAACAAAGAAGACTCAGATGCTATTTTGAATTATCAAAATTGCAGAGACTAGAGATTCAAGGTAACGATTAAATGGTTCTCAACAATAATGGGAACAGCCAATTCATGGTTGTCGATTATGAGGTGATGAAGAATAATAATGGGAGAAATCTCTGTAGGAAACAAACCTGCAACAAATCCAGAGAAGAAGAAGTTGACCCATGCAAAAGTGAGTGTCTGCAAAATCATAAGTTATATATTAGTTTTCCATATCACAACTAACACAAAAGACGAAATTGGAAAATCTTCAAATTAAATCTACCTGGGGAATAATCATGGAAAGGTTTTTCTTCATCATATCCATGGCCATGTTAGGATCAGAAAACATCTGAGCTTGGGGATTTGTGCCTTGCCCCTTGGGAACATGTAGCAAACCATTCTCCTGCAGCAAAGCAATCAACACATATCTTCTCAGTCATTACATATCCTAAGATAGTGACTAAACAAACTAATCCGAAACAGTACATCTGATAATCAACTAATACAGTACAAGCAAAACAGTATCACTCTAATTACCCTCAAGCAAAACAACGAGAAGAGTACAAGAATAACAAAAGGCAATTAAAAGCTTTCCTCATGCCAACTTTCACAGCAGCTAATAATCAAATATACAGTAATCTCCGGTTATCGAAAGGCAGCCGATTTCTACACAAATGATCCAATAACTCTTTCCGCATTGGCACGTCTTAGATCAGCTTAAAAAGCTTCAATTAGTAGTGCAAAACAGAGCTAGATTTTTACAAAAAGAAGTGATCTTCAAAGTAAATTGGAGTACTGTATAGATCACAAAGCATATGACTAACAACAAAATCAAGCTTTCAAAGAATCACACATTGAAAAAGCAAATCTTCAGAAAACAACCATACCTCGTTGCTGTAGTAGAATCTCCGAGAACGGAATGATTTCGGCGGGATGAAATTAGCACCGGCTTTAAGATTCCGAGCTCTGATAATAACTTGCCTATAAAAACACAAAAACAATTCAAATCGAATCGAATCGAATTAGCTAACAGAAAAACAGTTAGATGCAGACTAAAACCATACAGAGAACTGAGAGGACTCACCCTTCTTTGACCGTCTTAGCATCGGGAACTGGAGAAGAACGCATGAGCTTAGAGACGAAGTACCGGAGAATACCGATGAGAACCATCACCACGGAGAGAGGAATCAGAACCCAATCTCTAATCGCCGTATCGAGAACTAGATCCTCCGCCATTGTTAATCTAGCACTCGATTACTTCTTCTCCTCCTCTTTTAAACCCTAATTATCTCTCTCTCTCTCTCTATAGTCTCTCGTCGTCTTCTTCTTCTGAGATCTTCTCTCTGTTCGATTCGGTGAAAGCAAACACGATCTGAGACGATTGGTGAATTAGTGGAAATATTTTATTTATTTTTATTTCGTTATTTTCTTTTATTTTTAAAAAATTGTGTAAAAAGATCTGAAACCTTCTGGGTCAGTCAGAGGCATCGCTGAGTTCCCTTTATAAAACCCTAATTCGCTCTCTCTATTAATAAAACCTAAAACCCTAGCAGCTTCTTCCTCTTTCTCGTCGCCTTCTCTCTAAACCCAGAACTCGAAACTATCAGAAGAAGAAGATGACGGTAGAGGCAGTGAACCCCAAGGCGTACCCGTTGGCTGATTCTCAGCTAGCGATAACGATCCTCGATCTCGTTCAACAAGCCACGAATTACAAACAGCTCAAGAAGGGAGCTAATGAAGCTACCAAGACATTGAACCGTGGGATCTCTGAGTTCGTGGTCATGGCTGCTGATGCTGAGCCTCTCGAGATTCTTCTCCACCTTCCTCTGCTCGCCGAAGATAAGGTATTGATTTCTCCTTATTCTTTCCTTTGAATCTCAATTAGTATTTTGGTTTGGCTCTGCAAGTATTATAACCTGTTTAAAATCTCTTGCTTTTAGCTTCTTAGGTTAGTCTTGTTGGATTCAATTGCATCTCTGTGTAGAATTTGTTGGCTTATTAGCCTCTTGATGTAGCAAACACTTCAAAAACAAATTGGTTGTTCTGTGGATCTTAGTTCTTGAATATATGACAACAATTTCATAAAAATGAGTTTAGTCATTAGTATTTATGCGTTATGAGGACACTTGATTCTGGATATCAAACTCTGTTGATTTATGAATGTTTAGTAGACTCAAGAATGTGATTACCACATCAATTTGTTCGATACATATCCCTGTCTTTGTATTTGTTTTGAGCAAATCTATATCACAAGCAAACATTCTGAAATCTGATAATGTGACTATCAATTTTTCTACTCTTTGGAATTGTTGCAGAATGTGCCGTATGTGTTTGTGCCATCGAAACAAGCCCTTGGAAGAGCATGTGGTGTGACTAGACCCGTGATCGCTTGTTCGGTTACATCAAATGAAGCGAGCCAGTTGAAAACTCAGATTCAGCAGCTTAAGGATGCCATTGAGAAGCTCCTCATCTAGAGAGTTTGTTGGTGGTGTGTGAATGATGAGTCTCAACTCCATTTATGGATTAAGACTTTGACTGATGGTTTTTTGTGCAACTTTTAGCTTTTATGAAGAAACTCAGTCGGATCTGGTTTTGAATGATTATTGTAGTGTTTTTGGTTTTTATATTTCTGTTGGTGCTAATGTGTTTTGAAGAACAAGAGAAATTTTCTACTGCTGAGGTTTATTTCATTTGGAGTAATTGATAAAAATCTATCATCAATAGGTTACAAATATTTTAACCTTAACCATCTTCTGAAATCTGAACTTGTTCTTCTTACTTATTGACGAACAAAATGGTGTTGAATAAAAAATGTGATGATTTTACTATATTAAAGTTGATCTACGAATATTATTACCTGATTGAGAAATTAGTTAACTTGGTGTTATTGTTCTTTTTCATATAAATCATGTAGTTAGGTCTGTTAAATTTTTGAATGAATTTCCTTGGTTATATAAGTTTAACATTTCAACCTCATAATGTCTAAGAATAGTCGATATGGTTAATTTGAGACCAAAAAGTAAATACTGATATAAATAAACTGAATTAAATAAGAAGAAGGAGAAGTTATGAAGAGAGTTACGATGAGAGAAAATATTGGTGTGAGAGAAGTTTTGATCGTGCAAAGGAAGGAGAGAGTTTCGTATGTGGAGAAAGAGAGCTATCGAATGTTTTTCTTTTCTATTCAACTTATTAATTCATCTCTTGTTACATGAAAACCTATTTATAGGAAAACAATAATAATATTATAATAGCAAGAGGTGAGTAAGTGGGTAATACTTAGGCGGTAAGAGTTATAATAGAATATTAAATGGATGATTATTATCATTTTAACAAATACTAATTAATTGAAGTATTTCTAAATTTGACAGAGGGTAAATCAGTCTTCTTCCGTGCAAGACTGATTCTCGGTAGTCGGTATATATATATTTGTATTTTCTCCTTCTGATTCTTTTACAGACCCAAATCATAAGACCTACTACGCGAACTTTTGCGATTTGGCGATTAAACGAGAGAAAATTTGGCGACTGTAATTCGAACACAAATTCTGATACCAATCTCAAAGCGGAAGGTAATAGGATCACAGAATCATCTTCGATTGATTCTCCTAATTGGATTTTGAAATCGGGAAACCCTAAATTGTGTTTTTCTTTGGTTGTTTCCTTACTCGTACAGTAGGAAGACGATTCCTGTGATCGGAAACAAAAATGTCGCACTGTTTGACGCTGAAGCCGTCGTGTATGGGCTGTGGATCGCAGTCCGATTTATACGGAAGTGCCTGTAGACACATGACGCTATGCTTGAAATGCGGTAAAACAATGGCGGAGAACAAAGCCAAATGCCTCGATTGTGGAACTCCCGTCACGCGGTTGATTCGGGTTAAGATTCTTCCGACTTTGTTACTTCCTCTTCTTCTCTCTCCGATTTCAACTGTTCTCTGACGGTTTTGTGTGTGTGTGTGTGTGAAATTTTAGGAATATAACGTTCGTGCAAGCACAGCGACGGAGAAGAATTACTTCATCGGAAGATTTGTGACTGGTCTTCCTAATTTCAAGAAGGGTTCTGAGAATAAATGGTCTCTTCGTAAAGATATACCTCAAGGTCGTCAGTATACAGATGCACAACGGGTATTGAGTTTTGTTTGTGTGGATCGTCATCATGTTCTTCTTATTATATACCAATTACATGATACTTATTAGCTTCGTGAAATCGAATATTTTGTAGGAGAAGTTAAAGAACAGGCCTTGGGTATTGGAAGATGAAACTGGCCAGTTTCAGTACCAAGGACAGCTTGAAGGCTCTCAATCTGCAACTTATTATCTCTTAGTGATGCAGAACAAAGAGTTTATTGCTATTCCCGCTGGTTCTTGGTATGTGAGAAACACATTCTCTAGAGTTTCTTAGTTAATATCACTTTTTTCAGAACGTTGTTATGATTCAACTTGTGTGTTTAGGTATAATTTCAACAAGGTTGCACAGTACAAGCAACTAACACTGGAAGAAGCGGAAGAGAAGATGAAGAACCGGAGGAAAACTGCTGATGGGTACCAGAGGTGGATGATGAAAGCGGCGAATAACGGTCCGGCCTTGTTTGGAGAAAGAGAAATGGAGAATGATAAAGAGAGCGGCGGAAGCGGTGGAGCTGGTGGTGGTAGGGGTCGGAAAAAGTCAGCAGGGGGAGAGGAGGAAGAAGGGAATGTCTCTGACAGAGGGGAGGAAGACGAGGAGGAAGAGGCGTCAAGGAAAAGTAGACTCGGGCTTAACAAAAAGAGTAATGACGATGATGAAGAGAACCCGAGGGGTGGTGATCTTAACGATATGGATGATGATGACATTGAGAAGGGTGAGTAGTCAACTTTTGCTCTTATCTGTTTAAGAATACTTTGAGTTGTTGTCTTTAGATTTTTGATTGTGTTGGTTTTATATTGTTTAGGGGATGACTGGGAGCATGAAGAGATTTTCACCGATGATGATGAAGCAGTCGGTAATGATCCTGAGGAACGTGAAGATCTTCTGGCGCCTGAAATTCCTGCTCCTCCAGAAATTAAGCAGGTCCGTTTCTTCTTGTATTAGTCCACTTGCAGTGTACAATTCTCTTTTGTTACCCCATTTATACACTTTCTAAGTGGAGTTTTATCTCTTTCAACTTTCTTTTTGACTTGCCTTGCAGGATGAGGACGATGAAGAAAACGAAGAAGAGGAGGGAGGCTTGAGCAAATCTGGAAAAGAGTTAAAGAAGTTGCTCGGAAAGTCTAATGGTTTGAATGAATCTGATGAAGAAGAGGACGATGATTCAGATGAGGTAAGCCCTCGACACATTTTGCTTCTAAATGAAACTTTGTCAATCCTCATTTTTACTGTAATCTCGTTTTAACACAAAGAATATAATAATTTTTTATAGGAAGAGGAGACAAACTTCGGTCCAGCTACGAATTCAAAACAGAAGGATGCGATGAAAGAAGAAGCTGTTGAGAGCAGTCCACCAAAACCTGCACCATCCTCTGTATCTTCTCGCGGAACACCTTCTGCAAAACCATCCAAGGGAAAGAGAAAACTGAATGATGCCGATGCTAAAAAGCCTAGCAGCAGCTCCTCCGTTCAAAAGAAAGTCAAGACTGAAATCGTAAGACACTTTCTTCTCTGTTTATTTATGAGGTAAAGCGCGATTGTGCTATTTACTTGTGTTGTCATTTGATTATTGTAATCTTTGCAAGCAGGAGTCGAAATCTTTGGTGAAGGAAGAGAAGAGTAGCTCGGTTTCGAAATCGAATGTACCGACAAAAGCAGTGAAGCCTGAACCAGCTTCAGCTGCTTCAACCTCAGCGGCAACGGGGGCAGTGACTGAAGACGAGATTCGCGCCGTTCTGATGGAGAAGAAGCAAGTCACTACACAGGATCTTGTCTCCAGGTTTAAGGCAAGGCTTAAGACCAAAGAGGTAATAAATACTAATTGCTGCTATACTACTCTCTACTCTCTAATCTAGAACCTTTGTGTAAGTTTATGAAATGGAGCTAAATTCTGGAGAGTCAAATCCTTTTTTTACAGGACAAGAACGGCTTTGCTGAGATTCTGAGGAAGATCTCAAAGATACAGAAGAACGCTGGTTCCCAAAACTTCGTCGTTTTAAGAGAGAAAGAAAAATGAGACCTTACTACTAAACCATGATCTAACTCTCTTTGTTTTGTTTGATTCATGATCTCATGCGAGAGTTAAAAGTAAAACGTAAGAATGTTTTTTCATTTCTTGATTTCTAAATGTTAAAAACAGAGCGACTTAGTGACATTTATAGCAGAGGTAGTGAGTTGGTTTTGTTTCACCTTAAACACATTCGTAAGATATAACCAGAACAAGAGGGTCCAAAACACAGACAAATCGATGCTTTCTTCGTTCCTGAAATGTGATGTTAAGAATGGTAGAACACCCTCTTTCTGGTGAGACTAAGCCTGGATGCTAAAGTCATTGACGCGGTTAGAAATAATGGCTGGAATCTTCCTAGTGCCAGATCAGTGGAGATAAAACGCTCCAGGTTCTGCTTACTACTTGTCCTCTGCCGTGAAGACGTCTTCTTATGGCGGTCACCATCAGGTAGCTATTCGCAGCGTTTCTCGTCAAAAGGCACTTGGGAGCAACTGAGAGTCTCTTCCCCGACTTTGCTTCTTTCATTCTATGGCTATCGTTCCTGGGAAGGTGACCTAGTAGAGACAGACACAGGAGATGGGGAATGCTAAATATTCCAGTCGTATGTCCTCTTTGCAACCCGGAGGAGGAATCGCACAATCATCTTTTCTTCTCGCAGGCAGTGTGGCAATATTTTGCCTAGAGGGTATGTCCAAGGAATCCTCCATCTTTGCTTGAGGCAACCGTGGACCACTTACTTCCAGGAACAGGGCAGTTCTTTACAAGCTTGTTTTGCAAGTTATCGTTTATGTTCTGTGGCGGGAACGCAATACGAGAATATTCACAGACTCCTCGACTGCTTTGGCGGCTTTAAAATCTCTTGTCGATCGCACAATCAGAGACCGGCTCCTGTCTCTTCCGGCTTCGGACCATGCTCCATCTCTCCTAGAATGTTATTTTGGTTGTATCTCTTATCCGCTTTGATATTTCTTCTGCTCTCTTCTTTTGTATAGGTAATAGCATCCTTTTCTTTCCTTTTCTTTTGTACGTTGCTTATCTCTTTTGCTAATAAATCTTTTAACATTAAAACAAAAAAAGCACAGACAAATCCAGATCAATAAACCAGAAATTCTCCTTTTTCATATAACAATTTTCCTTTTATTGAGTGTTTGTTATCTATAGAGTTACGATATATGTTACAAAGATATTGTTAGATATTCCTAAACGAGATTAGGAAATCTTGTGTGTATATATACCAATGTATATGAATCAATAAAGTGAGACCTTTACGATTATCAAAGTATTTCATGACCTAAATCCTACCTAAACCCTACTTTATTCTTTTGTTTCCGCCGCCGAGTTAACCTCCGCCGCCGCCGTAATGTCTATCACTGACGCCGCCGCACAAGGTATCGCCGCCGCACAAGCTAGTGCCGCCGCACAGAGTAGCTTTGCTACTAACCCTTACCAACTTAACGCTTCCGACAATCCGGGCTCACTAAAGGAAGACAATTACTCGACTGAGCTACGAAACTCATTACAAGCTAAGCAAAAACTTGGCTTTATCGATGGTACGATAACAAAACCTGCTGCTGATCCAGAACTAAGCACGTGGCTGGCTTCAAATTCGATGATCATCGGCTGGATACGTACCTCGATTGATCCTAAGATCCGATCAACGGTCTCTTTCGTTTCTGAAGCTTCAACAACCTTATGGAAGAGTCTTCAAGCTCGATTTTCCGTTGGTAATCTTAATAAGCACGAGTCGGAATCTTTGGTGAAGGAAGAGGAGATTAACTCGGTTTCGAAATCGAATGTACCGACAAAAGCAGTGAAGCCTGAACCAGCTTCAGCTGCTTCGACCTCAGCGGCGGCAACGGGGGCAGTGACTGAAGACGAGATTCGAGCTTTTCTGATGGAGAAGAAGAAAGTCACTACACAGGATCTTGTCTCCAGGTTTAAGGCAAGGCTCAAGACCAAAGAGGTAAATAAATACTAATTTGCTGCTATACTTGTCTTTAATTTAAATCCTTGTGTAAGTTTATGATATGGAGGCTAAATTGTGGAGAGTCAAATCATTTTTTTACAGGAGAAGAACGGCTTTGCTGATATTCTGAGGAGGATCTCACAGATACAGAAGAACGCTGGTTCTCAAAACTTCGTCGTTTTGAGAAAAAGAGAAACATGAGACTTTTACTACTATACCCTGATCTAATTCTTTTTGTTTTGTTTGATTCATGATCTCATGCGAGAGTTAAAACTTAAAAAAGTAAAACTAAAACATAAGAATGTTTTTCCTTTCTTGATTTCTAAATGTTAAAAACAGAGCGACTTAGTGACATTTATAGCAGAGGTAGTGAGTTGGTTTTGTTTCACCTTAACACATTCGTAAGATATAACCAGAACAAGAGGGTCCAAAACACAGACAAATCCAGACCAAAGTTTAACTTGATTTAACCAGAAATTTCTCCTTTTTCATATAACAATTTTTCTTTTATCGAGTGTTTGTTATCACTTACCAGTAATAAATTAATTCAATCAAAATATAATAGTGGTATCAAATTTATGGAACAACGTTTTAGTAAATGCTGTATAATGTAGAGTATTAGACTTAAACTTATTTATTAAATTAAATATTATTCGTAAATTTCCAGTTTTTATTTTATTTTACAAGGCCATATATTTGTCAAATGTGTAGTAAACTATTTCGAAGACCTTATTTGCACCTTGGTGGATAGATAAACTATTTGAATATCTAGAATGAAAATGAATTGATGTTTTATCGTGCGAGGTATTCAACACTAAATAGCTGCCCAATCAAATTTCATCTTCTATTTAAATGTTATCTCACATATGTATATTATTATGTGTCCACTTCATTTTTTTAAATATTTCTTGCTCTTTATCATCGATTTTTTTAACTATTTTGTGGTCCTAGCTCCTAGCATCGTGAAAAAGCGTGATATTTCTTTGGAACAAGTGTTTATTTTGACTTATAAGTTATAATATAGTAAACTAACTATGTGAATGTAATCGTCCGTCCAACATTCTGTTGAACTTTTGTGTTCAGCGCCGGCTTAGGGGATGGTGCGACAGTGCTGGAAGAAGTGAAGCTTCAAAGCTTGTGACTTTAAACCCGATGGTTATATAGAGGGTGACTTTTGAGTTGGGGGATTGACCTGCACACAAAAAGATGAGAGTTAATTTTGCAAAATTAATTTAATACCCTGATTTTTTTGCACAAAACCCGTATAAATACTATTGTTGTGTTATAATTAAGATTAGTCCTTTTAATATGACTAGGAAAGTACCCGCGCAACGCGCGGATTTTTATTTGTTTAAAATATTTTAATTTTTTTTTTTTTGAAAACATTTTTGTTTTTATGCAGTTATTAATTATTAATTTACTGAATGTTGTGTTTCTTTTTGATAATTTAATTTACTTATTTTATGTAAATAAATCTATCTTAAAATCATTGACCATTTATATTATAGTTACATTTGATTGCTTATTCTGTAAAGTAATGTTCATAGTAAGGTACAGTCATTTTCTTGTTTTCCTAAAAAAATAAAGAAAAGAAATTAATTCATTATCATTTTTTTTAGCATCACACGTAGTTACTCTTTGCCTATGCTCAAGAATTTGCAAACGTAAAATTTTGATGAATACAATAGATATGTATTTACCTTAAACGGGTGAAACCATAATAAACAATAGTTATTGTTTAGAGTGCCTGACACAGTGTAAAACTATGTTTTCGATCGCAATATAGATATATAGTCCACATTTTTTATAAAGGTATGTTTTGATTATGTAAATTTCAAATAGGAATCAAAAGAAAAGGAATGGTGCCATACTCTCTTTTTCCTTGGTTTTTAAAAGCTCAAGGGTAGCAACATCTCTTTATGCTGCCATTTTATACCATACAACTATTAAAACACGATTTATCAAAATACTGTATTAGGAGAGATTTTTTTGCTCATCTCTCCTTCGTTACAATTCATGACTCCTTTTGTTTGTTTTATAAATTCAAATAAAATTCCAACACAGTCTAAATTTGTTTACACATAAATGGTAGGTGATTCCTCCATTGAACTCGTCCAATATTGGACACCCCGAATATCCTAAACGAAGCAAAAGCCCTTGTCTTTGTGATTAACAAACTAATGAGGTCTCCATCTAAAAGTAATTTTGTAAAGACCATCAATACAGTACGGACACCACCGAGTCTTCTTCCTCGACTTCCTTATGCTCTACCATCTCCCTGAATTGCAGGTTTGACCTCATTTCTCTCTGTCACCTAATTCTTCTCCGCTACGCACTGTAAATTTCTTATGGGATTTGAACAGAACTAAATCACATGAAAACAATTAGTAGCTACAGAGCAATTAACTGGTCGTATCCAAATATTTGACAGTGATCTAGTTCACCAACTTTTGACAGAAGAACCACTGTTATTGACATAGAAGCTAAAAGTCTTGTTTTAATCAGCTTGTCGTATGCTCGCATACGGAGAACACATAATGTTTAAATTTATAAAAAAATAGACTGGAAAACAATAATTAAGGGAACGGTTTATTTTCCGGTCTATTCTGCATGACACTGATGAGGAGGCTAAGGAGCAGGCATTAATTACTCTACCACAGTCAGAGGCTAGCGATTGCTTTTGGTATCATAAGCACCCCACTAAGGAAGTCCCTCACAATCATCAAGAAGCTGAGTTAGTGGTTAGTAATAGATAGGAAGACAAAACCCAAATGAGATTTAGAGTTCCCAACTCAGACCAACGATCATGGCGTTTGGGGTATGATATGAAGCTATAATGTCTAAGAGTCAATGGAAAATTAACATTGTTCTCGAGATCAAACCACATAAACCTTCAAAGGCACAAAATACATGATCCTTTTAAATAGTTGTTGATACTTGCCTGGAAGTTCTTAGCAAGCCAAGAGTACTCTAGATTCTGACCAAATGCTTTATACTCGATGGAGATGACTCAGACTTGTCCTTGAGTACCTTGCAAAAATAAACCAGATACATCAACAGCTCCCCCCAAATACTAATCTGTGGCATTTTAATGTTTAATAGACGCTGAAAATCCAGAAGAGACAGCCATACGAAAAAACAAACACATTACCTTTACGGCTGAAATGAATATCATCCATCTATGAATCGATTCCTGCTCGGAGTAGAGTCCATAAGCAACTGATGCACGCATTTCGCTCTTCATCTTTACCCTGTGAAATTATGAAGAACAGAAACCTGAAAGTAGATACGAAATCATCATAAATTAGGCTTAGCTATAATTTCCGATCCCGGAAAGAAAAAAAAAAAAACCCAAAGCAAATTCATCGAATTAGTATTTCTGAAACCAAGCAGAGAAACCAAACAAATAACACAACGTACATGAGAACGAAGCTAAAACAGAAACTCACCACCATAGAAATTGATTCAAACGAACACTGGAAATATTCGATTAATACACAGAATGTTAGCATCTAAGAATGAAGAAAGGAATTCATAGGCTGATCTGGATTCCAGAAAGACCCGGGGAAATCAATTTGACAAAGTGAGAAAAACGGGTAGGAGAGAAGAGAGAAACAGGGTTTGACGGAGGAGGACCATGGCGACGGCTGGCGAGGAGAGGCGGTGACGGTTCGGAACCTTTGAGTGCTTAATTTCTTCTCGAGGAAAGAACAAATGGGGAGATAAGATAAACGGGATGTGGATGGATCTTTTTATAGGAGAAGGGGATAATCGAAGGTTACCTCTGGAGTTATAGGCGGCCATTAACTGCCGGAAAATAAATGTATGTAACGGCGGAAGGGAAGGTGGAGAGTCTCAGCGGATTGAGGCGAGAAAAAAAATCAATTTCCGATTTCTATTCGATTTGGCGAGGAAAATTGTTTTGTTAAGCAAAAAGAAAGAAAACCAAAACTAAAAAACGAACGACGTCGTTTTGGGGCACTGAGAAAGGATACAAAACGACGTCGTTTTGGCGTAAGTAGAGGAGAGAGAAAAACGCTGACATGGCACTCTCTATGGATACTGAGGTGTCATCAGCTGGAGAGTGCTACAAACCCTTTCAATTATATAGATTTTATGAAAGTATAACTAAGTGGTTTCTTTTCTTCTGTGTTTCACACACATTCTTGTGAGCTCATCTCATATTGTTATGGCTCTAAAAAATCACCGTTCATCCAATAAAAAACCGAAGAAGCTCGAGACTTTCTGGTCAATTTCAGTTGTTGAAAGAGTCGCACACACGTTTTCTTAAAAGTGTTATCAAAATATTAAATTTGAAGATTATAAGTCGTAAATTGAATAAACCTTTGTTGATATTTAGGTAGAGTTTTTTCTATCAATAATTTAAAGTTAGTTCTCTACACTTTATATTTTTAAGATTAAGTTTTTTGTATAAGAATTCTAAAATCTATGTGTTGACATTGGATTTTGTTCCATTAACATTTAATACAATGTAATGAAGTATCTAAAATTGTCACTGAATAACATTACTGTGAATTTTTTCTTAAACATGTTCACAAATATCAAATCCAATAACACATAGATCTTTAGTTCATAGTTAAGATAAGAATTAACGGCCTTTTAAACCAGCTGGGACAAACTTGTTAGATCGCCACCATCCTTGTGTCATTCTAATGACAATTGCGTTGGAATCATAGAGAAACAGAAATAGAATGATCTGAAAGCTTTAGTAATCGAGTCTGACGTGGCAGCTTGAGAACTCCTCAGAAAAATCCAATGTAGGTGGCCTGAAAGGCCTTAAACAGCTACTGTAATTTAGTAAAGACTAGGTTAAAGCCCGCGCATAGCGCGGGTGGTGTTGTTATGTTTTCTTATTTTTTTTTCATATTTGTAAAATTTATTTAACAAAAAAAGAAAATTAAATATGATTGTCTCTTCGGCACATTATTTTTTATTTCTTGGTTTTTTTTTTCACTTTTCATGTGATGCGACGACAGATTCATTTCCTCTATTTTATAATTTATGGATCCTAATTTCGACATTATATATACTTTTGACAGAAATGTGTGAATGTGAATGACGTTGAGTCTCAGATAAGTGAAACTCTCGCCTATTTAGTTAACTAATTAGTTTAGAGTTTGGGTTGATTTAAGAAAACTCAAATCACACCTAATGCACCATCAACTTTTAGTTGTATGTTGTTTTCCACTTCAATGAAGTTAAACTGTCAACACTATTAAAAAAAAAAAAAAGACAACATATAAGAGGAGAAGCCGTCATCAAGTTGATGCATTATGTGTGAATGCCTACCCCTAAACTCCGGCACGTTATTAAGTTAATTCATCTTTAAAATATATTTTTCTATAGTGTGATTGTAAACTATTTTCATATTATACACTCTCAAATATTTGAATTTTTGTAAAGATGAATTTTCTTAGATTTTAATGCATTTTATTATTAAGCAATACTGATTAATTGTAATTTTCAAGAAAACAAAACAAAATTATTGAATTGTGAACAATTAAAAATTATTTAAAATTGTCAATTAGATATGATACATTTATAGTTTCTTAATATGAAAACTTTTAAAAAATCTCAAAAATAAAGAGAAAATATATTTTGTTGTGTTTAGTGAGAGCTTATATCTATGGTTTAATATTTATGTTTCTAATAAGAAACGTTGATTCTTTTGTCCAAATCCAAGAACTTATTTCATGTAGAACAATCACATTGCACACAATCATGATTTAAAAATACATAGTATTGTGAGAAGTGTTCAGCTCAACTACACATGGGTCAGGCCCATTACCCGTAACATGCAATGTCTCTGGGCTTCACATTCCTGCAGCCCACTCAACTTATCCTCCAGCTGGCTATTTAGTCAACGGAGTCTTCATCCTCTCCAACGTCACGGAAACAACCTGCAAACAGAGAAATTGCAGAGTTAGAGAGAGAAAGATACAGTTACAGAGAGAGAGAGTAAGATCACAGAGAGAAAGCGAGTGTAGAGAAGATCAAACCTGAGATCCTCTAGCTTTCTAGGTGTGTGAGCTCTAATTGTAACCGGAACGAGGTTTTCCGATCATCGGACCTCTTGTATCTTTTGGCGTTATCGCCGTAATAGTGATGAGCGACGGAAGGTGCGATTCCTTCCCCCAGTGAGTAGGAAACGAACACTGGGTCAACAAAACTTGTGTGTTCTTTAATTCCTGCACAAATCAAACAATCGATTAGCTTAGTTGATTGGATCCTATAAATCTCAACAAGTAGTATCAGAGCTCAGGCTGAGTGATCTGATCCAAAGCTTTTCGATAAAGGAAAACGTGAAAGGAGTTTGTCATATTACCTTGGATTGTTCCTGGAATCTCTTCGTGGATTGATCATCTCTGGGTTTTCTGGTTTTCTTGTGGACTATCTGGTTTTCTGGTTTTCTGGATTGCCTAGGTTTTCTGTTTGTGATTGCAAATCTGGTGACACCTGAGAACCTTCGGGATTTCACCGTCGACGGATCATCATGGATCCTACGGCGGGAAGGTTCGAGATGGATAAGTTTACCGGGAAGGAGGATTTTGGCATGTGGAAGTATAAGCTCCTAGGTCAGCTCGAGATCCAAGGGCTCGGAGACGTTCTGGAAGGGTTTCACCGTCACTGCCAAATCCGAAAAAGCAGAAGAGGGATCAGAACCAAGAAAAGATCCTAAGAAAGCTGCAAAAGATCTCAGAGTAAGGAATTTGATTGGTACCTTTTTGAGTGATCTGATTCTGAGAAAGGTAATGAGCCAACCTACGGCTCTTGATATGTGGCGTGCCCTGGAAGAGGAATATCAAGCTAAGTCATTACCAAATCGTATATACCTCAAGCAGCAATTTGCTAGCTTCAGAATGGATGAATCCAAAACAATGGAGGAAAACTTGGATACCTTCTTGAAGCTTATCTCAGACTTGGCCAGTCTCCAAATCTCCATCAGTGATGAGGATCAAGCTATTCAGCTTCTTACGAGTCTCCCACCTGCGTATGAACCATTAGTACATACTTTGAAGTATGGTACAGGAAAAGAAACTCTTACTGTGAGAGAGGTCAAGGCATCTGCGTATGCGAAAGAGGCTGAGCTAAGGCACAAAGGAATGTTGAAGAGAGGCAAATCCAGTGCTGAAGGTCTTTACGTTGACTCCAGGGGCAAATCTCAGAAAAAGAAAGACAAAAACTATGAGAAAGGGAAGTCAAATTGGCAAGGAAAATCTAAGGGAAAAGTTAACAAGGCAGGGAAAAGTGCTTGCTTCATTTGTGGAAAAGAGGGACATTGGAAGAGAGAATGCCCTAACCGTGATCAGAGGAAGTCCGGTGAAGCCTCCGCAAATGTTGTCTCAGAGCCTGTTCAGCCTCTTGTTCTCACGGCAAGCAATCGCCGAGGAAAAACTGGTGAGGCTTATGTAAACATAGTCTCAGAACCAGTTCAACCCATGGTCCTCACAGCAAGCACTCCCAGCAGGGCTAATGAGTGGATTCTTGACTCCGGGTGTACCTTTCACATAACACCAAACCGACATTTAATGTTCGATGTGAAAGAAGTTGAAGGTGGAAAAGTACACATGGCTAATGATACTCACTGTCAAGTGAAAGACATCGGAAAGGTTAAAATCACTAACCCTGATGGATCCGTTGTCATCCTCACTGAAGTGAGATACATGCCGGAGATGAATCGAAACTTGATATCCTACGGTATGCTTGAAAGGTCTGGCTGTAACTACAGAGGAGAAGACTACACAGTCACTTTCTACAAAAATGGTCAAAAGGTCTTAATAGAAAAGTATGAAGATGGGTTATATTACCTTCAGGGTATGGTATCCAGGCCAGAGTCAAATGTAGCGGTGCCTAAAAATCAAATGACAAGCTTATGGCATTCAAGACTTGGTCATATGAGTGAAAAGAATATGAAAATCCTAGCCAAAGATGGATACTTACCAAACACAGAAGTTGGAGACCTGGATTTCTGTGAAAGCTGTGTTCTAGGTAAAGCTCACAAGCTGAGCTTTCCAAAGGCCAAGCATACCACTAAGGGGATTCTGGAGTATGTCCACTCGGACTTGTGGGGTTCACCGTCCACTCCAGAGAGCTTGGGAGGATGTAAATACTTCGTCAGTTTCATAGACGATTACTCCAAGAAAGTCTGGTCCTTCTTCCTGAGAACAAAAGATCAAGCATTCCCCGCGTTTAAAGAATGCAAGGAGGCAGTAGAGAATCATACAAAAAAGAAGGTTAAGTGCTTGAGAACTGACAATGGTCTAGAGTTCTGCAATACCTTATTCGATGATCTCTGCAGCAGGTCAGGAATCAAACGCCACAGGACCTGTACCTACACACCACAGCAAAACGGTGTGTCAGAGAGGATGAATAGAACTATATGGATAAAGTTCGAAGCATGTTAGCCGAGACTGGTTTGGGTCAAGAGTTCTGGGCTGAAGCTACTTCTACTGCGGTATATCTAATCAACAGAACTCCTAACTCCACTATTGAATTTCAACTACCCGAGGAGAGATGGTCTGGACAGAAACCTGACCTGTCTAATCTGAAAAGATTTGGATGCACAGCCTATGTGCACGTTACTCAGGATAAAACAAGTCCTATGGCTATTAAGGACGTGTTCGTTGATTATCCGTTTGGGGTTAAAGGTTTCAGGGTTTGGATTCCAGAAGAGGGCAAATGCACTACTAGCAGAAATGTAGTGTTCAGGGAGGAAGAAATCTACAAAGACACCCTAAGCGTTTCTAAGACAGATGCACCTACAGCTCCTATAAAAGAAAAGAAGAAGAAGTCTGGAAGGAAAGTTACCTTTGATACTGATATTCAGAAGGGTCCAAGTGCTTCAGGCACCAGTATCAACTTGGATGAGACTTCTCCTTCAGGTGGAGCTACGCCTGAGTCTGGGACTGATGGCTCCGGCTCTAGTGAATCAGACTCCGACTCAGAATCCTCGCAAGATTCAGAAGAAGAAGAGGGATTAACTTTCAATGAGGAAGTACAATCAGAAAGTGTTCAAGAAATTGACAATTACTTACTTGCGAGAGATCGAGTCAGACGCGTAGATGTAAGGCCACCGTCGAGGTATGAAGACGCAAACTTCGCAGCTTATGCACTAGCTTGTTCTGATGACACTGAAACAGAAGAACCAAAGAGTTATCAGGAAGCTATGAGGAGTCCGAATTGGAAAGAATGGACTAATGCATCAGACGAAGAAATGGACTCTCTGTGGAAGAATCATACTTGGGATCTTATTGATAAACCTCCAAACGCCAAGGTAGTCGGATGTAAGTGGCTGTACAGGATTAAATCTGGTATTCCGGCAGTGTTGTCGAAACGGTTTAAGTCACGTCTAGTGGCTCAGGGGTTTTCTCAGAAAGAGGGTATTGACTACAATGAGGTTTTCTCGCCAGTGGTTAAACATGTTTCTATCAGGATTATGCTGTCTGCGGTTGTTAATAATGACTACGAGTTGGAACAGATGGATGTTAAAACGGCTTTCCTACATGGGGATCTAGAGGAAAGGATTCTAATGCAGCAGCCTGAGGGTTATATCAAAAAGGGAGATGAGAACAAGGTTTGTCTTCTGAGAAAGTCTCTCTACGGCTTGAAACAGTCTCCTAGGCAGTGGAATCTGAAATTTGACAGTTTCATGAAAGAAGAGAAGTTTATCAGAAGCAATGGAGATCCATGCGTATACATGAAGAATGTAAAGACAAAGGAAGCAGTTTACCTTTTACTCTACGTCGATGATATTCTGATAGCCTCCGGAAGTATGGCTGAGATCAGGCTGATCAAGGAAAGCCTAAGCCGGAAATTCGAGATGAAGGACTTGGGAAAAGCTTCCCGCATTTTGGGCATGGACATCATCAGAGACAGAGAAAAAGGAACCTTAAAACTGTCTCAGGAAAGTTACATAGAAAAAGTTCTCAAGGCATTCGATATGGCAGATGCAAAATCTACAACTACACCATTAGCTACACACTTCAAGCTAAAGAGCCTAACAAAAGCAGAAAGGAAGGAAGAAGTAGTTCATATGGAAAATAAGCCCTATGCTAGTGCAGTGGGTAGTCTAATGTATGCAATGATTGGTTCAAGACCTGACTTGGCCTATGCAGTGGGAGTTATCAGTAGGTTTATGTCAAATCCAGGCAGAGAACATTGGACAGCAGTTAAATGGGTACTTAGGTATCTACGAGGTGCTTCTAAAGACTGTCTAACCTTTACCAAGAACAAGGAATTCAGTATTGAAGGGTTTTGCGACTCAGACTATGCTACAGATATTGATAAACGAAGATCAGTTACAGGATTTATCTTTCAGGTTTGGGGAAATACAATATCCTGGAGATCTAATCTACAAAGTGTTGTGGCATTATCAACTACTGAAGCCGAGTACATGGCTCTAACCTCAGCAGTGAGGGAAGCTATTTGGCTAAAGGGTATCTGTGAAGAATTGGGTTTTGAAACAGGCGCAGTTAAGATACACTGTGATTCGCAAAGCGCATTGGCTCTAGCCAAGAATTCAGTTCATCACGAAAGAACGAAGCACATAGCTACTAAATATCATTTCATTCGGGATATAGTAGCTGAAGAAACAGTAAAGCTATTCAAGATTCACATTAGCATGAATCCAGCAGATTTTCTAACTAAGGCCTTACCCGGTCCGAAGTTTCAACTCTGCTGCGATCTTGTTAACGTAGCTTGATCGGCTTGAAGGCTCCAGGTAACTCCGTCTTCTAGGTGCCTCGCAATACAGAGGAAAAGCATATTGTTAGTACTGTTTTACTCTGAATCCTAGTCGATGTAAATCTCAAGGCTCCGTGGGAAGAATTTGAGTTACCTGTCGAGCAGATCGGAGCTGAGGGAGAGTCTTCAGTTCCAGGTGGAGCTATCTGCATGAGAAGATCAGTGAGTTTATCAGTTTTCTGAGGATTCATCGGGTTTTCTGGTTAGAGTTTGAAAAGCGAGGGTTTTCTCTTCAGAGTACAGATTTGGGTTTCTCAGATGTTTACATGTTGAGTCTAGCAGCGGAAGATCATCGGGTGTTCTTCAGGAACGCTGTAAAGGAAAAGCAAGTCGAGATCTGTTAGGTCTCGCAGCCAAAGGAAAATGCAGGAACGAGGATTTCAGTCGGCGCTTAGTGCAGAGATTGAAAAGGCCTCGAGAGTATACTTGTGGTTTCAAGCGTAGCCAGAGGTCTTGTTGAGTCCGGCGGATGCAAGCGGTTCGAGTCCGTCGCATCCAGAGTCGCCATCACGCGAAGACAAGAGAGAGAGAGAAGAGTTAGGGTTCGGCGGAGTTCACAGGAGAGTTGTCTGAAAGGTGGAGATTGTGAGAAGTGTTCAGCTCAACTACACATGGGCCAGGCCCATTACCCGTAACACGCAATGTCTCTGGGCCTCACATTCCCACAGCCCACTCGACTTATCCTCCAGCTGGCTATTTAGTCAACGGAGTCTTCATCCTCTCCAACGTCACGTAAACAACCTGCAACAGAGAAATTGCAGAGTTAGAGAGAGAAAGATACAGTTACAGAGAGAGAGTAAGATCATAGAGAGAAAGCGAATGATAGAGAAGATCAAACCTGAGATCCTCTAGCTTTCTAGGTGTGTGAGCTCTAATTGTAACCGGAACGAGGTTTTCCGATCATCGGACCTCTTGTATCTTTTGGCGTTATCGCCGTAATAGTGATGAGCGACGGAAGGCGCGATTCCTTCCCTCGGTGAGTAGGAAACGAACACTGGGTCAACAAAACTTGTGTGTTTTTTAATTCCTGCACAAATCAAACAATCGATTAGCTTAGTTGATCGGATCCTATAAATCTCAACAAGTATTACATAGTATATTTTTCACATGGATCTAAAACCGTAATTTTTTAGAACCTAATCATGTTCATTATCGCGATTATATATGCGTGTGTGTCAAAGTGTGCGTCTGAACCAAACTGATTTTATTTTTTAGTTCAATGAAATGTATCTTGTGGATGCATTCTCCACTTAAAACCGCCCCGGCAAGTAAAAGTTAACCCTTTTACATCTTCTTGAATCTGTAAGAGTAACGAACACTAATGATTTATACCTAGCATAACTTTTTTTTTCTTTCTTACAGCACTAACGATCTCGTATTTAGATAAAAAAAACCTGTGATGGAGGTCATTAGATATGAAAAGCGTTTGAGCAAAAAAAATCCATAAATATAATTCCAGAATAACGAACTTTACCAAAATCTTTGGTTTATTTGGTAAACGACACACGTATAGTAATTTCATCATTACATATCTGTAAAAGCTAAAGGAATCAAAAGCTTTTGACTCAAAACATTGTTCTCATTTGCAAACGGGGATTCATATATGTTGCTTCCTTTCCATGAATCCATCTTGACAATCACTCCGTGCATCCAAAGCAGCATTCAAATTCACTTTAACAGAGTCGTAATCACCTGATTTAACGTTCGTCATAGCTTCGTCTGTGGAATCACCAGCCGTGTCGTAAAGCTCGATGCAACCGCGTAACAAAATCTCAATACCGTATGAAGCTCTATGGAATATTTTCAACGATACTTTTCACGTTGATCATCTTCGACGCAGCGTTCTAGCTCATTCACAGGGATGACAGATAATGTGCATAAGAGTAAAGCTAAGACCTAGTTACCACAATTCTAATACTCATGCTAAGATAGAGTCCTAAAAAATAACGAAGTAACTTGAGCGAAGTGGTCAGCATATCTTATCATGAAGTAAGCTGAGGAAGGAACGTATTTGTTCACAAAACACTTTCCACTTCAATGTAGCTTGCCCTGTAAAACTCCTATTGATGTAAGCAGGTGTGGAGAGAAGAATCTTGGACAATATAGGGTACATGTTACACTGAAATTGGGAAAAATTATCCCAAGGTAGCACAAACGAAAAGTTATAAAATTCGAAAACCCTATGGTAGCTAGCAAGATAACGAATACCCAATCCCAAGATTGCCTACCCAGTTTTCTTGTAAACTAACCTTAAGAACATTAAGTCATTAACTGCTAGGCAAGTAGACCGTTTAACGCGAGTACCTGCTTTATCTAATTGTGTTGTCTTCTGCGATGACAAGCTAGTGGCTGTGTTTGGAGTCTGTGGAGGTGTAAACACCACTTAAGACCAAGACGATTGGGAATGGACCGAATCAGGACGTCGTCCTCTGATGAGCACACCTCAAATGAGGGATTAACTCAAATGTTGCTAGTGTTGATTATTTGGAACCTATTCAAAATCAATCGAAAAGAAGATTTGATGACACTACAACTTAGAAATACAATCTCCTCTGCTATGGCCTATGCAAGGAATCAGGTTTGGTTGGTTTAATAAGCTTGAACCAAAGCATAAATATAACCAGGATAGTAAAATGGGATGCTAAGGATATATGTTCCATTGCAATAGTATATACGCAGTTACTTACTTGCGATCTCCTTCAACATCAGGAAGATCTTTTGTAATAGCAATGACCAGTGCAAACAATGTCACAAAATACGTGATGAAAGCCACATGTGCACTGCAAATTTCAGATAGAGAGTTGAGTAATCTCTATATGCTCCGTTTTATTACGATGAAATCAAAGATAATTTGGCACATACCATGCTGCTATGATACCGTATTCATACAAGCATGGAAAATTCATCTCATTATTTCGACCCTACTTGATAAGTACTGAGGAGACGACTACTGACCTCCACTGAAACGGAAGTCCAAGAGCAGCTCTTGTAGCATGGTACACACCAAAATTAAGAAGGAAACCTCGCACCTGATAAGGACATGTTGTTAAAGAAATGCCATTTCAAAATTCCCAAGCTATGGAGAGATCTCATATGGTCATCATAGTTAAATAATCAGATTGAGAAGCCTACCGTGGCAATAATAAGAAATGTTGCAACTGGAAATCTTTTCATTCTAAATGGTGGAACAGAATAGATGGTTCCCAGGAAAAGGCCAAGAGTAGAGGCAAGTAATGAATGGACCAAAGTTGAATCCGACAACAACTGCAAAAAAGCATGACCAACAACCAGCCAGCCAGACTGCACTGAGAGATCTCCTGCTGGTATTGGCAAGTATGGGGGATAAGATTGATTATCGATGTTGGGTACTAACAAAAACGAACCTTGATCGACCCCGACGCGTTTTGAAACCAGATCGAGGATACTCCAACAATCTGCCATATCTCCTCCTCTGATTGGAAAGCGATTTCTACAGGGTGCATGTGATTCCTCATCATTTGTCTGAAGATTCTTTAGAAAATGTCTGGAGGCTGCTGCGAAGCTATGATTTAGCAAAAAAAAGGAGTCGAATCGAATGAAGAGATGGGAGTAAGAAAAGAGTTGGAGAGGGAGACGAAGCGTTGAAAATCGATCGGAGAAAAAAATTAAAAATTGGGCGAATTTCGTAGAGCACGCCACGTGGCCATCTCTCCCAGCTCTGACGTGGCGGTCATCTGGAGAAAGATGGCCTCTTATCTTTATATATATATATATATAAGATAGCGCATGCACGAATCTAACGATACTCAATAAATGAAATCGAATCCTTTATAGTCACGAGCTCTTAATTACAATGATCCACGCGACACAACGTATTGTTGTTATATATCTATCCTTAACACAAACAAGTTCTTCAATACAAACCTTACATTACATATTTACTTACATACATCATTCAATCTAATATTTGTATAGTTTTGTGCGCTAACTCATGGGAACGGAAGATGATGATACTTATCGTATGCCATTTGATCCAAAGAGCAAATGGAACATGCTCATGCTGTGGAAATCACCAGACGCAGATTCAACCACGTTAACGATTCCAAAAGAGATAGTAGAAACCAAATTATTTCCTTGCTGGAGTAAAGATCGTGTTCGTCGTGTGAAATTGTTAGAAGGTCCCAACTCGTCTGAGCTATTGGATCTCTTTGATTACGAGTCTACAATCACAACAACTGTGATCATGAAAAAAGTGAAGATGGAAAGTTCAAATTACATGGGTGGGGGAGAAGAAAGTACAAGACCGGAGATATTATTGGATTTTGGTGGGATACCACAAATTCTGGTAGACTTTATTTCAAACAAATACCAATTTCTCCACACGGTTGGTTGCTTTGATATAAATATATATGTACTCCCTCTGTTAGATCACTGTATATACAGATATGTAGTATCAAATGCTTAAAATTTTATTTAATTGTTCATTTTATGGTGCAACTCTACATGTGTCGAAACGTGTTTTTGGCTAATGGCTATAATGATATTTTACTAATGATATAGTTTTATAGTCACAAATTCATATTTACAATCGCACATGGATCAAAATTCATTATAATAAATAGTCTAACCACATAAGCAAATTTTGTTATACAAGCCTTACCTACAACTTTAGGAAAACCAATTTTCGTATATTCTTTTGTCTTTGTTTTGTTTTTTTTTTTTTTTTTCTCTTTCTTGCGTCCATACTAGTAGAGTACCCACACGTTTGTGCGGTGTGACATTGTGGTTTTATGTATAAAATTTAAACCCTAAATCCGAACCCGACCAAAAAACCCTAATCAAAAATTTTAAAAACCCAAACTTTTTTAATATGTATAAACCCGAAACTCCGAAATCAAAAAAATCCTGAAAACCCTGAATTGAACAAAAATATCTGGAAACTTTTTCACCCAGAAGCCGGCCTAAATACCTTAATCAAAATTTTAAAATACTCACTTTTTTTAATATATCTAAACCCGAAAATCCGAAATCCAAAAAAATCCCGAAAATCCTAAACTGAAGAAAAAAAACCCGAACCCAACCCAAACATAAATTTTCAAAGAAACACTCGAACAATTTCTATATCTCTATATCTCTATAAAATTAGGTCTCAGATTTTCATCCAAATCCGAACTTATTTATAAAAACCCGAAAATCTAAAAAGCATATTATCTTGATTTGGTATTATCGTTACATTATGTTAAGTTTTTTTTTTTGCAGATTTGTAAGAGCTGGAAAACAGAAGTTTTATAAAGGTTTGTTTTAAGTTATTATTCTTGTATCCAAACAATATTTTCCATTTATTCTTCTATCAAAATAGTTTTTTTCTCTTATTTTTGTATCCAAACATTATAATGTACTAAATTGACCCTAATTAAATCGATTGCCAAATATTTTATCTTCATAATTAGATTGTTTTTTTGGTCATAAATTTTTCATGTACTTCTCAATTAATAATATAAAAGATTGATTAGAGAAATTCATGATCCCTTATTATTCTTTATCAAAAAAAAATGATCCCTTATTATTAAACTAACCAATCTTATTTCCCTCTAAATATCCCGCTTATGTTTTGTTTCTTAAGGTAGAGTTCTTAAAGCAGAGTCTTATAGTGATAGTTCACATTATCATTCCTAGTTGTTTGAAAACAAAATATAAACATGTTATCAATTCGAGAATATTAGTTTAGTTTTTCTTCGACGAAGATTCGTCCATGTGGGTTTAAGGCAACATCAAATTCCACCAAAATATTTTACACTCACTATTGGTCCCATGATTCTCCACACCAATGTACTTAAATGGTATTTTTTATTTTATTTTATTATTATTATTTTTTAACAACTTTTTGTAAGTTTCGATATTAGTTTAGGTTTTGAGTCTATGATTTATCCTCGAAAAACAGTTTTTGTTCCATTCCTAGAACAACATATTCTTTGTTTTCGTGCTAATTAAGAACTATGAAAGATGAGACCCGACCATGCCACTTAGTGGTTTGTATTGATACTATCGTTGTGTTATAATTAACCCGAATCTTGTGGGTTTGATTTAACAAATAGTCTCTCTTTTTTTTTTCCTTCATTCAAGATTAGTCCTTTTATATGATTTTTTGAAAGTAACATATTTTCTCAGATTTATTTGTGATCTTGATCAACAATTTCTTCTGCGTTTCATACACATTCTTGTGCTTAGTGGTACATTATCTCAGATATAGTCTAAAGCATTTGAAAGCTTATCTCATATCGTTATGGCTCTTAAAAATCACTATAAAAAAACCCAAGAAGCTCGAGGCTTTCTGGTCAATTTCAGTTAATAGAAAGTTAAAGAGTCGCGAGTAGCTTTCTGGTCAAGTTCAGTTAATAAAAAGTCCTAGTCTAGTGGAAGAAGTGTTAACTTGTTTTCTATTTCTGTGCAGCTTTTGTAGGATTTCAATTTTTTTTTCTTTCTTGTAAATGCTTATATAAACTTTGTTCACTATGAGATGAATCAGAGCTTTCAATCTCAAGATAAGGAAAGAGAACTTATCTCCTTGCTGCATAGGGTCGCAGACACAGATAGCAAAACACTTCCAAAGATTCTCAAGGCAGTATACAACTTAAACACAGGTTTTGTTCTTACGAATTCAGACTATAACCAACAAAATTTCAAAACTCGCACACACGTTTTTCTTAAAAGAGTTATCAAAATTTAAATTTGAAGATTATAAATCATAAATTGAATAAACCTTTGTTGTTATTCACGTAGAGTTATTTCTATCAAAGAAAAGTTAGTTCTCTATAATTTATATTTTAAGGATCAAGTTTTTGTATAAGATTTATAAGAATTCATTTGTCTGAATTCTAAAATCTCTATGAGTTGGACATTGGATTTTGTTCCATTAACATTTAACACACCGTTAATGAAGTAATTTAAATTTTAACTGAATAACACTAGTGTGAATTTTTTCTGAAGCATGTTCACAAATATTAAATGCATAGTTAAGATAAGAATCAACGGCCTTTTTAGCTCTGTTTACATTATAGAAACGTTTGTTTCATCCCCACATTTTAATGAAGTAAATAAACTTTTAACTGAATAACACTAACACTGAACTTCGAAAATCTGTAAATCAAATCCAATAACAGTATATTTAAAACATTTTTTAGAATTAACGGCTTTTTAGCTGTTATGTTCTTTATAATAACGAATGCTCTTGTTCTTCTTGCATCAACAAAAGAGTAAACTTTTTTTGTTTCTTTGTATAAATAAAAAACACAACTTCGTATGTGATTACAGAAACAACATTTGAAAAAAAAACAGTCTTAAATTTAAATAAAGTTTTAAGGTTCAACAAACAAAAATAACTCACAAGTAATTACCCAGCCATGGAAGATCCTTGTTGTCTTTCAATGCAAAAGCAACATCATCACTTGGAAAATTCAGCTGCAGCTTCTGCAACCTATGCCTCTGTCCCGCCTCACATAGAATAATCCTGCATTCACCGAGATCACAACCGATCTTGAGAAGAACATCCCAACCAGGAAAAGCTTCTCCATTGGTTAAGCAGAAGGCCGAAACCGTCGTCGCCACTCTATCAAACGTCGTCTCCGCCATTCCCGTCTTGTACAGCTCATGAACCATAGCCGTCAAGAAGATCTTGCTCAGCTTCGAAACGCTCTTCATAACCTGAATGTGAGGCGCCTGAAACATCTCCTGGATCGCTGCTTCAACATCTCCCATAACCACCAGCTGATTCTTCGCGGCCGCATTGTCCTTCTTCTTCAGACGGTAATCCGCTACTTCCGCTGCTCGTCTGCATATCTCCAGCGCACGTCTCGCATCCCCCGAGATCGCAGCGACTTTCCTCGAAGCAAACTCGATCGCTTGCTTCTCGAATGCGTCGATACCATTCAGCCTCGTGGAGATGATCTCTTGCAGCTGAGTGTGGTTGTAAGGACCGAAACAGAGTCTCTGTATTCCCATTCGGCTTGAGATCCGAGGAAGCAGCTTCTCAGGAAGATCCATAGTGTTTGCTATCCCCAACACAATCAGCTTGGAGTTAGGCTTTGTAGGCCAATCAAGAATGTTGTACAACACAGACTGGTTTCTTGTGACTAACAGATCAAGCTCGTCGATGAGAAGTATGCAAGGCTTCTCCTCCTCTTTCGCAATCCGTTTCCCTTCTGCGAACCTCTCGTTCAACGAACGTAGAGCTTTCTTCCAACTCACACGATGACCACTCAACGCTTCGTAGATCACAGTGTAAATGTGCTCCGGTGAAGCCAGTTTGAGACCATTGATCTCCACAAAGCAATACGGACTTACACTTCCTGCTTCAACCTCAGCTTTCAGATTCTTCATCACCGATAGTACGCTAATAGTCTTCCCTGTCCCTGGAACACCATGGATGTACATACATCTTCCTAAACACTCATCATCAGAGATCGAACCTTTGATAAACGCAGTGATCTCTTCCATCTCCTTGTTCCTGCAAGGAAGAGACTTTGGACGTGTAGCCAACAACAAAGTAGCTTTCGCTTTCTCTAACTCGCTCTGCTTATGACACCTCACATGCTCAGGAATCTGCTTCGCTCCAACCTTCTCCAGTCCAAAGAAACGACCTTTAAGTGAATTCGCAGCTTTTGAAGCAGTCGTTGTTAAGTCTCTCTTACTCTTGGAATCTACACGAACACTTTCTTCATCTTCAATCTCCATCTCTTCATCACTATCATCAGCCTCTTCCTCCTCTTCTTTCCTAGAGTTGTTCCATTCATGGTCACTCTCTGCATCTCCATCAGCTAACTCAGCCAAACGCTTGAAGCTATGCCAATGCACATCGTACTCATACTCACACAAGAACACATCATCACCATCGTTGCTCGCCTTTGAGAACTCCTCCGGAGACTTGACATAACAATGCCTGAGTATACAATCCATCTCTATATCAGCAAAATCATTCGTGAGGTAAACCTCTCGTTTCAGGTTATGAGCTTGACGCCCTGAAGCAGTCTCTTCAGGTATCATATACCAACGAGCTCTAATCCAATACACGCCATCGACGTCTTTCCAGAGCTTCTCGATCCGAGCAGCGTATAGATCGCTAGAGAGAAGCTTCTCTCTCGCCGTCCTCATCAGCTTCTTCCCTTCCGGTGGCTTTGGAGCCTCGAGCGTCTGACCGGACTTTCGAACCTCGCAAAATTGACAGATCCAGTCTCCTTCTGGGACTTCTTTCAATGGCGGCTTCAAGCATTTTAAATGAAACCCGCCCAAGCAATCATCACACTCGAGCATTGTTTCGATACCTGATTTGAAGCAAATCCGGCAATCTTCGATTTCCGGGTCGTCTTCCTCGTCTGATTTCGCGTCTTCTCTCCTTTTGAGATACACATCGTCGCCGATTTCGAATCCGGTACCGTCGAATTCGACTTTATTGTAGTATACTCTCTTATTATTGGATTTTGTTGAACCTGTAAGTTTCTCTTCAGGCTTTTTCCTCTTCTTCGTCGTCGACGACTCCGATCGATTTGGGGAAACGGGAGAGAAGGAGACTTCGGCATCTAACGAATCCTTCTCGGCGACTTTGGATTTAGCGATTCTCTTCTTCGGAGTTTTGAGATTCTCCGATTGCTCGAAATCAGTGGTCGGTTTTCTCGGCGCTCTCTCTCTTTTTCGAATTAGATTCATTTCTTCGGCCGATTCTCTCTCCGGGACATCGATTGGGTCATTTCCCAGATCGATTTTCCGGGAAACATGGTGGCGAGCGGATCTGCGAAGAGGAGTGAGGGTTTGTGGGGTTTGGGGAGTGAGCAAGGTTGAAGAAGGAGATAGATACGGTTTGCGATAAATATTGTTTGGGGTTTTGTTGGATTTGGTAGGGGATAGGAAGGTTTTCGCTCTCGGAGTCGTAGCAGCCATGGATGTTGAGAGCTAGGGTTTCTGGGCAAAGGAGAGGGAAGGAGAAGGAGGGAGGTAGAGAGAGAAAGATGCTCTGGTTGTGAGGAGGGCTTTAGAGGGAAATTTGGCGGGAAATGTTCCCTCGGAGAGGAAATAGATTTTTTATTACTTTATAAAAAGTCATTAATTTTGGAAAGGAGATGGTAAGAGATTCTTTATGGAAGTAAATAAATCAAAGATGCTAAGGTCATGGAATTTGATTTGAGTAATATATTGACTAACGACTATAATTAGTGACATAGGTCTTTTTACTTTTAATTACACATTGATTAAGAGCTAAAATTTAGAGATAATTAGACAAAAGCTACTATTACACTAATCTTGAGTATCCATAAATTAAGGGCCTGACTGGTTTAACCGCTGCGGTTGCGGTTGCGGGTGCGGGAGTTTGCGGAAGCGGGCGGTTGTGATTAGTAGCGTTATTAAGCGGTTTGTACGACTGGCATAACAATTGAAAATGGATGCGTTTGCGGGTTACTTATGACTGGTTCACTTGCGGATGCAATAGCGGTTAAACAATAAATTAATAATATAAACACATTATATAATTATAAAAATATCAAAACTATATTATAATGAAAATTTTAAATTTATGGTTCAACATAATTAAAAATAATTTTTTTATAAAGAATAATATGTGTATAATACTTACGTCTATCTTTTAATTTCTATAATTTAAATAAAAAATGTGATTTTATTTTCAAAATATATATTTAATGTGAAAATTAAATTTATATTACAATTTTATTTATTAGATATATATGTATTAGTATGAAAAGAATATTTATCAAGAGAATTTTGATTTGTAGAACTTATAAATATATAAGTATATATGATTTTAATGAATATTGACTAAAAGTACTAATTTTTTATTTATATTGTGATTTTATTATCCAAATCTTATTTTTTAATAAATATTATTATTTATTTTCGGATTTTATATAAGTTTGTGTTTTTTTTTTTTTTTTAATTATCCACCGCAACCGCCCGCAACCGCAAACGCTGCGGAAGGAGCTTTTGATTTTGAGGGATCTTGAGCGGTTTGAGTGGTATAAAGCGTTTGTGGTGATTGTTATCAAACGCCAATAACCGCTACTACCCGCAAACGCTGCGTTTGCGGATGGCAGCGGGTGAACCAATCAACACCTAAGTTGAGCGTATAATGTGGGGGTTGGTCCGAGTTAATTCAATGTGAATAGTTACCGATGGTAAATCAGATTGACTGTGGATCGGTTTTGATGGTTTTGGTCCGGTCTATAATCAGATATACAGATCTCAAGTGTTCAGAAATAAAAAAAGGTTTCAATTTGGTATTTGTTTCTTTTTCTGTTTGTTTTGAATTTGATTCATTTCCATATCTAAAATAAATAAATCTCATGTTAAGTTTTTGACCAGAATAAATTATGGACCAGGTTCTTAGTTTGTTTCGGATCGGTTCGGTTTATTCAAACCATTTCTTAACATTTAAACCATCAATTGAACACAAACGGCATTTGCTTTTGAAACTATGGAGACCTTTTTGGAACTCAACAAGTCAATCATAGATCCTAAACTGTTTTGCCATGGTTTAATTTTGATTTAAGCTATAAAACACATGTGATTTTTCTCTGGATAATCTCGCAATTCTTTATGTAAAACATGTGAATGTATTAGCATGGATCTCTTTTACCATTCACTATCTAACCAAGAAGAGTAGGAAATTCAAAGAAAAAAGCAAACGTCAGTTAAATGCTTTCATCTTTTTCATCACCATCATCATCATTCATTTTCAACACCAGCCTCTGCTTCAGTTACATAATCATGCCTAAAAACAAAGAAAATAAGCAAATTATCAATGTGTCAAGAGAGGATACATCAGTTAAATTACCAAGCTTGTAATGTAAAAGCCAAGCAGATTAACAATCGGTGCCTAAACAATGCACATACAATCTCTCATCATGTAATGTAAGTTATGGAAATTTTGAATAGCATCTTACTTGATTTTACGAGTAAGTTGGTATATCCCGGTCGCTGCCATGGCAACATTAACACTAAACAAGTTCCAGTTTTTCTGTAAAAACAAACGTCAGATTCAACAAAAACAAAATCAAAGAGAAAACCAAGAATCCAATTAAAAAATCCTACTAAGCAAAAACTTACAGGAATGATAACAGTGCTGCAACGACACCAGATCATTCCAGTACATGTCACAGCTGAAAGCATAATTATAAAACTGTAATAATTGAGATATACTAGTAACACCTCGTAAAGATGAAATTATGCATTAGTATTTACCAATTTGTTGGAGGTATGAAATATTCTCAGGAGGTTTTTGGAAATCTGCAATGTTAGCAATGCTTATACCCCATTTGAACGTTGGAGCCCAGAAATGAACTGAATAAGTCACAAAACAAACAACAGAATGAAACTTTGATCGAGCTTAGTTATCACTAGAATCAATTGGAGTATTATGCTGTTAATAAGGACAAGAAATGCCAGATATATATGAGCCAGTAATTGGTTTAGACTTTAGACCATCTAAATTTGAATTGTGCAGAGATTAATTAACGAGTGTTCGTATAGGAAAGCTGTTTAATAAACCACTCGAGAATTGGAGATATCTACATTTCTCGAGAAATCCAAATTCCATTCTCTCAAGTCTCACGTAGCGAACCAAAAGTAAAATTCATGAAACAATGTGAAACAGAAACTGAGTTTGACTCACTTGTCTTAGGTCCGGCCGGGTGATTCCAGAGAGCTTGAAGCTTCGACGTCACCATCTTTAATCTGAGATTCTCTTTTCTGTCTTGTTCAGTCTCCGACATCTAAATATTGAGGACGAAATGATTCTCCTGAAAGCGACGTCGTATGGACTTAAACCACTCTTCTTCAGCCCTGGGCATTTCGGGTTTTGGGACGGAAATTAACGGCTATGGGACGGGAATGGGAAATTCGGGAAACCAAATATTATTCCCGAAGCATTCCCTTATTATAACGGGATGGGAAACCACGGGAATGGGAAGGGAATGAAAATTTTGGGAATCAAAAAATAATACCTGAAGTCTTAATAAATCGGGAAAATTGAAGATAATATGAAAAATTACGGAAAAATACAGAAAAATATGGAAAAAATACGGGAAATTATGGGAAAATTCGGGAAAATGTGGGAAAAATTGGGATATTTAAGAAAAAAATATCTAATTTTCAATTTTTTATTTTGTAAACGGGAAAATCGGGAAATCCCTTACCCTTCCCTTACCCGTTTGAATAAAATAAATGTTCCCAAATCGGAAATTGCAAATTCCCATTTCCGAAAAGTTCGGGAAATTTTAAAGGATAAGGGTGGGAACGGGAATCCCGTTCCAAAATACCCAGGGCTACTCTTCTTCTACTCTACACATTTAAGTTTGGTTTTGTTTTGTTTTGTCAAAGTATATTCAGATTCAAACCCGGCCCCGTGATATTTAATTGGTCCAAGAGTTGGTCTGAATCCAATAGTCCATTGCATACTCTTTTAACTCAACTTTTGGGCTCAAACTATTTTCTGATGTGAGAAAACAAACAGTGAATTATACAATACAATTTTCGGTTTAACATTCTGGTAATTAAATAAAAATTAAAAATGATAATGCGGAAACCACACATCAACATAAATGTTTATATGCAATCAAGCTATTAGCACGTTAGGATACATACTTATAAATAACACGTCAGAGAAACATTAAACTCTAATAATGTTTCTCGATTAATATATAAGAGATTTTAATTTTAATTTTAGTATTTGGCGCTCGAGATGATATATATGATCGATGTATAATTGGGTTTATTAAAATAAGTTGCTGGTTATATACGTATACAAATCTTAAAGCAATGTCACATGGCTCACACCTGTTCTATGGAATCAATTGATAAAATACTGTAAGGAAATAAGTAAGAAACTGTTTACTCTATGCATTACGTACGTACGTTAATGGCTTAATGCACGCATTTTGATCGAGTTATGGCGTACGTTAGATGAAATTAAATGATTAGTTATAGATTCCACTACAAGATAAGAGATTAATATAACTGGAACATGGAAGACAAAGTATGTAGGTCAAAGAAAACTTAAGTGAAGATGACGGAGGAGAACGTAGAGGAGCCTCCTCTCAGCCCGGCGGCGCGTCTATTCCAAATGCCGAGCACAGAATTGTGCATTATCGCGATGATCGGTTTTAGAACCAAGATTAATCCTGATGTCATTCTCGATGACTTGAAGCATTACGTTTCCAAGCATCTTCGTTTCTGTAGTAAACTGGTAACTGCCCCCACATCAATACTTGTATATCCACACAAATTATTTATTAGTCTACTTGGGATTTAACATTGTGTTTGGTCTGTAATATCTAAAATTTTGAAGTCAGATAATGGTGAAAGATGGATTAAGACACAAGTTAATGTAGACGACCATGTAGTTGCACCAGACATAGATCCACAAGAGATCAAGGAAGATGGACAAAGCTTCCTCGATGACTATGTCTCGCGACTAACCATGATTCCTTTTGATAGATCAAGACCACTGTGGGATATTCATATCCTCAATGTCAAAACATCTGATGCAGAAGCGGTTGGTGTAGTGAGATGTCACCATTCTTTGGGAGATGGAATGTCTTTAATGTCCCTCTTGGTGGCGTGTACCCGAAAATCATCAAATCCCGAGGCATTTCCTACCATTCCCGCCATAGAACGGCGTGACCCGTACCACCTTAGAAACAAAGGCCACCTTTTAAGGTCAATATTCGCAATTTTTTCTTATGTGGAATTGATTTGGAACACCATTGTAGATGTTCTGCAGACTCTGGCGTCTGTGTTGTTCTTGAACGATACAGAGATCCCTCTTAGACGCGTCAAGAATAATCCACAGAGGTTTTGTCACCGAACTGTCTCATTGGATGATATTAAGCTAATCAAAAATACTATGAACATGGTGAGCTATGATTTTTTGGGTTCGATATTATATTATTCCCTAAAGTTATATTCAATAAAAAAAGATTAAGATTTTCTTCTTTCCTTCATTTTGTGTGTATGGAATGGATAGACAGTCAATGATGTTCTACTTGGAGTTATACAGGCCGGTCTTTCCCGCTATCTGAACGGACGATATGGTAACCCTATATAAATATTCATGTAGTAAAGGGCATCTAGTTAATTTTAGAAACATTTTTAATTTAAACAATGTTTGTATATACTGTATGTGAAAAAAAAAAAAAATATAGGCTTATCTACAATACTAATATTTGCAAGTTTTAATTAAGAATGTGTGTGATGGTTGAAAATCTTGACTAAAAGAGTTTAATGAATAGTTTTGAATAACGAGTTTTATAAATTTATAATTCAATAAGAGATATCATTTACAACCCTTTTTTTTCTTTCCTTGCAAATGAATTATGGAGTTGTTTATTTAGTTTAATGTAATTTTTTCTACTTGTGATTTTGGATAATACACTAAAAACACATAATTTCTAAAATTTTATAGGGATGAACTTAGAACATCACTATAGCAAATATGCATCAGAAAAATAATGTTTAATATTTTGCATGTGTGTGTGCGCTGTTTCTTGAAAAAAATAAGGCAACGCAGATGCTGAAGGTCGAACATCGGATCAGAACAATCATTCAGATAAAATACGACTTCCAGCGGGTATTGCAGTAAATTTAAGGCAGGAGATCGGAATCCAGGTTTGATATTCTCTCCTTAAAGAAAATAAACTATAGTTGAGAACACTCTTGAAACCATTAACGTAGTTAAACAATTGCATGAAGCCTGTGGGAAACATGTTGGCTAAGGATTCGAAATGCAGATGGGGAAACTACGTCAGCGCAGTTCATTTTCCGCTATCCATTAGTTTAAAGACCGATCCATTAGTTAATTTATCAAAGACTAAATTCATAATGGATCGAAAGAAGCACTCTCTTTCGGCTTATCTCTTTTATCTAACTCAAGAGTTCACCGTCAATACTTTCGGACCTAAGGTATATATACATTGAGATAAGTAAACTCAAAGATTTTTGTTCTTTTTCGACATTATATGGCACTGATATTACTGTAGGTAGGAGAAGTAGTCTTCAAACACATAGGGTCGAACACAACTGCATTCGTCTCAAACATTGTTGGCCCTGTGGAAAAAGTAAGTTTACACGGCAATGAGATCGCTTACATCGCTTTAAGCTGCTATGGAAACGGACGGGGACATGCACGTACGTTTTTAATTTATTTTATTTTTAAGTGGAAAATCTAAAATGATATGTAGTAGTATTCATGAAGAGTCTCTTCCGACATTTTTTTTCTTTCTCATATATACAATTGTGTTTGGTAGGTATTGTTGGTACATTTCGTAAGTTATGCGGAGAAGTTGATTATTTCCATAGGGGTGGATCCAACATTCATACCAGATCCTCACAATCTTTGTTATGAAATGGAAGAGGCTTTGAAAGCTATGAAAGACGCTCTTTCTGGTAAATAAGAGTGACCAATTTGTTCGATCAAATCACTGAAGCAAATGGTTTCCGTGGGAATTTGTTAGAAATATGTGTGTGGTTATTTAAGTGTGAAACAGTTTGTGTTGTGTTGTTATACTTTAAAGGTTTATTATATTTGTGTGATATTTAGTTAATGTGTACTTATATGTGAAAAAGCATTATTGTTTTCATTTTTTTCATGCACATCAAAATCAAGTGGTTTTTCAGATTTAACTTTCCTTTTCTATTTTATTTATTTTAAAATAAAATGATGGTAAAGACTAAAGAGAAAATGTTAAAATGAGGTTAATTATGACTTTAGAGCTCGTATAATAAACAATCAGGTGGTACATTTAGCCCTTAACTTTGGAGCCCTTAACATCAGCCTGATTCCAACATCGGCACGTTTACCACGAATTTGCTCGAAGATTTCATTGGAAACTTTTGGTATATATATTAATTTGGAAAATAGTAGTAAATTATTCCAACGCAATTACCATCGTGGGAGTATAAATGAAGCTACCATAGAATTAACATGGAGTATAAGCAATGGCTTACTAAATTTATGTGTTTTGCTACAAACCAAGAGATTCCACCGGAGCAGATCAGATGTAGGCCATTGTATTTTCTTTTACTCAAATTTTGGGTGGAAACTATTTTCTGACTTGAGAAAACAATCAGTGAATTACAGTAAGTAACGTTCACAAATCCAAATACTATAGGGAAATGATTTACTCGATAACACGATGAACATGAGATCAAACGTCCTGCTGCAGTGATGCAGACATGCAGCGTACTTATCCTAATGCGTCTTGGTCTTGGTTTTGGTTTTTCTTTCTTTTTATCTTTTCCTTATTAATTACTACTAGGAGAATATCTGCGCAATGTGCGGATTTATATTTCAAAAAAAAAAATGTTATTTTTGATATTATTTTGTTTTGTTTATATATCACTTTGTATAAATAGGAAAAGTTAATTTTTGAAATAAGAATTTGTTTCTTTTGAAATAGTATAAGAGTTTGTTTCTTTTTAAATATTATGATGAACTTAATAAGTTAGACCACCAGCAAAAATATCAAAAATATTTAAAGTTTCTTTCCAAATGAAGTTCTTTAGTAATTTTTAATAACAAAAATATTAATAGTTTAAGTTTAAAGTTTTCAATGAATTTTTAAAATTTTAGCTCCATATTGTAGAAGTGATTGTGGAGTTCTTTAAAAATTAATTACCTTTTTCCAAAGTTTTAAATTTATATAAACACAAACAACAGAAACATAAAAAAAAAAAACAAATCAAAACATGATAACATCTGTATGTTTAATTGGATCTATTTGAGTTGCAACATATGTATGTTGAATTTGGTTTCCAACACTCCAAAACCTTTGACGCAATTCATATGTTTACTCTTATTCATATGTGATAACTGATACGCCTCTTGCTTATCCAGTGGGACCGTTATTGGATCAAGTTGGTGATTGTAAGGAGAAGAAGCAACGGAGATTTTAGAATGGCTAGACGAGCAGCCGGCTATTTCGGTGGTGCTCACTGCAATTAGCATTAACGGTTATATTAGAGTGTATAAACACAAATTAAACATATACAAAAGCGATCCTTCCTTCTTGGCAGCAGAAGCAGCATTCTTTTTCTTGCGGCCAACTTCGACACCCTAGTGCTGGAGGTACCACTGCTTGAAGGGAGCATCATCGACCAGAACAAGAGCACTGTTGACAATTGTCTTCGGACGAACCAACTCATTGTTGGAAGCATTGCAGACAATATCAATGACTCTGGTCCTGCGGGTAACTGCTTCACTTCCCCAAGAGTAGTTACCGGTATCGAGTCTCAACGAACGCCACTTGACGTACCTCCACGAACTCTGATTCTTCTGACTGTATTGTTGCTCGACAGCTTTGTATTGGCAGGCTGCCTTCCCATTCCGTACCTTCACAAACCCAACACTTAAAATTTTAGAAGTGACAAAAGATACATCAATGAGATTTAGAATCAGTGGTACCGAATTTCTGAGAAACATAACAGACGAAATAGAACAAACAACCTGCAAGACAATGTTTTAACATTTAAAATGAATTTCATTCTCTTATCTTACAACAAATTTCTACCAACACTTGCGGGACTCCATTTCTGTGATACACCGAGATGAGATAACAAAAAAAAAAAGACTCACCATGTTCGCCTATTGATTCTTGTTTGCTGTCTCAGCTAACTGATGTGTTGTGCAGTCATATTTTAAAGAGTAAGGCAAACTACTATACATACAGTTCCATGATATGAGCCCATTGCATGTGAATAAGTTCCGTTAAAGCTGGCAAACCCAAAAAGAACTGGAAATCTATATAATAAGTAAGAACCTATGTACCATGGTTCTAAGCAAATCTTTAAAATTTCGATCTGTAAATCCCAATTCACATGAAGTATACTTGTAGATCTTATAGATACTGAATTAAGAGGCTCCATGAACACTGCGAAAGAGAAGAGAAAAGCTATATAACATTATGAAATCAATCGACTGAAGACATGTTTATAGAAGCTAAATAAAACACAGCATTGGGCGCACTGATGAAGAGAGCGAGAGATAGATAAAGTGAAAGCAAATAGTAAAGTTGAAAGAGACTGTACTCTGTTTGCCAAATTTCTACCTGTAAAGGAAGTAGATATATCATAAGAAATTCCAAAACTATGTAGAAGAAGCTTATGGAACTTGAGAAGCATAAACTTAAATAGAAGGATACATACCACCCGAGCAAAACCTTGAGGATTATGATTTACTCCTCTCTGCTCATATGTTTGAAGGGACCACCAAAAGTCAGATTTGACAAAACAAAGAAAGAAGATATCACCGTAATTAGGAAAACAAACGTAAGTTAAGGATTGTATCAACTATCAAGGATTGGATAAAAAAACATATGGAGGAGGAGATGAATCATTAAACTGAATACCTGATTGTGAAAAAATGATTTCAGGATAACAATTAAGAACTGAAGAAAAGGAGAATCGAGAAACTTACTTTGGCGGCGAGATGGTCGAGAACGGTGGCCATGAAAATTGAAGCTCCAAGACCGAGTTTTGGACGACGCGGCAGGTCACGATGGGGAATCTGCCGAGAGGGTTTGGTTGCCGGTAAAGACAGGATTTTCCGTCGCAGTCATTGCCGGGGATGGCTTTGCAGGTGGAATTCTGGCAGATGACGAGAGAAACGGCCGACGGAATCCAAAGAGTCTCGGCGGAGGTGGGTGTGGATGAGGGAGGAGGCGGAACGGAGACCATCCGGTGAAGGAAAACAGATGGACTTCGGTAAACGATTTTCGTTTCGATGAAAGATGGACTCCGGGAGAACCAGACGATGTCGTTTTGGTGGGGTTGAGATTCATTCCAAGGAACGCCGTCGTTTTGGAGTTATTTGGGGTAAGTTGAAAACGACGTCGTTTTGGTGTAACCGGGAAAAAAAAATTGTGAGAAGCATAAACGACGTCGCTTTGGCTTTGGAAAAGAAAAAAAAAAAGGGTGCCACGTGTCCCCAGCTGGAGAGTGTACATGTTGTATTCCTTTGTTAACAAGGATTATGATTAGAAGGTTCGGTCGGATTCCTAGTAGAGATAAAGTCTTAATGTCCTTTATAAATACTTGTAATTAAGAGACACGTACTAATTTCATTCATTAATCAAAGAATTTTTAGCTTTTTATTTAATCTCCTTGACGCTCTCTATCAAGCAACAACTATCTTTGTTTACTTCAGAAGTTGAATGGCTAACATCAGTGGGTAAATCATTCGTTACTAACAATACTAAGGATCGAGTATTATTATTTGACAATTTTTGTATTAGGGTTTCGAGAAATTAAATTACTCCTTTCTAATTGAGTACGAAACTACTTTAGGGTTCTGTTTTTTTTTTTAGTTTTTTTTTTTGCGAATTTCAGGGTTGATCTTTTATCTTCTAGTTTAGTTGAAGAGGATGGAGTAAAGATTATCTCAGGGGAAGATAGGATCAGCTTATTACCTGAATCTTTGCAATGCCACATACTTAGCTTTCTTGCAACTCAAGAAACTGTTCGTACAAGTGTTTTGTCCTCTGCATGGAGACATCTCTGGGCACAGGTTCCGATATTCGAAATAGAGAGCTCCAAGTTCCTAAATGACGAAGCGTGTGTGGAATTCATCGACAAGTTTCTGAATATCCAGAGTGAGTCATGCTTGGAAGGATTCGATTTAGTCATTGGAAAAGATGACTCTAAAAAAGATGCCTCTCTTTATGAGCCGTGTCTCGGTAAACTGATCAGTCGCAAGATTCAACGTTTCGGCGTCCGTTGCTGTCGGAACATTGAGATGCCCTTAACACTTCCTTCGTGTGAGGCATTGGTATACTTATATCTCTTTTCCGTAAGGCTGAATGATTTTGAATCTCTTTCCTTACCCTCTCTCAAGAGAATGTTCTTAGAAGATGTTATCTTTCCTACCGACACTAGCCCTAATTGGGTTCTTGATACTCCGAGGCTTAAGCATCTGATTTTCAAAGATAACCAATTCAAAAGCTTTAAGATAATAAGTATGAGGGACTCTGTCAAGGTTTTTCTTGATGTCGAGTTTGAGATTGAGGATCATGACTTGTCGGAAAGAAACATCATCTATAATCTTCTCAACAACTTTTCAGACGTTAGAGATCTGACTCTCACACGGAACACTCTTCAGGTATGTGTATATGTAACCTATGATCAAGCTCTAAACATTCTTTCCCATTAATTAATTTACCATTGTTTCTGCGATCATGACTTGTTCTCTTTGCTCGCAGATGATCACTTGTTTACATCACTTGAACCCACTACCCAAATTTCGTAACTTGACCCGTCTGCGTGTTACTATGTTCTTAAACTCCTCAACGGTAATATTGCCACTCGTTCTTGAGAGCTGCCCGAAATTGAAACACTTGCGCTTGGTAATGACTTGCTTACATTACACTTTCCAAGAAAGTTTTTTTTTGCTTACATTATATGATCTGCTCATATTTTCTAATTTTGGATTTTTGTTGATTTGTGTTTTGCAGAGACTGATTATTAAAAGTAATACACTGGCAGACACTAGTCTTCCGAGTAAGCTGCCTTCTTGTTTGGTGTCGTCACTTGAATGTGTGGAACTGAGAAGCCATAAGACGGATAAAGAAATAGAAAGGAAACTGGTTAGATACTTTATGGACAACGCAACAAAGCTCAAGAAGTTTGTTCTTCAGTTGTGTGTGTATAGAGAGGAGCCAGATATATTTGGTCTCTCGAAACTAAAATTTGACGCAGACGAGCTTTGTGACTTGAAGCAACACTTTGACTCTCCAAGACGCTCTAATTTGTGTCAGTTTGAAATTCTTCCATTTGTTCTGAAACGCCCTATATCGTCATCATAAGTTTTTACCTTTAGTTTTGATTTGTTTGGTCCTTGGCCAACATTACTAAAAACCAAACATTAACGACATACAGCAGTTTAGTTTTTTTTTTTTTTTACCTTTATTTATTTATTTGTTGTATCAAGAAAATATAATCAAATTATGTTAAAATACTGTTATGATAGGTTCACATAAGGATGGATCTTGGTAGAATAGTTAATTATCCGTTAATAATTGTACTTGTAATTGTCTTCGATATTAAAAAAAAAAAGACTAAACAATTTGCATTTGCTTAGACCAAATGCTAAAATTAGGTTTTGCTGCATGTTTAATCCGGTTTTACCATATATAAGAAAGTTGTGTGTAAATTATTAATATAATAAAGATCATTGAGAAACCCTAAAACGTGTGTCACCTCTGACACATTACGGCCACGTTCCCATACCCTAATTTTATACGAAGACAATCACTCGAAAACACGAAGAACAAGAGAGAGGTTATAATATTAACTAGCTGGTATTATCTCCAAAGCCGGTAAGTTCCTATTTGATATTTTTCCCTCTTGTGTATGCATTTCGCGTCTCCGTATGCGTTTCGTTTTCATTAATCTGATAATTGTAAGTCTGTAACTACAATGATTTTGTTTTTGTTATACTAAGGATGGAGCATTACTAATAATTTGAAAAGAAAAATAAATGTAGTTAGGCTTCGAGCAATTGCCTTTTCTATGGATACTAATACGAAAACTTAGGGTTTCTGATTCTATTAATTAGTTACTTTGGAATAATCTTATCGATTTCAGGTTAGGACTCTTATAAAGAAGCATGTCCCTACGTCCCACCGACATGATTAAATCCCTTGAACTTAGCGGGCAAGACTTGTCACGCCCATCTTCTTTAGCTGAAGAAGATGAAGACAAGATCAGCTTATTACCTGAATCCTTGATATGTCATATACTTAGCTTTCTTACGACTGACGAAGCTGTTTTTACAAGTGTCTTGTCCTCTACATGGAGGTACCTCTGGAAAAGGGTTCCGAAGTTAGAATTAGAGAGCTCTGATTTCCCAAATGACGAAGCTTGTGTGGATTTCATCGACAAGTTCCTGAATGTCCAGAGCTTGCTTGAATTCAGTTTATGCATTGACTCAGATGGCTCTAAAAACGACGCGTCTCTTTATGAGTTTTGTCTCGGTAAATGGATCAAGCGCAAGATTCACTATTTCGAAGTCTTATGTCATCGGAACACTAAGATACCCATAAAACTTCCTCCGTGTGAGGCATTGGGATGCTTAAGTCTCAAGTCCGTAAGACTGAATGATTTTGAGTCTCTTTACTTACCCTCTCTCTCAAGGAAATGTTCTTAGAAGATGTTATCTTTCCAAGCGACACTAGCTCTTGTGTTCTTGATACTCCGAGGCTTGAGTATCTGAGTCTCATAGATAACAATTTCAAAAGTTTAAACATAATCAGTATGAGTGACTCTGTGGAGGTCTTTATTGATGTTGACTTTAAGCTGATGCATCATGACTTATCGGAAAGAAATATCATCCATAATCTTCTCAGCAATTTTTCAGCTATTGGAGATATGACCATCTCATGGACAACTCTCAAGGTATATTCAAACTTATGAAAAGCGCTTTCAATGTTGTTAATCCATAACCATAATTTCTCACATGACTTCTTCTCTTCCAATGCAGTTAATCCATGGTCTCCGGCACACGAACCCACTACCCAAATTTCGTTACTTGACCTGTTTGCATGCTACTATGTCCTTAGACGCCTCACCAGAATTATTGCCAATCGTTCTTGAGAGCTGCCCGAATCTGAAACGCTTGACCTTGGTAGTGACTTGCTTCAAACATTTTGGTAATATTATGAGATGGATTCGTTTGCGTCGGTTGGAGAATTTTGTTATGGATGATGATCCAGAGGGAGTGGCAACTATTCTTTCGAATGTGCTGCCTTATTGTTTGGTATGTTCGCTTGAATATGTTACAATTAGAAGCCCGATTACGGACAAAGCAACGACACGGAAACTGGTTAGGTACTTTCTAGGCAACGCGACATCACTCAAGAACCTTGTTCTACGTCTGAGTGTCTTCTATGGAGAGAAGCCACACAATTTTGATCGCGTGAAACAGTACTTTGACTCTCCGAGACGCTCTCATTTGTGTCATTTTGAAGTTATTTGGGACTAAAACGCTGTAAATCGGCATCAAATTTCTACCTTTCTGGTGTATCTCCGAGAATGCTGCTGCTGCTCTGTTGCTGCTTTTGTGTTTTTTGCTTCTTGTCCGGCTCTCGTTTTAAGCCGGGTTGTATTTCCCCTTTAAGGAGCAAAATAAATAAAATGGTACTTATAAAAAAAAAAAAAAAAAATTTCTACCTTTGGTTTTGTTTGGTACATATGGCAAACCCTACTAAAACCCAAACAATACTGAAATACAGACAACTTTTAGTTTTTTTTAGTTGTTTTGTTTAATTTGTTGCATTAAAAAAATAATAGAAAAATTAGGTTAGATTGATATCATACAACTCTCTCTCTCTCTCTCTTCTTTCTTTCTTATTGCCTGATTTGTTTAATTTGGTATAAACTCAAACCAAAAGCGATTTCAATGTGAGACAGAGAAGTATGGAGATGCCATATTGTAAGAAAGTAAACCAAATCTAACGTCTAGACCACCAAAATCGAACCCTAACTAGTATCAGTTTCAGTTGTTCTCAAACCAAACTAAACTAAAAATCGAATTTGCTTTGACCAAAATGTTGGGCCAAGTGTTAGTGGGCCTTTAATTAGCGTAACATAGATGTAGTCTAGGTTTTGTGTTTGTAATTTCGCAACAGCCATCTTTGTTTACATCAGAAGTGGAATGGCTAACATCGTTAGCTGCCGGAAGAAGTCACGAAGTGGGTAAGTTCCTCTTTGATCTTTGCGTCCGTCTTTAAATTACTCTCTCAATCATATTTATCTGTCTTCCTATGCGTTCCGAGAGCATTAATCTGATGAATTTAACCGCAACATGTTGGTTTGACGATGAGAGATTCCACCAATTAAGGATCGAGGATAATTATTTGACAATTTTTGTAGTTAGGTTTCGAGAAGTTACTCCTTTCTGGTTAAGGAAGTTGAATACGTATGTTAGGGTTTCTGGTTCTTTATATCCCTTTGTGAATTTTTAATAATCGTAAACCAGCTTCGTTTTTTTGTTGTTGATAATCTTTGGGGTTGATCTTTTTTCTAGTTTAGTTGAAGAGGATGAAGTAGAAATTAGCAGAAAAGAAGATAAGATCAGCTCATTACCTGAGTCCTTGCAATGTCACATACTTAGCTTTCTTACGACTCAAGAAGCTGTTCGTACAAGTGTTTTGTCCTCTACATGGAGATATCTCTGGAAGTGGGTTCCCACATTAGAATTGGAGAGCTCTAATTTCCCAAATGACGAAGCCTGTGTGGCTTTCATCGACAAGTTTCTGAATTTCCAGAGCTTGCGTGAATTCAGTTTACACATTGATGAATACTCAAAAATCGATGCCTCTCTTTATGAGCCGTGTCTCGGTAAACTGATCAAGCGCAAGATTCATCGTTTCAGCGTCGATTGTTATCGGGATATTAAGATACCCATAACACTCCCTCCGTGGGAGGCATTGGTATGGTTAGGTCTTTATTTCGTAAGGCTGAATGATTTCGAGTCTCTTTACTTACCCTGTCTCAAGACAATGTTCTTAGAAGAGGTTATCTTTCCTAGCGACATTAGCTCTTGTATTCTTGATACTCCGAGGCTTGAGTATCTGAGTCTCAAAGATAGCAATTTCAAAAGCCTCGAGATAATCAGAATCAGTGACTCTTTCAAGGTCGATATTGAGGTCGACTTTGATCTGACGTATATTGACTTATTATCGGATAGCAAGATCATCTATAATCTTCTCAACAATTTTTCAGACGCTAGAGAGATGACTCTCTCATGGACTCTTGAGGTATATATCAAATTTATGATCAAGCTCTAAACACTCTTTCCCATCACCATTGTTTCTCTCATGCATGACTTGTTCTCTTTGCTCTCGCAGCTAATCCATTGGCTAGTGCACATGAACACTAACCCACTACCAAAATTTCGTTACTTGACTCGTCTGCGTGCTACTATGGATTTAAACTCCTCACTAGAAGTATTACCAGTCGTTTTTGAGAGATGTCCGAATCTGAAACGCTTGACCTTAGTAATGACTTATCACTTATGCTTTAAACTTTCCAAGTTCTTACGTGCCTAAGTAAGGTATTTTATTGATCGGCTCATTACCTTCTCTGACTTGGGATTTTTTTTTTTTCTCTTTGGTAGGGGTTGTCTGAGGATGATTATCCAGATAGAGTGCCAACTAGTCTTTCGAATGTGCTGTCTTATTGTTTGGTATCTTCCCTTGAATATGTTGAATTCGAAAACTTGATGATCAAGGACAAAGCAACATTACGGAAACTGGTTAGATATTTTCTAGGCAACGCGACATCACTCAAAAAGCTTGTTCTACGTTTCAATGTTTCCTATGGAAAGAAGCCACATCCACAGCCAGAAGATCCTGATTTCTTGAAACAATACTTTGACTGTGAGAGACGCTCTCATTTGTGTCAATTTGATGTCTTTTCTCAGTAGTTATATTTTTATTTTTGGGTGCAACAGTCTACGATGTACCAAATCTTGGTTACTTTATTAACGAACGATGCTAATGAAAACGACGCTCTATTTTGCTGAGTCTCAAGATAATGTTCTTAGAAGAGGTTATCTTTCCTAGCGACACTAGCTCTTGTATTCTTGATACTCCGAGGCTTGAGTATCTGAGTCTCAAAGATAGCAATTTCAAAAGTTTCAACGTAATCAGTATGAGTGACTGTGCGGAGGTAGATACTGATGTCGACAAGGTATAACAAACGCGACATCAGTCACGAACCTTGTTCTACGTTTGAATGTGTCTTATGGAAAGACGCCACACAATTTTGATCTCGTGAAACAGTACCTTGACTCTCCGAGAGACGCTCTCATTTGTGTCAATTTGAAGTTCTTTGGTCGCCGTAAATCGCCATAATAAATTTCAACCTTTGTTTTTTTTGGTCCATGGCAAACCCTACTAAACTTAAAAATTACTGAAATACCGAGAACTTTTCGTTTTTTTTTTTTTTTTTTTTTTTTTTGGGTAAAAATGTTAAGAAAAAAAGTAGGTTAGAATATTCTTATGCAACTAGTAGAGTACCCGCACGTTTGTGCGGTGTGACGTTGTTGTTTTGTGTAGAAAATTTAAACCCTAAATCCGAACCCGACAAAAAACCCTAATCAAAACATCCGGAAAAATCCCGAAAACCCTGACTGAACAAAAAAAATCTGGAAACTTTTTCACCCGGAACCCGACCCCAATACCTAATCAAAATTTTAAAATACTCAATTTTTTTAATATATCTAAACCCGAAAACCAGAAATCTAAAAAATCCGGAAAACCCTAAACTGAAAAAAAAAATTGAACCTAACCCGAACAGAAATTTTCAAAGAAACCCGAACAATTTCTATATCTCTATAAAATTATGTCTCAGATTTTCACCCAAACCCGAACTTGTCTATAAAAACCCGAAAATCCAAAAAGCATATTCTATTGATTTGGAATTATCGTTAGATTATGTTAAGTTTTCTTTTTTGCAGATTTTTAAGAGATGGAAAACGGAAGTTTTCTAAACCATCGGTTTATTTTAAGTTATTATTCTTGTATCCAAACAATTTTTTCCATTTATTCTTCTATCCAAATAGATTTTTCTCTTATTCTTATATCCAAACAACTTTTGTTTCCATTTATTCTTCTATCCAAATAGATGTTTCTCTAATTCTTGTATCCAAACATTAGAATGTACTTCTCAATTAATAATATAATAAAGATTCTCTCTCTCTCTCTCTCTCTCTTTCTTTTTTCTTACCGAAGTATGTAGATGCCATATTATAAGAAGTAATCCAAATCAATCGTAATCAAAATTGAACCCTAACCAGTATCAGTTTCAGTTCTTAAACCAAACTAATTAAACTTGTAAATCGAATTTGCTTTGACCAAAATGTTGGGCCTAGTGTTAGTGGACCTTTAGGCTTTAACGCATCATGTAGTCTAGGATTTGTATGTTTTGATACAGTTTACCATATTCAAGAGAGTTGTGTGTAATCTCGCAACAACTATCTTTGTTTTACATCGATCAGAAGTGGAATGGCTAACATCGTCAGCTGCCGGAAGAAGTCACGAAGTGGGTAAGTTCCTCTTCGATCTTTGCGGCCGTCTTTAATTACTCTCTCTTAATCATATTTATATCTGTGTTCCTATGCGTTTCGAGAAGATTAATCTGATGAATTTAACCACAAGATTTTTGTTATTAATGTTGGTTTGACAATGAGAGATTCCACTAATTAAGGATCGAGGATAATTATTTGACAATTTTTGTAGTTAGGTTTCGAGAAATTACTCCTTTCTGGTTAAGGAAGTTGAATATGTATGTTAGGGTTTATGGTTCTTTATATCCCTTTGTGAATTTTTAATAATCGTATATCAGCTTCTTTTCTTTTGTTGCTAATCTTTGGGGTTGATCTCTTTTCTAGTTTAGTTGAAGAGGATGAAGTAGGAATTAGCAGAAAGGAAGATAGGATCAGCTTATTACATGAATCCTTGCAATGTCACATACTTAGCTTTCTTACGACTCAAGAAAGTGTTCGTACAAGTGCTTTTTCCTCTGCATGGAGACATCTCTGGAAATACTTTCCGAGATTTAGATTATGCAGCTTTGATATCCCAAATGACGAAGTTGGTGTGGATGTCATCGACAAGTACTTTATGAATTTCCAGAGTGAATCATGCTTGCATGAATTCGATTTATGCATTTACTCAGAGCACACAAAAAAAGATGCCTCTCTTTATGAGTCGTGTCTCGGTAAATTGATCAAGCGCAAGATTCAACGTTTCAAAGTCGAGTGGTTTAGGGACATGGCGATATCCTTATCATCACTTCCTGTGTGTGAGACGTTGGTATCTTTAAAGCTCCTTGGCGTAAAGCTAAATGATTTTGGGTCTCTCTCCTTTCCCTGTCTCAAGATTATGAACTTGCGTTATGTTACGTTTCCAGAGCCGCTAGTCCTTGATACTCCGAGGCTTGAGGAACTGATACTTAGAAGTTGCGAATTCGAATTCAAAAGCTTCAAGATAATCAGTATGAGTAGCTCTGTCAAGCTCGATCTTGATGTCGACTTTGCGCTGAAGCATTATGACTTATCGGAAAGAAACATCATTTATAATTTTTTCAACAAATTTTCACACGCTAAAAATATGACTCTCTCAATGGAGACTCTTGAGGTATATATATCAAACTTATGAAAAAAGATTTAATTAACATTCTTTCCCATTATAATTAGTTGTCTCTGCTCATGACTTGTTCTCTTTGCTCGCAGGTAAATATCTATTATTTACATCACATGAACCCACTACCCAAATTTCATGATTTGACCCGTCTGTGTGCTTCTATGTCCTTAAACACCTCAGCTGAAATATTGCCATTCGTTCTTGAGAGCTGCCCGAATTTGAAACACTTGAACTTGGTAATGACTTGCTGAACACTTTTCCAAGAAAGGTTTTTTTTATATGTTTTTTTAATGATCTGCACATATTTTTTTTTAATTGTGGATTTTGTCGATTGTGTTTTGCAGGAATTAGTTAAAAGTTATACAGAGGAAGACGCAGAGGTAGACACTAGTTTTCCGAGTAAGCTGCCTTCTTGTTTGGTGTCGTCACTTGAATGTGTTGAAATAATAAGCGATATCACGGAGGAAGCAAGAGAACGGAAAGTGGTTAGATACTTTCTTGATAACGCCACAAAACTCAAGAAGCTTGTTCTTCGTTTGTATGTGTATGGAGAGAAGCCACACAATTTTGGTCTCTTGAAACAACAATTTGACTCTCCCAGACGCTCTGGTTTTTGTCACTTTGAAGTTCTTCCAATGGTTTGAAATAGGTGCCGTTTATCGTCATCATGACCCTATATATATTAACGAAATACAGTTTTAGATTTGATTTTTTTCTTATTTAAGTTTGTTGTATTCGAAAAAATAATAATATATAGGTTACGAAACGTTATGCATGCAGTTCTCCTTTTTTTTTTTTTTTTTTTCGTATTGCAGTTCACAGACTTTGGAGAAAAAAATATAGGTTACAAAATGAGTTTGTATGTTTTTTCATATACGTTGAAGCAAAGTATGAGGTTTTTCCTCTTTGTACGATTTCAACTTCCAAAGAACTAGTCCTGTAGTCCATTCTCATGATCTACATGAACCAGGTTGGTTCTAAGGGGATCATCATACAGTAGATTCTCTTGGGATCAAACTTATGATGAAGCTCTAAACGTTCATTCTCATTCGCATTGTATATCTCTCATGACTTGTTCTCTTTGCTCGCAGATAATCTATTGTTTAGTGAACATGAGCCCACTACTATGTTTTTGAACTCCTCACTAAAACTATTACCAAACGTTCTTGAGAGCTGCCCGAATCTGAAACGTTTGACCTTGGTAATGACTTGTGCTTTAAACTTTCCAAGTTCTTACGTGCCCTAAGTTAGGTTTTTTTTATATATATGCTCATTAACTTCTCTGGTTTGGGATTTGTCGTTTTTTTTTTACCAGGAGTTGGTTAAGGATGATAATCCAGGAATTGCAAACGGTCTTTCCATTGTGCTGTTTATTGCTTGGTATTGTCTCTTGAATATGTTGAAATTGCAATCCAGATGATTACGGACGAAGCAACAGTTCGGAAACTGGTTAAGTACTTTCTAGGCAACGCGACATCACTCAAGAAAGCTCGTTCTACGTTTTTATGCGTCTTTTGGAGAAAAGCCACAGTCAAAAAGCCTTGTTTTTAAGCTGCTTGTATAGTTAATTGTATCTTACAAACCTGACTAATTCTCAATTTCAGATCACTTAATTTCCATCTATGAACCAAAAAGAGTCGGTTGATACAAGACCCACAATACAAAAATTGAAAAATATAATCAGAATAAAAATATTATTGCAAAAATTTATAAACCTTACAACAATAGTCTCATAAAGAAGTTTGTTTTACGTTTGAATTTTTATGGAAAGAGGCCACACAAATTTGATCTCGTGTAACAGTACTTTGACTCTCCGAGTCCGAGACGCTCTGATTTGTGTCAAATTGAAGTTAATTGGCATAATAAATTTCTACCTTTGGTTTTGTCTGGTATATGGCAAACCAAAACCACATAATACGGAAATACAGACAACTGTTTGTTTGGTTAAGAAGCATCATGACTTATCGAAAAGAAATAAAAGAAAAATTAGGTTAGACTGATATCATGCATTTAGAAATATTATTGCCTGAATTGTTTAATTTGGTATAAACTCAAACCAAAAGCGATTTCAAAGCGAGACAGGGAAGTATGAAGATGCCATATTGTAAGAAAGTAAACCAAATCTAACGTCTACACCACCAAAAGTGAACTAGTTATCAGTTTCAGTTGTTCTCAAACCAAACTAAACTAAACTAAACGAATTTGATTTGACCAAAATGTTGGGCCTAGTTTTAGTGGGCCTTAAATTAGCGTATCATAGATGTAGTCTAGGTTTTGTGTGTGTAAATTTCACAACAGCTATCTTTGTTTACATCAGAAGTGAAATGGGTAACATCGTCAGCTGCCCGAAGAAGTCACGGAGTGGGTAAGTTCCTCTTTGATCTTTGCGGCCGTCTTTAATTACTCTCTCAATCATATTTATCTGTCTTCCTATGCGTTGCGAGAGCATTAATCTGATGAAATTAACAGCAACTTTTTTGTTATTAATGTTGGTCTGACGATGAGAGATTCTACCAATTAATGAACGAGGATAATTATTTGACAAGTTTTGTGGTTAGGTTTCGAGAAATTACTCCTTTCTGGTTAAGGCAGTTGGATACGTATGTTAGGGTTTCTGGTTCTAATATCCCTTTGTGATTTTTTTTTTATAATCGTATATAAGCTTCTTTTCTTTTGTTGATAATCTTTGGGGTTGATCTTTTTTCTAGTTTAGTTGAAGAGGATGAAGTAGGAATTAGCAGAAAGGAAGATAGGATCAGCTTATTACCTGAGTCCTTGAAACGTCACATACTTAGCTTTCTTACGACTCAAGAAACTGTTCGTACAAGTGTTCTGTCCTCTACATGGAGATATCTCTGGAAATACGTTCCGAGATTTGAATTATTCAGCTCTCATAAGCTGAATGACGAAGTTTATGTGGATTTCATCGACAAGTTTCTGAATTTCCAGAGTGAATCAGACTTACATGAATTCGATTTATGTATTGACTTAGATAACACTAAAAAAGATGCCTCTCTTTACGAGCCGTGTCTCGGTAAGTTGATCAAGCGCAAGATTCGACGTTTCCGAGTCGAATGCTTTAGGAACACTGACATATCCTTAACACTTCCTGTGTATGAGGCATTGGTATCTTTAATGCTCTTTGGCGTAAATCTGAATGATTTTGGGTCTCTCTCCTTTCCCTGTCTCAAGATTATGCACTTGCAGCATGTTACGTTTCCAGAGCCTATAGTCCTTGATACACCGAGGCTTGAGGAAGTGATTGTAAGATTTAACACAAATAGGGAGTATAATGAAGATTATGAAGAAGTATCAAGATGAGATTGAGAAAGAGATAGAGAGTTTCGGAGTATAGAAGAGAGAGAGAAACTATTTCCTTATTTTATTAATAATATCAATTTACAATATATATAGACAATCAGCTAATTGTCTTTAACGGTCATATTGATTTTTACTTACAACATTTCTATTTTATACGACATGATACAATGCTTTTCTTTAAGACATAGTTTAACACTCCCCCTCAAGCTTAACCGTAAGAGTCTTAAAGGTTAAGCTTGAAAGCATAGACATCCACCTCATTAAAAAAAAACTTGAGCTTAGAAAATCACATGGGACAAAAACTAAACTCAGGGAAAAAGAGTGTGGGGATCATGGCTTAGAGAGGTCAATGAGTCCAAGCTTTCCATGAATGAACTCACATGTCTTTTGACTTGCAGCCTTGGTAAAGATGTCAGCCAGTTGGTCTACACTTCTTGTATAACATGGCAAGATCACTCCAAGCTTCATTTGTTCTCTTACTTTGTGGCAGTCAACCTCTATGTGTTTGGTCCTCTCGTGAAACACCGAGTTAGATGCAATGTGAATAGCAGCTTGGTTATCACAATGCATAGTGATCGGATTTGGTGTCTCTATTCCCAGGTCTTTAAGCAGCATCTTGAGCCACATGAGTTCTGTAGTCAGCTTCCTCATGGCTCTATATTCTGCTTCTGCACTTGAACATGATACCACCTTCTGTTTCTTACTCTTCCATGTGACTAGATTTCCTCCAATGAAGGTGCAATACCCTGTTGTTGATCTTCTATCTCCACGATCACCAGCATAATCAGCATCACAGTATCCGACGATCTCTGTGCTTCCATTGCATCCCATCCATATGCCTTGATCAGTAGCTCCCGTTAGGTATCTTAGGATGCGGAGAACCATCCTCCAATGAGATAATCTTGGCTCTTGCATGTGTTGACTAATCTGATTCACAGCAAAACATATGTCAGGTCTAGTGAGAGTGAGATATATAAGCTTACCAACCATACGACGGTAGAGCTTACGATCATCAAAGAATCCATCATCTTCCTCCCCCTGTTGGTTAGCCTTATATGTATCTTCAAGAGGTGTTTTGACTGGTCCACCTCCAAGTGGTCCTGCTACATTCAAAAGGTCCCTAGTATACTTTCTTTGAGACAAAAACAGACCCTCATTAGATCTACAAACTTCTATTCCAAGAAAATATCTCAGTTTACCAAGATCTTTGATGTCAAACACAGATTTTAAATACTCTTTAGTAGCTTGAATCCCTACCTTGTCATTCCCAGAGATGATGATATCATCAACATAAATGAGAATGACCACAATACCTTCTTGGCTGGAGAGAGTGAAGAGGGTGTGATCAGCTTCTGATCTTCTGAAACCACGATCTAGAAGGGTGAGACTTAGCTTCTGGTACCAAGCTCTAGGTGATTGTTTAAGACCATAAATAGCTTTCCTTAGACGCAAGACCTTGCCGGGTGTAACTCGCTCTTCAAGACCAGGAGGTGGTGTCATATATACTTCTTCTTCCAACTCCCCCTGAAGGAAAGCATTCTTCACATCCATTTGCCACAATTCCCATTCCAGATTAGTAGCCAAGGATAGCACAACTCGGATTGTATGGAGTTTGGCAACTGGTGCAAAAGTTTCTATATAGTCATCTCCATAGGTTTGTGTAAAACCACGAGCTACCAGTCTCGCCTTGTGCCTCTCAATCTCTCCAGTGCTGAAGTACTTGATTGTAAACACCCATTTAGAACTTACAGCCTTCTTTCCAGGAGGTAAGTCTGCCTCATCCCATGTATGATTTCTTTCCATTGCACCGGTTTCATCTCCTACGGCATCTCTCCATACTTTATGTTGCTGAGCTTCTTCATATGAGTTCGGAATTTCTTCAAGTTCCAATTGAACAAGAAACACATGATGTTCAATCGGAAAATGAGCCAAGTGACAGGTAGCTTGAACTGGATGAGCCATTGCCTGGTTATTGTAGTAGATCCGAGTATCAAGTACATGAGATGGCTTTTTCATCCTATTACTTCTCCTTAGGGCTGGTTGTTCCTCTGCTTGTTCAGGAACTACAGTCACTTCCTCTTGATCACCCTGGACTTCCTCATCGAGGTTTGATTCTTCTGGTTCTGGAATCTCATCTTCCTCTTGATTTTCCAAAACCTCCTCTGTTACCACTTCTTCCTCATTGTTCTGATCAGCTTCACTGCCATGAGTTCCAGCGGTTGGATGTGGAGCCGTCACAGCTTCACTCTGTGATAGAACATTCCCATCTCTTAGGTTCTCTAGTAAGATCCTAAGAGTGGTGGCTCTGTCCAGCGGAGACTGAGTCAAATCTCTCAAGCTTTCCCAGTCTTTCTTCTCATAGTAGCCCTTTTCTTCAATAAATTTCACATCACGAGAGACTAGTATCCTTCTAGTCTCTGGAATATAACACTTGTACCCCTTCTGAGTAGGAGAGTAGCCAACAAACATTCCCTTGATACTCTTAGCTTCAAGTTTGTTCCTCTGTTCACCTGGTACTAACACAAAGCATACACAACCAAACACTCGTAAGTGATCAATGAATGGTTTAGATTTGTTTAGTACCTCAAATGGTGACATGTCTTGAAGAATCCTTGTGGGAATTCTATTGATCAAGTAGCAAGCTGATACAACTGCATCTCCCCAAAACTGTTTTGGCACATTGGTGTGAAACATCATGGATCTTGCTACCTCCATTAGGTGTCGGTTTTTCCGTTCTGCAACGCCATTTTGTTGTGGGTTGTATGGACAGCTTGTCTGATGCACTATCCCATGCTTAGCAATATGTTGTTTAAATGCTTGACTTGTATACTCTCCTCCATTATCTGATCTCAAAAATTTAATCTTAGCATCATAATGGTTAGTCACATAGTTTTGAAAAGTTAGAAACGCTTCAAGAACACGGTCTTTAGAAGGCAGCAAAGTTATCCAAGTATATTTTGACTTTTCATCAATAAAAGTAACAAAGTACTTGTGATTATCTCTAGACAAGCATGGTGAAGTCCAAACATCAGTATGAATCAAATCAAAACATTTTTCATAGGTAGTCACAGATTTAGAGAAGACAGATTTGCAGTGTTTCCCAAGAATACAAGCCTCACAATCATTGTTTTTAAAAATAACATTAGGCACTAACAACTCCAAAGCACGAGAGTGTGGGTGACCTAATCTAGCATGCCAAATTGCATTATTTAAACTAGGAGAGACAGAAACAAACGAACAAGATACATCAGAGGGGATCTTAGTGTCTTCAAGAACATAAAGATCATCCTTTGTTGTACCCTTTCCAATCACCTTACTTGAGTTAATATCCTGAAAATACACATCGTTAGGTCCAAAAATAGCATAGCAGTTCAGATCAGAAGTGGTTCTTTTAACAGATAATAGATTTGAAGTAAATGATGGCATATAAAACGCCTCAGATTTCTTGTTAAACAAGTTCAGGTTTCCAATTCCTTTAACTGGAATTCTATCACCATTTGCAATTATAACATTTCCAACAGCCGGTTTAATATCACTAATCAACTTAACATCACTAATCATATGATGAGATGCTCCATAATCAACAATAAGAGGTTTATGAGATTTTAGGGTATGAAATGCGTTACCAGACTCCTTAAGAGCTTTGATTAGGGCATCAAGATCAGCCTTCTTCACATATTCTGTGGATGAGGCTGTCATTGCTGCTCCTTCCTCTACACGCTGGTTTGAAGAGTCTCCTTTCTCTTGGACAGGGCTAGCATCATATGATAAGTGAGCTCTAGGCTCTCTGCGGTCTCTTTGATCCTTCCAGTCTCTTTGATCCTTCCATTTACTCGGTCCAGGGTTTTGCCTAAGATGAGGGTGAAGGAGATAGCATCTATCCTTGAAGTGACCTGACTTCTTGCAATGATCACAAACCCCAGGCTTTCTATCACCAGGTTTGTAGTAGCTCTTATTTGCAGCTGCGTACTCTCCCTTGTTAGCAACCACCAATTCTCCTTTACCCCCAAACAAACCAAGAGAGCCTTGCTCCTTCTGGATTTGAGCACACACTTCATCAAGGCTAGGAAGCTTGTCAGCTCTAAGAATGTGCTTGATTAGATCGTTGTAGGCTGGATTTAGGACCATGAGAAGAGCAAAGACCTTGTCCTGCTCTCTCCTTTCATTTAGGACCGCAGCATCTAGTGTAGGAGTCCTCAACATCTCAAGTTCAGCCCAAAGAGATCTAAACTTCCCAAAGAATGTATTGAACTCCATATCCTCTTGAGCAAGATTGTTGATGGCCCTCCTTACTTCAAACACCCTTGTGAGGTTTGATGCATTCCCAAAGACGTTTTTGAGAGTATCCCAAAGCTCCTTTGCATTTTCGCAGTAAGAGTAGGCTTCAAGGACTGAAACATCAAGAGAACTCTGTAAAATAGCTAAAACAGCTTGATCTTCTTGGAACCTTTTAACTTCATCAGCTACAGCTACAGCTGTGTCTTTCTCTTCAGGTTGAATAGTGAGAGGTTCTATATGCCTCCATAGCCCTCTACCACATAACACAGCTTTCGTTGTTCTTGACCAGAGAAGATAATTCTCTCCACCTTTTAATACAACTGGAAGCATCACAGATTTAAAGCCTTCCATAATCACACACTCTTCAACACGATGAAGAACAGACACGCTTTTATCCACCAAACAAAGCTCTCAAAAGGACAGATCTGAGATTTGAGATCTGAAATCGAAATCCAGATCTGAACCCAAAAACAAGAGAATAACTTAAGAAACTGATTACCCAATCTACCAAGATGAACCTTGCTCTGATATCATGTAAGATTTAACACAAATAGGGAGTATAATGAAGATTATGAAGAAGAATCAAGATGAGATTGAGAAAGAGATAGAGAGTTTCGGAGTATAGAAGAGAGAGATAAACTATTTCCTTATTTTATTAATAATATCAATTTACAATATATATAGACAATCAGCTAATTGTCTTTAACGGTCATATTGACTTTTACTTACAACATTTCTATTTTATACGACATGATACAATGTTTTTCTTTAAGACATAGTTTAACAGTGATGATACATGCAGGTTACAAATTCCAATTTGAAAGCTTCAAGATAATCAGTATGAGTGACTCTGTCAAGGTCGATATTGACGTCGGCTTTACGGCGACGCATTGTGACTTATCGGAAAGAAACATCATCTATAATTTTCTCAACCATTTTTCAAACGCTAGAGATATGACTCTCTCAACATATGATCTTGATGAGGTATATATTTCAAACTTATGAACAAGCTCTAAGCATTCTTTCCTAATATTACCATTAATTGTCTCTGCTCATGTCTTGTTCTCTTTGCTCGCAGATAATCTGTTATTTACATCAGTTGAGCCCACTACCCAAGTTTGGTAACTTGACCCGTCTACGTGTTTCTATCTTCCTAAACATCTCAATGGAAATAATGCCATTCGTTCTTGGGAGCTGCCCGAAACTGAAACACTTGAACTTGGTAATGACTAATGACTTGCGTAACACTTGCCAGGATTTTTTTTTTTCTTTTTAATATGATGTGCTCATATTTTCTAATTTTGGGTTCTATCGATTCGTGCTTTGCAGGAACTGGTTGATGAAGTGATTTCTGAGGTAGACACTATTCCGAGTAAGCTGCCTTTTTGTTTGGTTTCGTCACTTGAATGTGTTGAAATGACAAGCGATATCACAAAGGAAGCAACAGAACGGAAAGTGGTTAGATACTTTCTTGATAACGCGACAAAACTCAAGAAGCTTGTTCTTGGTTTGAATGTGTATTTAGGAGAGAAGCCACACGATTTTGGTCTCTTGAAACAAGAGTTTGACTCTCCCAGACGCTCTGGTTTGTGTCAACTTGAAGTTCTTCCAAAGCTTTTAAAAAGGCACAGGCATTACTAAGTATTCGTAATGTCCAGCATGAGTTAATCGTTCATGACCCTATATTAACGAAGTACAGTTCTAGATTTTTTTATTTATTTATTTAAGTTTGTTGTATTAAAAAGACAAATTAGGTTACGAAAATGTTATGCAGCGCGCTCTCCTTTTCTTCTTCTTTTTCTTATTGCATGATTGATTTCCCTAGTGACGAAGCTTGTGAGGATTTCATCGACAAGTTTCTGAATTTCCAGAGCTTGCGTGAATTCTATTTATGCATTTTCTCAACTGACATTAAAAAGATGCCTTTCTTTATGAGCCGTGTCTCAAGTAAATTGATCAAACGCAAGATTCAACGTTTCAACGTCCATTGTTATCGGGAGACTGAGATACCCTTAACACTTCCTCCGTGTGAGGCATTGGTATGTTTAAGGCTGAATGATTTTGAGTCTACTTACCCTCTAAGGCTCTAACTAGGCAACACACGCATTGTTTTGTCATCTACATGTATCTTACAAACCTGACTAATTCTCAATTTCAGATCACTTAATTTCCAAATATGAACCAAAAATAGTCGGTTGACACAAGACCCACAATACAAAAATTGAAAAATATAACCAGAATAAGAATATTAATGCAAAATCTGTTTACTTTCAGAAATTTATAAACCTTACAACAATAGTCTCATAAATTTAAATAAGAAAGTTTGAATAGTTTTTAACAGAAAAAGGTTACACAGCTTTTGGGTTGTTCAGAAATGATGGTAAAACAACAAAGCATATACTCAAATGCAATTTAAAATCGCATCTCTAAAGAGTTAGAGTCCGGCTTTTTACCTCTGCTCATCCGAATCATGTTAAGCCAAACAGATAAAAAGAAAATCATCAGTCCTCCTCAGACTCAGGATCAATGGTATTTGCTGTCGTCTCGGTATTTTCTGTCTTCTCGGTATTTGCTGTGTCCTCGGTATTTTCTGTCTTCTCGGTATTTGCTGTCTCCTCATCAGTATCTTCTGTCTCCTCGGTATTTGATGTCTTCTCGGTATTTGCAGTCGTCTTTGATCGACGACGCCTTTTAATCATCCTAAAAACAAAAAACAAAATTAGGATACAAAAGAAGTGCTGAGATTCAAAATCAGAATATGTAAACACAAAAACATATTTAAGCATAGAATGAAGTACAACTTTCCATGCAAAGGAGTTTTTTTTACTCATATATATTGTTAGATGCTTTAGTTACAAGTTTTGAATCAAGCAATTTTAAAACCTAAAAAGCCCTTATAAAATTATAATCTTATGAGAGAGATAAAAAGGATTTACTTTTTGGCATTTGCTTCGATGAACTCCTCTAAATCTGGTTTCTGCTCAGGAGTAAAGGCATACCATTGTTCTGGACGATATACTTCACCGGTGCTTCCTATTTCTGCACACAAACAAAGGAAAGTGATTAAAGTTGATATAAGTCTTCTTCAAGACAAACAAAAAAGAGTTTGTATGTTTTTTCATATACGTTGATGCAAGATATTAGGTTCTTCCTGCTTGTAGCATTTAAACTTCCAGAGAATAAATCCTTTCTCATGATCCACATGAACCGGGGTGGTTCTAAGGGGATCATCATATCGTAGATTCTCTGCAAAACAAAAAAAAAAAAGTTTAGAATAATAAACCTCTAAAACATAAGGATCATTTTTATTAAAGAATCAGATGAGTTTAGAAATTTGCACTCTTACCTAGCATTTCTGTTGCGTTATGCACTTCGGTAAATACATTTAAGGTTTCAGCATCCATTTTCCTTAAAATTGCTTGCTTTTGATCAAGCGTCAGCGGAGTTTTGTTTTCCCATTCACCTATAGCCAGCTCATAAGCTATCTTATGCTTCAGTTGCTTCTTCTACAACAAGAAAGGGTTTCGAATCAATCTAAATGTTTTTGAGAACTTATATTTATAGGCACTAAAGTAGACTTTACTGTTACCTGCTCAATTGCTGCCTTCAACCTCTTTTTGGCTTCCTTTTTCCTTTCAGCATATTCCGGGTTCTCAATGACACTCCTCAGTAACCTGAAAAGATTTACCAAAAATAATCATTAAGGGTGTATGTGAATATATATAGAAATGGTCTTAAATCTTTCATCTAAGAGTATACTCTCAGTATCTCTGTATAAATATGCAACTATATCATTCTAATAAGATTAACACGTTCAACATCTATATGGTATCAAATTGATTGATATTCAATATATGGATGACACTATTAACTTACCCTGTGCCAAGGGCTTCGTCGCATAAGATATTTAATAGCTTGAACCTTTGTGTTCGATTCATCTCATCATATGGATCTATGCTCTCTACAAACATTTCAGGAGCTAAGTCATCATCGTTGACTCCTGATTTCGATAGACATTCACCGATCGCCTTTATCCACGTCCTCTCATCGAATTCAGTAAATTTAACCGGTCTGCATTGTTTATAATAAAATAAAATAAAACTGAACTCAATCATAAAAGGTCAAGGTAATATAAAAAAACATAGATTACTTTTTCAAGAAAAACAATTCTTACGTTTCTGCTGAGTCATTTACTATCACGGTTAGTAATTGGAGGATGGTCTCGGTGGCCGTAGAGCGCAGCATACCCCTTGGGCTTACGCCGGATACCACTTCCTTCACGACACTCATAGCTTGCCCTTCCTTCAGATCTAGAGCCTATTCTCGATTATTCATATGATGCAGATAAGAACCATCAGTATGATACGAAATAATGGTTAAAATTGTTTAGGGTATTTTCGTTCATGAGTTTTGGTGTTTTCATTTATGAATTAGGTCTTACGTGAGTTTTGACATTCATTCTTAAATGAATGCAAAACTATGATAAAAATTAACGTACGTGTAAATTCTCTAAAAAAAATCAGGACATAGCGAACGTTTCTAAACTTTCCACATAGGCACGTGCCTGACTACAACTATCAGTTTCCAATAAGTAGCATTAATTTCAAAGAAAATATAGCGTTTAGAGGAACCCTAGCCTAAATATATCTTCCACCCTCTTTCTAACGTGAACGAAAGGTTCATATATGATCATACACTCTTCCTAATATTAAAAAAAAAATCAATGTTGAAGTTTATAGATAATACCTTTCCAAACGCTGAACAGAATTCCAGAAATTGCAATGCCCTCCCAGAATATTGAGGAGGCACGTAAAAGTCCGATCCCGAGAACAAAATCGAATTGTTGCCTAGAGGTAGCTTAACCTCCTCTTTCTTTTCAACGACGGGTTTGGTTTTCGCGACCTTCACTTTTCTAACGGCATCACGGTTTTCTTCAGCACATCTATTCTCTTGGCCAAGGCTTTGTGGTAAAGCTACAGCACGGTTTTCTTCAGCACATCTCTTCTCTTGGCCAAGGCTTTGTAGTAAAGCTACAGCACGTTTCTCCTCTTGGCTAAGGCTTTGTGGTAAAGCTATAGCCTGAAGATACAATATATATACATAACCAAAACAATTCTCAAACTAAGATACAATACACACAACAAAGATCTCTCTCTCTTAGAGTATAGCACATACCGTTTCCGCCTTAGTCTCAATGACTTGTTTACCCGCAGCCTCCTCTTTCTCAAGATACTCACAGACATTGTCACACCCAGCGGCTTTAACTTTGTGGTCAATATTCCCGGTAGGCTCCAAACCGTTCATCTTCCTACAAACCAAAAAAAAAAGTTCATGAAACCTACAAAATGAGCGAACTCTTAAAACATAAAAAGCATTTTGCGAAATTTTGACTTACCGACAGGGGCCACAATTACATTTCCCACGGCATTTTGGACAAAGCCAATTATTGTTCGCCACCACTTGTTCTACGAACTCTCCATACCTATAAATCATTACTCAAATCACTAAATCATAATGCATTTTCCTTATAACACGAAAGATATATAAAATCACAAAACATAAAAACGGACCTGCGCCTTAAGCATGTACGACAGAACATAAGTGGACATTTGCGATTGTTGGCCACACCCACACATGATCCATGCACCTCTTTTCTTTGACGACACTGCAACACAAAGACCATTGATTCAAACATAAAATCTAGTATCATAAATGTTTACTCGAATACATCAAATCAAATTCAAATAACATGAATACACCAAATCTAATCAATTAATATAAGGTTAAGAAAAACAAATATTATTTGGTTGGGTCATATTTAAGATTCAATTTTCATTGTAATTGCAACCGAAACCAACATACGCCACGAGAAAAATTCAATCCCCAAAATTCAATCTCTAATGCATGGTGAGTCCATAGAAGATGACCGTTGATTAGAGCATGTGTTCACACGAAATTCACAGAATCAAATCTAATACCACAATAGATCTATAATCATAGACAGGGATGGATACAATCACCGATCAGATCCAATTTAAACGTAAATTTCAAATCCTAGTTTCAAAAAGAAAACAAAATTTCACCAACCTGATGACAGTAACCATCGGCCCTTGTCGTAACAAAGGAAGCAGCAGGATTAGTTATGTCTTCGGTCTGGTCCATGCTCTCGTTGGTCACAACACGAGCATCAGGATCGGTTATATCTCCAATCGGGCCCATGCTCTCGTTGGCCACAACACGAACATCAGGATCGGTTGTATCTTCGGTCTGGTCCATGGTCTCATTGGCCACTACACGAGCATCAGGATCGGTTATATCTCCAATCTGGTCCATGCTCTCATTGGCCGCCACAACACAAACGTCAGGATCGGTTGTTTCTTCGGTCTGGTCCATGGTCTCATTGGCCACTACACGAGCATCAGGATTGGTTATATCTCCAATCTGGTCCATGCTCTCATTGGCCGCCACAACACAAACGTCAGGATCGGTTGTTTCTTCGGTCTGGTCAAGTGTCTCCGCCGCCGTAACACTAGCACCATCCGTTGCTTCGATCTGGTCTATGGTAAAATCAGAAAAATCAAAGTTTGTAGCCTCTAGGAATTGGTTGGTGAATTCGGTCGTCATATCAAAAGAACCAGCAGGATTAATTACATCTCCGGAAAAGTCCATGCTCTCATTGGCCACAACACGAGCATCAAGATCGGTTATATCTCCAATCTGGTCCATGATCTCGTTGGCCAAAACACGAACATCGGGATCGGTCTGGTCCAGTGTCTCCATCGCCGTAACACTAGCATCATCAACGGTTGTTGCTCCGATCTGGTCCATGGTAACATCAGGAACAGCAAGGTTTGTAGCCTCTAGGATTTGGTTGGTGAGTTCTGTCGTCATGACGAGAGGGTCGAGCAAAAATCTCGAAAGAAAAAACTCTTTTGATGTTGAGGAAACGAGATTAAAGTGGGTATCTGAGTTTGGTTGTCTGCTTTCTTATGGAGCGATTGAGATTTAGTTTTTCAGGTTTAAGGAAAGTCCAAAATATTAGATATCTTACCTTATTCATTCGCTACCTGCTGACCTGTAATTTTTTGGAAAGGGTGTAACGGCGGGAGCAAGGGGGTTTGATTTTTGTATTTTCCTCTTTTAACATTTCTCATGTTCAACACAAAAATATGATTTTGGGCCAAACATAACTTCACTTTACAAAATGGGATCAATTCACTTTTAGCCCATAATTTATGGTCAAATGCAAAAAACTAGTTTCCATTTAAATCCATTTAATTAATTTCTTCACATTTTTTCAAATCTCCATCTTCATATTTTCATCTGACATTTCCTTTTAATTAATTTTGTTTTATTTTTGAAAATCCAACCTCAGATTTTTCATTTATTAACGAAAATACCATTATTATGAATGTATCCAGCCACAATTTTAAACAAATTTGAAGCTTCTAAATAGTTTTTTTGAAATTTTAAATATTAATACTTGAGTTATTTTTCTAATTGAAAATTTAGATATAATTTAATAAAGTAGTTTTATCATCATGATATTGAATTTGGACTAAAACTGAAGAAAAAAAAACACACTTCGTTTAGAACAATTAAAAAAAAAATGTTTGATTCTAAACAGTTCCCTATTATTTATTTTTAGTACTATTTAATATTTAATACATGGCGCAATAGTTAATTAATTATTTTTCCTGTGAAATGTCTTAGTGAATAAGATTTCGTTTGACTTGGCAATGTACAGAGACGACTTGTTCAGAGAATTTCCAGGAACTTTCATAGATAAAGTGAAGAAGCTTCAAGCTCTCTGGGAATTATTTATCCATCGACAAGTGAGTCAATCTCGAATTCTCTTCCTGCACTTTCGTTTTTTCACGCTCTATGAGACTTTTCATCATCGATTCTTGATCACTGAGCAATACACATCTCTTGAAATCTCATACTTTGTTGCTCAATTCACTTCGATTGTAACCTAAATTCCCAGAATTATCGGTAAATGTTCCGAATTGAAGTGTCTCTGAATCTAAATCGGTTTCTTGATTTGTAACAATCGAAAATTTCAGGTTTGGGTCTCTCTAAATCAACCCGTATGTCCGTACGTCTCTCCGACAGGATCAAAACCCTTGAACTCTGGGGACAAGACTTGTCACTCTCATCTTCTTTACTCAAAGGCGATGAATCAAGAATTATCAGCAGCAGAGGAAAAGAAGAAGAAGACAGGATCAGCTTATTACCAGAGTCCTTGCTCTGTCACATACTCAGCTTCCTCACAACCAAAGAAGCTGTTTGCACAAGTGTCTTGTCCTCCAGATGGAGAAACCTCTGGAAATGGGCTCCAACATTAGAGCTAGAGACCGCCGATTTCACAAACGACGAAGCCTGCGTCGATTTCATCTACCAAAAGCTTCAAACTTTCCAGACTTTGCGTGAATTCAATCTCTGCATCAACTTCAGCAAATCCAAAACCGACGCCTCTCTCTACGAGCCGTGCCTCGGCAAACTAATCAACCGCAAGATCCAACGTCTCGTTGTCGATTGTTATCGAGACATTGAGATTCCCTTAACACTTACTTCTTGCGAGTCATTGGTTTGCGTAAGCCTCTATTCCGTAAAGCTGAATGCTTTCGAGTCTCTGTTTTTGCCCTGTCTCAAGATCATGTACTTGGAAGACGTTGTGTTTCCTCCTCGTGGAGATAATAACTGGTTTCTTGATACTCCGAGGCTTGAGTATCTGACTCTCATTGATAACCAATTCAAAGGCTTCAAGATTGTTGCTATGAGCGACTCTGTTAAAGTCGATGTCGATGTTGACTTTGAGCTCAAGACGCAAGTCACGCAACATGACATGACGGAAAGAAACATCGTTTATGATCTTCTCAAGAATTTTTCAGCTGTTGGAGTTTTGACTCTCTCATGGCAAACTCTTAAGGTACATTTTCATAATCGAAAGATCTAAACTTTGTTTTCTCTCATGAGTTGTGACTTGTTCTGTTTTTTGCTTGCAGTTGATCTATCGTCTCCAGCAGATGAATCCGTTACCTAAGTTTCATGGCTTGACACGTCTGCGTGCGATTATATCGTTGAACGCGTCGCTTGAGGTGTTGCCGATCGTTCTTGAGAGCTGTCCGAATCTGAAGCACTTGAGCTTGGTAATGACTTATGAAACTTTGAAGCTTCTTTATTTATCAGCTACGATTTGTTTTTTGTTGATCTTGTGTGTGTGTTTTGCAGGAGCTTGTTAAGGATGATGATCCAGAGGCAGTGGTAACTAAGATTTCGGATGTGCTTTCTTTTTGTTTGGTGTCGTCTCTTGAATACGTTGAAATGGAGAGTCCGGTGGTCACTGATGAAGCAACGGAAGAGAAACTTGTTAGGTACTTTCTTGAAAACGCGAGATCGCTCAAGAAGCTATCAAGAAGCTCGTTTGTGACAGTTTGAAGTTGTTTGGTGACAACATAGAAGGCAACAGAACTGATACTAGTTAGATGCTTTCTGGAGAACTCAACAACAGTGATGAGTGAAGAAGCTTGTTTCTACGTTTGAAACAGTCTTGTGGAGAGAAACAAGACTGATCTTGTCCTCTCGTAAGACTCTAGTTTGTGTCGATTTGTGTTTCTTTTGACTTGATGCAATTTTCAGTGTTTTAACCTTAGATTAAGTATGTGTCACATTATGTAAAGTTGAATACTATGGTTTAACGAAATACAGATTGTGTGTTTATGGCTCTATATACACATGTTTACAAATTGCAAATGATATTTGATTAGGGAAAAAATGAATATTTGGGTATTAAAGCTTTGGCATGATAATATCTTGGATTGGCTTTGGAAGAAGTATTATGAGAAATATATTAACCAAAGGCTTTATCTTTTGTCATTATTTTGCAACAACTGGTTCTGCTTCTGATGCATAATCATGCCTGTAAACCAAAAAAAGTAGAGCATGTCAATGTCTAAAACAGAGATGAACAATGGTTATTCGAAAACGTAATGTTGTCTAGATCTTTACTTGATTTTACGAGATAGTTGGTATATGCCTGTCGCTGCCATAGCAAGACTAACACTAAAGAGGTTCCAGTTTTTCTGTAAACAAAATGTAAGCACAAAAATCAAATGATAAACCAGTAATCCACACAAAAAATAGTAACAAAATCAAAGCAAAAGAAAAAAAAAATTGTATTATATCAGAAGGAGTATTAAGAGTAAAGACAACATACCGGAGTGATGACAGTGCTGTAACGTGACCAGATAAGTCCAGTTCCTGTGATCACTGATACAAAATAGATAACAGAGAAAAAAAAAAAAACTTTAACAAGATTTGAGACAGAGCCATCATTAAGATTTGTTAATATATACCAATTTGTTGAGGGTATGAAAGTGTATCTGGAGGTTTCTGAAAGTCTGCAATGTTAGCAATGCTTATACCCCACTTGAACGTTGGCGCCCAGAAATGGACTGCAAAATTCATTACAAAGTGACTCTACAAATCAGGTTTTTGTAGCTAACAAAGTATGTTATTAGAAAGACTAAAAGTCCTTTTAGTAAAAGGGAAAATAAAAAAACTAAAATCAAAAGTCAAAACTCAAGAAAAATTCAGATATCAATATCCAAATTTGAGGAAAGAGTATATGATACATAGTCAAACTTCTTAGCAAAATCACTACTACATCCTCAAACTTTCAAAAGTCGTTTCGAATTTGAATTGATGCACAGAGACTTTGGAAACTGGTTCTAGGGCAAAATCAAACGGAACTAAGCAGTTAATCTTACGGTATCTCCCGAGAGTCGAAGTTACTTGAGCAAAAAAAATATGAAATCAAGATTCGATGATAAAGTCAAACAGAGCGCAAAAGAAGGAAAAAAACGAAACTGAAGAAAAAGTAATCGTTACCAAACAAATTCGAATGAACTCACTTGTTTTAGGTCCCGCTGGATGATTCCAGAGAGCTTGAAGCTTCGACGTCGCCATGGTTTATCTCAGAGAGTTGATCAAGATTCTCTGAAGAAATCGTCTCTATACATTGTCGTCAGTCAAACAAATTCTTATTCATTAGACACATTTGACAAAAGTATAATTAACGATTGTGACATGTATTAATTTACAGTATAATTTTGAAATGATATTATAAGGAACCTACCATATATATATATATATATTATTGGGTTCCAAGTGAAGAAGATGGAGAAGACGTTGAAGTTTTGATGAAAACGCAGATTTTTTATATTCGGTACTAAATCCAATAAAATAATATACAGAAGATGTTTGTAAACATTTTTTAGCTCAAAAATACAAGATTGAACACTTAAATAGTCCATATTACAAACAACAAAAAACATACAAATTATGTTGACTTAGCTTTATAGTAAAATGGGTGCAAGCGTGTATTATAGAAAACCTCTAAACCTTGCATTATCATCTAATACAACGAATTAGTTCAACAAATCATTAAAAATACAGTATAACCCTATCTTTTTTCAAAAATTGATTGTCACATTTCAAGAAAAGATTGATTCAAAGTGATCTCGTTTCCTCGAAGGAAAAAAATAGTATTAAAAAGCATTGTGTTAAGAAAAACTCCCAAGAGATAAAATCTAATTACTACTTTACCTGAGTTGTTTGTGATGATTGAAAACGATATATTTAGATACAAGGTTTATTGATGAACAAAGTAAGCCATATTTTGAAAAGACTGGCCCTACTTACCATTCAAATTTCATTTTGTTAAAAGGGTTCGTTAGGCATTTTTCTATATAACAACTATTTTTGTGGGGGAAGAGATAAATTGGAATTTATGTGAGACGTTGGATCTGTCGACCCATGATGAATAATGGAGGGGCATATGAATCATGAATCATGTCATCATGATGAATGAATGTGAAATGTGAGGGAATTGAATATTTGAAATTCAATTTTCATGCTCTTCTCTGGTTATTTTTTGTCACACCCACAACATTTCTCTAATGTGGGCACCCCCACAGAGTTTTTATTAAATAAAACTATATTATATATGGTGTTTGTATGAGCATGTTTATTGGTGTTACTCACCACCTCTTTTAGCTTTTTGGGTCATTTAATTAAATCAAAAATGCCATATCACATGAAACGTCGCTTATATTAGAGAGTCTTCAAATTAATAAGCGACGTTTGTTGTTGACAGGTGGCGAATTGTGATTGGACCGATTAAGTTGGAGTCGATTTTTTTTTTTCCTTTTCCTCATTTTTCCTTTTCCGCCTCTCTCTCTCTTTTTCGTCCCTCTGAAGCGATTGAGCGATTCTTCTTCTCTTCAATCCGTCTTCGAATTAAACCTCCGATTTGGTGGTGGCGATGGACGAGTGAGAGATTGGATCGATTGAGTTGATTGGGACTGGAAGCAAATGAGAGAAGCTGTGTCGGTGATGTTGTAGAGGAAGAAGAAAGCAGCGCCGGTGACGACGAAGAGGAAGAGGACGGTGATTCTGTAGACATTGTCGGAAAACCATGACGAGAAATCGAGGTTTCTGGGTTCAGCGAATCGGTGGCTGTGTTGGTGAACAGAGAGTTCTTTGATCCGAGATTTTGGCGGCTTAGGAGCCACACGATCCTGAACCAACATCAGATTCAATCCCTAAACCTCCAAAACCCCCGAAGCCAAACTCCGAATCAGAGACACCAAATCAATTCACAGCCATGAGTTAGTGTAATTTTCGTTTCCGGGTATTGTTCGGAGCTGTGAGGTCGAATGTCTTCGTCAATCTTCTTTTTTGGATATTTCTTAATACTCTCTTTGTTGGTTTGTTGTTTACATTTGATTACTGAATTGCAATGCCCACATCACTGATCTATCCTTCTCAAAACCAAATGAACATTAACGGCTGATGAGGGTTGGTTTGACTGACTCTTGAACTCTTATGTCAATCCAGGCTCTTTCTAGTTCTGTTTAAGCTGCTGTTGGTGAACGCTATTACAAGGTGACTGCTGTTGTGGACGAGCTCCGGAAGCTTCTCTCTGACAAAGATGCCAACAAGTGTAATGGAGCCTCGAGGAGAATCATCAGAGTTTTCATTCCTAAGTACTCGGTTAACTTTTTTCACGGTATCAATCGAAACCACTACGCAGTGGGTCGAGCCTCCTGAGAAAGACACCATTAGTGCTGAGCAACAAGACACCACGGTGGCATGAGCAGAGCAGCTATGTTGCTGGTGCTTGAATTTCCATGGCCGTATCACAGTGGCTTCAGTCAAGAACTTTCAAGTGGTAGCAGCTAGCTGTAACGGTGGCGGTGGTGGTGGCACGTGGTTGTCATCGGAGAGGCAAAGCAAGCGGATAATACTGCAGTTTGGGAAAGTCAGGATATGTTCACGATGGATTATGGATACCTTATCTCATCTTTCCAGGCTTTTGTCATTTGCTTGAGCAGCTTTGAAACCAGAATCGCTTGTGAATGATTGATTTACCAGGTTTTTTGTTGGTTTATATCTCTTTGGAAGTGTATCTTGTAGCAATGTGTAAACTTTGATCTTGTAAAAGAAAACATGTGTTCTCCTGTAATTGTTAATCTTAGGTTCGGTTGAATTTTTCTTTTGCCTATTCTCCATTTCCATTTAACCTTGCTAAATGTATAAAATTACTTAACGGAAACAAGAATCTTTCTATCTTAAGGTTCAGGATTTGAGTTTTAAGAAGACATGGATACAAATAGTGGATACGACGACACCATAATCTACACACAAAGAAAAAGTTAAAAAGGTAAGAACACTTAAAATTTCTACCAATAATTGATGCCAAAACAGAAGTCTCTTACCCATGTCTCTTAAATTAAGTTTATTGTTATAATAGTGCTAAGAGACAATTTGAGTATCACCAATAAACATGCTCTAACATCTTGACAACAGCACAAATGTTTTAAATGAACACATGCAGCGATAACTCTTTCCGTATATTAAAATATCAATTAGAAGTTGACATGTTGTTGGATTTCTAATACAACAACTCAATATTCCTTTTTTCTTTAATGCTGTTGTATACCAACATTCAACACAATGATAAAACTTTACAAGAAGATGGCTTTTTTTTATCAAAGAAAAGTGGGAATATCTTTATATGTGTTCTTTACTGAAATTACTTTACATGTTTCACTTTTGTTAACTAACCTATATAATCCAGATATGTAGATCTACGTGGTCAATTTGGAGAAAAGTGATGAACCAACAATATATATCCGAATCTCTCTACTATGCTTAGCTAACATAAATGTAGTTTCATTCTTACATTTTTCCTAAAGTATGCTCCTAAGTCCCAATTAGCATGATATTTTGACTAATGTTGTTATGAACACTTGTGAGTCAATTTTGAAAATGACTTATCAAAACATTCCATGATCAATAATTCATTATATATAAGATTCATATTCATCCATAGTTCCATACTATTTCTATCAGGAAAAAACTCAAAAATTAATATAATCCAGTAACGAAAATGTTTAGTGTCATCAATAAATTAAAGCGTAATTAGAATAATCTTTAAACTTAAGGACATAGAAGTAATAAAATCCACTAACGAAAAATGTGGGGCTTATGTGACGCATTAACCAATCAAAGCTTTTTGGAAACCTCTTCGTCCAAGTTTTGTTTTATTTCAAAAAACAACATAAAAGTTTCAAGATTTAAGGGTAAAACCGTCAATTCGAATTCAATCGTCTCCTTCTTCTCTCCAATCTTCACTGCCACTCAACACTTCCACTGCGCTTTCTCTCTCTTTCTTCCGAATCGCACAGAGGAGAGACAATCAATTCTCTACATTTCTCTTTCTCTCTAAGAAAATGGCGGGTCGATTACAATCCCATCAGCTTCCAAGCGGACTCTACGTTTCCGGCAAACTCGAGCAACCAAAAGAACAACGGCCACCGACAATGGCGGCTCGTGCTATGCCTTACACCGGAGGCGATATCAAAAAATCCGGCGAGCTCGGAAGGATGTTCGACATCTCCGTCTCTGATCCCGCATCGTTCCAAGGACCTCCGTCTATTTTCGTCGGCGGACCACCGCCACGTCTCCCCTCCGCCTCGTCTTCAAATCCCAACAGTGGATCCGTTCGATCCGGATCCCAATCGGGTCCAATCAGAAAATCCTCAGGTCCACTCTCTCAGCTTCAACCGACCGGTTTAATCACCTCCGGTCCGCTCAATTCCTCCGGTCAAATTGGGTCCGGGTCAAGGAGGTCAGGCCCGTTGGATCATCATCATCATCACCAACCGAGTAATTTGAAGCCGAGCAAACCCAAATACGGATCGGCGGTGACGGTTCTCAACTCGGATCCGATTCGGGTCGGGTTTAAAGTACCGAAAGCTCTGATTTGGGCAGTGATTGTAGTTGCAGCGGTTGCGTTACTAATTGGGGCGTTCTTATCTGTGTCCGTGAAGAAGCCTCTTGTTATGGTGGCGATTGTGGCGGCTATTTTTCCGGCCGCCGTTGTTTTTGTATGGAATTGTACTTGGAGAAGAAGAGGATTGCTGAATTTCATCAAAAAACATCCAAATGCTGTTCTTAGAGGCGCCATTGATGGACAATTCATCAAAGTTACAGGAGTAAGTTTCTTCTAATTATATCATAAAGATTTAATTTTTCTGCTACTCTGTTTCGTCTGAGGTTAGTGAGCTAATGAGTTGGAATGTCATATTCATTGCCCTTTTTAGTAATCAATTTGGCTTAGTTTTTTTAATTGGTAATACTTCAATATCTTGAAATGTGTACATTCTTGGTGAAATCTGATCCTTGAGTAATCAATGATGTATTGTTATGTGATTCTTGCAGGTTGTAACATGTGGAAGCATCCCACTTGAGTCGTCATACCAAAAGATACCGAGATGTGTTTACGTATCTACTGAATTGTATGAGTACAAAGGCTTTTGTGGTAAATCTGCAAACCCAAAGCAGAGATGCTTCTCATGGGGATCAAGACATGCCGAGGTTTTGGTTCTTTCCTCTCATTCTCAAGTCTTTCCAATCTGATAAGTTTTGATGCTCATGTGTTTATGTGTGGCAGAGATATGTGACGGATTTCTACATATCCGATTTCCAATCCGGTTTACGAGCACTTGTTAAAGCAGGAAATGGATCAAAAGTTTCTCCTTTTGTCATACCGGAGACAGTATCTAATGTAACCTCACAGACTAAAGATTTATCTCCAAGCTTTCTGCAATGGTTGGCGGATCGAAGCCTTTCCAACGATGATCATGGTGCTATGCGTCTCAAAGAAGGGTATGGTATTGTTTACTCATGCATCTTTGATTTCCTTTCTGCTACTCATCTTCATCTTTATACTCTTAATTAAGTTAAGTACAATGAGTCCCTCAATAAGTTATTTACTAAAGTCGCTCTTCAAACCTTGAAAGTGTGATTTTCACCTAATTTAAAATTTGAAAACTTAATTAAAGCTATGACCTTTTGAAAGACCCTAGTTTGATTTTTGAATAGAATGGTAAAATGGAACAATCTATTCATTGGCTTTTGAGCCTTAACGAGTAGAGTGCATAAAAGTCAGTGAGAAAACAACGTCACTGTTTTTAGTTCAAAGTTAGGATCTTTTGGTTCTTTTAACCCCTCAAAGCAAGTGGCTTTAGTTCAAAGGAAGAATCTTTCTTGTGCTTTATCAAATTTTTCTTAGAACATAATGATTCTCAAAGTAAATAGCTTTTATTACAAAAGAAGGATCTTTACTTTTTACTCTTCAAAGAACCAAAAAAGTGTTGGGTCTCTCTCTAGCTCTCTCTCTCACACACACAATTTACATGCACACAACAAATAATCTTGCTATTTTGATGATATGATTACGGAGTTTGTGATCAGATATATAAAAGAAGGGAGCACAGTAAGCGTGATGGGAATGGTGAGACGACACGACAACGTGCTGATGATCATTCCTCCGGCAGAACCAGTAGCCACTGGCTGCAAATGGTGGCGTTGCCTCGTCCCATCTTATGTGGAAGGCCTTATCATTACATGTGACGAGAATCAGGATACTGATGTCGTTCCTGTCTGAAACACATACACAACATAACGCATGCATGTATGTTTTGCTTCTCTATTATATTCGATAGATCATAAATCTATATATATATATATATATATATATATGTATAGTCAAGTGTTAGGCCCTAAGATCGAAAAAATGGGAAAAGGAAACCATTTACGGTCATCATATTAGTTTTTGCCTCTATATGATGGGGTTATGTTTTGTGTACATCAAAAGTTTAAGTTTCAAATGTAAATTTGTATTTTTCCACCATTTTTACTAATAACGGCAATACACATTCTTTAGATGATTCAGGCATATTATCATCACCTTCACAAATATTGAGAAAATGAATACAATAATGTGATGCCTACATCTACAACTACAACTACATTTATTTATGGGTGATTTGCTATAATAACCCACAAAATATTGTAAATAGCCAAAATAGCCTATCAAGAATTTTGAAGATTTTATAAAAAATTTTTACACAATTATCCTTTTAAAGTCTTCCAAACTTACTCGCAGACTCGGATTTTCTTTTGCTAGTCTGCTATTTTTTTGGCAGACTCAACGTATTTTTGGTAGACTCTATATATTTTTTCGTAGACTCTGTCAAGCTTTGACAAACTATACCAAAATCTTCCAAATTTACTAGCAGACTCGGATTTTATTCTGCTGATCTTCCATTTTTTTGTGGATTCTGCATATTTTTAGTAGATTTAAATTTCAGTCTGCTAATCTGTTATTTTGTTAGCAGACACTACATATTTTTGGTAGATTCTGCGTCTTTTTTGTAGACTCTGTCAAGGTTTGGTAGAGTATACCAAAGTCTTCCAAAATTTACTAGCAGACTCGGATTTTAAATTGCTAGTCTTCCATTTTTTTGGTGGATTCTGCGTATTTTTGGTAGATTTAAATTTTACTTTGCTAGTCTACTATTTTATTGGCAGACTCTACGTATTCTTTGTAGACTTTGTTGAGGTTTTGGCAGACTACGTCAAAGTCTTCCAAATTTACTGGCAGACTTGAATTTTAAACTGCTAGTCTTCCATTTTTTTGGTGGATTCTGCATATTTTTGGTAGATTTAAATTTTACTTTGCTAGTCTACTATTTTATTGGCAGACTCTACGTATTCTTTGTAGACTTTGTTGAGGTTTTGGCAGACTACGTCAAAGTCTTCCAAATTTACTCGCAGACTTGAATTTTAAACTGCTAGTCTTCCATTTTTTTGGTGGATTATGCGTATTTTTGGTAGACTTAAATTTTACTTTGCTAGTCTGCTATTTTATTGGCAGACTCTACATATTCTTTGTAGACTTTGTCGAGTTTTGACAAATTACATTAAAGTCTTCCAAATATATTAGCAGACTTGGATTTTAATCTGCGAATCTTCTACTTTTTGGTGGATTCTGCATATTTTTGGTAAATTTGACTTTTACTCTGCTAATCTGCTATTTAATTAGCAGACTCAACATGTATTTGGTAGACTCTGCATAATTTTTTGTAGACATTGTTGAGATTTGGCAGATTACATCAAAGTCTTTCAAATTTACTAGCATATTCAAATTTCAATATGCTAATCTTCTAATTTTTTTATGAATACTACATATTTTTGATAGACTTGAATTTTACACTGTTAGTTTGCTATTTTATTAGCATATTCAATATATTTTTGATAGATTTTACATATTTTTTAAGACTATGAGTTTTGGCAAACTACACCATAGTCTTCTAAAATTATCACTATAATTGAATTTTAATCTTCTAATATGATATTTTTCTGTGTTGTTTTGTTAATATTGGATTTTAGTTGATGAAATATTTTCTCGCAAAATTCAGAAAAAGTTACAAACTGAAATCTCATATAGTCAAACATTTTATAAATGTGCAAAAGAAACAAAAATGAAAAGAAGTAGAATGGATAGAGAATCAATTTCAATGATAAATACCATAAATGAAAAAATTGAGTTCGACAAAAAAAATTGCTGTTAGACCAAATATACATTGCCATGAAATTTGATAAAATAAAAATAATCAATTGATTTGAAATTAAAAGTTATTTATTTCTTATTTTATTTTTCTTTTATTTATTTATTAACTAAAACTAATTTGTTATTGTTCAAATTAAATGAATAGTTATGTGTAATTTACAAAAACGAAATTAAAGAAATAATTATAGTTAAAAGGATAAAACTGGAATTATACATCACTGCTTAAATGATTAATAGGTTATATGAGTAATATATATATTATTATAGCTATTTCTTATAAAAAAGAGGTTATATTAGGTAATTTTCTCTTTATTTATCTATTATTATTCAGTTACTTCATGAAATAACGTGATTATTGATAAAACCATACGCAACTTGCGTGTGAAGAAACGCAATTCATGGAAAGAAGTTAAACAACTTGCGTGTGAAGAAATCAACGAGCAAGAAGATTTCATCGGAGCATCTGTCAGTCGCGTTGCTCCGTATCAGCTGAGGGAAAAACAGCCAAATCGAGGTCCCATATACAAACCCCATTGTCAGAAGCCAAGCCACCACCGGTCTAACGGACCACCTCTGCACAAACGCCGTCCTCTTCAGTGTCACTTCAGCCACCGTACAAACTCCATGTAGTACAAAGAACAAAGTGACTTCCCCTGTAGGCATCTCACGGGTCTGATAGAGGAAGACCACTTCGTGAGCCACACCGGAGAATATGAACGTGGAAAATACACCAATCAACGTAGCATAATTAGAGCTGATCATTAGGCATTGGCAGAAACGCCGCACAGGCGTGAAGACGACTTCACGAAGCGTAGCCGAGACGATGAGGTTCCAACGGCGACCCCAAAAGTCTTGAAGAGAGGTGGCTAAGTATGGTTCGTTGAATTGTGGCTCTAGGTTGCACCAAAGAATGATGGTCAACATATTTCTGAGGATGGCTAAGAAAACCTCAACTGACAAATATACATTAAGTGGATAGAGAAACAATAGCAGAGTGGGAGGATAGTTTTGTTTGTGGTGATAAACTTGTAATAACACAAGAGAGATTGCAACTTTAACGGGGAAAATCCATTTGAAGATCTGATCTTGAGATTTAGGGTTTTGTTGTTGACGCTGGATTGGGAAGCAAGTGAAGCATATGAATCGAAAGAGATTTGAGGGCAGTGGAAAAAGAGGACCTTTATTGAAGGAGAAGAGGATGAGTCTCAAATTAGCAACTCCTAGGAAAAACAATGTCAAGAAAGAGAAAACTAAGTAGGAGAAGAACAGAGGAAGAACAAGGAACAAAGCACAGACTGGCAAAATAGAGAGTAATCGAAAAACGCCAGATTTGATTCTAGGTGGTAACAAGTAACAGTAAGATACCGAGATGATTGTTGCAACACCTACTATGATCAAGCTCTTGAGTTCTTCCTCTATCTCTCTCATATTTTCCTTTTTTTTGTTGAGTTGTTGAAATTTAGCAATCATAGAGGGTTCTATATAACACTTTTTTTTGGCAACAACTACAATCTACCTTTTCGATTATTTTAAATTGATTTGTTTTTAAAAATCAGTCAAAAGTCTTTTAATGCATGCCTCAGTGTAAAAAGCCTCATTATGGTTTAAAACATAGGTTTGGCGTGTTGAGAAAGTAATCCGAATGAAGAGGATATTAGGCATGCATGTGGTTTAACATGTGGGCATGTGATGTTTTGCTTCTTATTTGCATTTCTGATCGTCAGATGCATGCCTTTAAAACATTTCTAAAGTACTAAAGTCTAGAGTTGAGTTGTATTGTTATTTAAGAATTTGTATTGAAGAAATAAACTTCTTACGAAAGTTGTCTTAAAACTAATTCATATTTTTACTACTTTTTAAAACAATCTTATACGGTTAGTTTTGCTTAAATTGTTATTGAGAATTGTCTCTTTCTTTTTATAATAACTATATTTTACTTAAGAACTCATTTTTGTATTCTTTTATTCTAACGGCAATATATACTGAGATGCCAACAAGTACATTGTTTAAACTTTTATTTGACTAATTTCAAGAAATAACGTGACTGATAACACACGCAAAAAAATCCATTTAGAAACACATTTCATCAAAGGAAATTTAATAACTTGCGTGTGAAGAAATCAATGAGCAAGAAGATTTCATTGGAGCATCTGTCAACCACGTTGCTCCGTATCAAGTGAGGGAAGAACAACCAAGCAGAGGTCACATTTACAAACGCTATCGTCAGCAGCCAAGACACCACCGGTCTCACGGACCACCGCTGCACAAACGCCGTCCTCTTCAGCGCCACCTCAGCCGCCGTACAAACTCCATGTAGTACAAAGAACAAAGTGACTTCTCCTGTAGGCATCGAACGGGTCAAATATAAGAAGACCGATTCGTGAGCCACACCAGAGACTATGAACGTCGCAAAGACACCAACCAACGTAGCATAGTCAGAGCTGATCTTTAGGCGTTGGCAGAGACGCCGCACAGGAGTGTAGACGCCAGCTTTAAGACTCGCCGAGACCATGAGGTTCCAACGGCGACCCCAAAAGTCTTGAAGAGAGGTAGATAAGTACGGTTCGTTGAAATGTGGCTCTAGGTCGCATCCAAGAATGATGGTCAAGAGTTTTCTGAGGAGCGTCAAGAGAATCTCAAGTAATAGATATGCATACAGTGGATGGAGAACCAATAGATGAGTGAGAGAAAGGTTTTGTGTGTGGATATAAGCTTGTGGTAACACTAGAAAGATTGCAAGTTTAACGGCGAAAATCCATTTAGGGTATTGATCTTGAGAATTAGGGTTTTGTTGTTGACGCTGGATGGGGAAGCAAGTGAAGCAGGTGAATCGAAAGAGGTTTGAAGGCAGTGGAAAAAGAGGACCTTGATCGAAGGATAAGAGGAAGAGCCTAAAATTAGCAACTGCTAGGAAAAACAGTGAGGTGAAAGAGAAAACTGAGAGGGAGAATAGAAGAGGAAGAAGAAGGAACAAAGCAAAAACTGGTAAAATAGACAGTAATCGGACAACACCAGGTTTGACTTTGGGTGGT